TCGACCCCTTTCCCCTCTCTAAAGTACCCGAGTGTCGAGACAGGAGGCCACTTTTTGTTCAAGAGGTCTCGGTAATGTGCGAGTGTAGAATGCCGAGGGAAGAGTCAGACTCGAAGTCTCCTTCTCGTTGTGTGAAATGTTGTAGCTGCAAGGAGTTTTTTCACAGGAAATGCATTTCAACAATTATTTTGGAAGGTTCAAGTGCAAACTGGCGTTGTCCAAACTGCGAAAGAGCCCTTAAGCAGGAAGAGAAAAATAACCATTAATTTAACATGTAGTATTAAAAACTGATTCTCAGAACTTCCCATTAATTGTTTATTAAGATAATCGTCGAAGTGAAATATATATGTGTAGTAATTTTTTATCTATGTAGAAGTCAGCTAAAAGAACTTTTCAAATGTATTCATGAGAAACTGTTTCTTATAGATCTTTCCCTAAGTACGCTCTTGCGTTTAGAATTGAAAATCCTCATCTAAATATTGTAAAAAATAATATCATAGAATATTTTCAATGATGATCATGGCACAACGCAGATAGAGAAAATATAATAGGTGAGACAAGTCACGGATTATCCTTGTCGACAAAAGTAATATCGCCTGCTACATTATATTCAAACTTAATCTCCGTCCAATCGAGGTAATGTACAATTTTTTTTATCAATTACCATATTAGAAATAACAATATATCGCTTAAACTCTGAACGTAACTGCGTTAAATTTATTTCATCAGAAATCCAGAAGATTTCCGGTGTTTTAAAATCCTCCTTTTGACAGATTTCGTGAAGATGTCATTACTTTGTAGTTGTGATCGGCCATCCGTGAAAAGGAGGCGTCAAATGTATTTTGTGGAATCTGTTATATAGGTTAGCAACGGAAAAAAATGCAAATATCTTAACACTAATACAAAGTCATGAGCGAAAACGAAGTAAGTGTTCCTTTCTACTCTATTTTGCGGCTCTAAAATGCGAAATAGGGCATTCATGAAAACATCGGGCGAGCTCGGATTTCGTCATCAGAAATCTACCCGAGATGACCTCTGGTATTGTAACATCCTCCTTTTGACAGATTTCGTGGAGGTGTTACTATGTTGTAGTTGTAATCGGCCATCCGTGAAAAGGAGGCATCGCAAAAATTTATTGGAGTCTGTAATATAGGTAAGCAACGGAAAAAAATGCAAATATCTTAAGGCTAATACGAAGTCATGAGCGAAAACGAAGCACGTGTTCGTTTCTACTCTGTTTTGCGGGTCTAATATGCTAAGTAGGGCCTTCATCACGAAGACAACATCGGGCGAGCTCGGATTTCGTAATCGGAAATCTACCCGAGATGACCTCCTTCTGACGGATGTCGGAGTGCGCTTTAGAATTAGGATCTCGTTTCAAGTTGCCAGAGTAGCTCTTTACACGCCTGCTGTAACCGAGTGAATACGCGAGAGCGATTAAACAGTTAAACTCAGTCGAGTCTGTTGATTAAGTCCAGTACGTTAGAAGACCGGTTATCCCTAGTAAACGGGGCAAAGTTTACGAAACTTATTGTTAAAAGAGAGAAGTGGATGGGAAAGCCTGCTTTAAAACTGTTCTTGCGTATGTCAGTGCACGCATGTTTCTTTCATAAACATGCAGATAAAACGGAGTTAAATTAAATTTACAGATCGGCTAGCTTCAATTTTCAAGACACAGAAAAGTTTGGCGGAGGAAATGTCAGGAAATGGAAATTCTACCCCGTGTATGTTTCTAGCAAACCACAGGAATTCCAAACTGCAGCTGTGAGATACGGTCAAATTCTCATTAAAAGCACCTTACCTTACTTCCACAGTGCATCGCTCGTTGTCTGATCGCTTACTATGTTGAAAAGAAGCCATTTTAGTGAGTTCTCCATTTCTGGCTAATCCTAAGAGAGTTCTTCTCTTAGGAGCACTAGTAAACCTAGAAATGGATAACTGGCTAAAATGGCCTCGTTGCTACAAAGTAAGCGGTCACAAAACAAGCAGTACACTGCGAAAGTAAAGAACGCTTGCCACGGTAATTGTCGAGATATTTCAGCTGTATTGTGTGACATTTAGATAAGTAATTAGTGTTAGGTGATCTCTTTTCTTTTGATTTCAATCTAGACAATAGAATCAATTAATCAGCCCGTCGTTGTCTAGGATTTAGGGTGTGTCGCACGTCAGCGATAAAAAGAAAATCGGTACGTGATCAAAAAAAAGTGAATAAGAAAAATAAAAACCGTGAAGTTTGCGAAGGACAGCCTGGTGTTTTGGCATTCGCAGCACAGGCGGATCGTAGGTTTGACCGACACGAGACATACTCTCCACTGATGGATTGATCATCCTACGCCGACAGTGAAGACCTGTGAGACAAACCAAGGGAATGAATGGCGGTAACGGTTAAAAGACAGAAGAACACATCTCAGCTGAAAATATCAATAAGATGAAATGAAATGTCCGTGCACTGCAATTTCTCACTGAAGGCCTCGATGTTCTCTTCTGAGTTTGGGTTTTGGTCGAGGGTCGAGGGTACAAAGTCGAGGGTCGAGGGTAATATGTCGAGGGTTCTTAAAAATGAAAATAAAATCATAAAAATAAAAATAAAAAAAAATAAAAAAATAAAACAGTAGCACAGAGCACGTGTTCACTCGCTCACACTGATGTAAAACCAGGAAAGACGCAAGAAGTCTGCGAACGGAAATACTTTGTACCATATGAAGTATAGATAAGACACGTCAATGCGTCTAGACTATATTGTCTAGACTGATAAAGCTCTTTTGCTGTGTGGTGCAAAATAAACCGAAGACGAGCTGGTTAAAACCTGTGGCTAGTAGTTTCGTTAATTCTAGGGGGAATTTCTTATGATTTTTAACTGACTTTAAAAAGTGAGATTTGTAACGCCTGCATGTAATTTGTAATTTGTAACATTTGACCATGTGACGTATACTTCTATAAAAACAAACAAGCCCTCGCTATTGTCTAGAACGAAAAGGCTCTTTTGTTCTGGTCTAAATCAAGATAAAACCAAAGACGACTGGCGAAAAACTCATTATTTAGTCAGTAATATTACGTTAACTTTTCGAATCAATTTTTTTAGATCATTTACTGCCTTCATAAGGGCAATTTAAAAAATGCACCCTCAAAACCGCACTTTTAATTAATGAATTTTGGAAGATTCGAACTGTATAACCTTAGGGGTACGGGGCATCTACCACATATCCCGACCCCAATCTAAAAAGTATAAGCAAAAAAAAAAAAATGATTGCAATATTTGCTCTGCATTTGCTAAAATAAAAATGTGTACTGAATGCTTTATCTGTTCCATCCAATGCAACCAAACTTCCGTTTGGCTCGTGTACATTTATTTATTTCTTCATTTGTTTATTCTGATTTTTATTTTTATTTGTTTATTAGTTTTATCATGAACTAAAGGTACGTTAACACTCTTGTTAGCATAAAGACCAAATTCCAAACTCGTTTTCGTTTTATTTTTATGATTTTATTTTCATTTTTAAGAACCCTCGACATGTAATCCTCGACCCTCGACATATTACCCTCGACCCTCGACATATTACCCTCGACCCTCGACATATTACCCTCGACCCTCGACCCTCGACCAAAACCCAAACTCTCTTCTTCGTAGGTTTGCCAGGAAACCAGGTAATCAGCGATGAGAGTATTAATATAAAAACGCTCACTTTAAACGGCCTGGAGAAGCTCAAGTCACCTCTCCATAGTGCACCAGTAATTGGTCGTATTTCAGTTCGCTCTTGAAAGATTTACAGACTAAGACGTGTGAAAAAGTTTTATCGTTATGTGTATTTAATGATTAACGCTTTACATTTCTTCGTTTTTTTCCCCCGATTTTGGTTTCCAGGAAAACCTCTTGTTTCCACCACATGTCAGCGCGTTTTTTAATTATCTAATAATGTTCTTTCTCTTCCTCGCTTCATACGTGTGTCTACGCTTGAAATCCAATGCCAATTACAAGGAAAACTGAAAAACGGATGAAAACAAACAACTGACGAAATTTCAGTTTCAATTACCCACGACAATGGTTAGGATTTTTCCTTCAAAAACAGTCAATGATATCACGGAAAATATCCTTCACTCGCATGGACAACGTCGTGTCTAAATCTGATCTTTCTTCCACCAGAAACTTAAGTCAAATGAGACACTTTAACTATACGCAATGGGATTTAATGCGGCTTTTTATTATTGAATTCCTTTACGCTACAAATGTCCGCCAAATTGAACGAAATTGCCAAGGCTTACCGAAAGTGCATATTTATTGTAATAGAACTCAAAACTCCGCTTTCCGTTTTACCATGGGAAATTGTTTGAGAGAATTGAATTCAGATATTAAATGAATGAAAGTTTCATCGATTAATTCAAAAAAACATCTAGCGTTTTAACTTATTGAGTTACTTTTTGTGAATAATAAAATTAATTACAAACGGTTTTTAAGCCGTCAACCCTATTTAATAATGACACATTTATTACCACAAATTCATTTCGAAACCAATTTTTTGCTGGCAACCAAAGTGACATGAAAGAGAGAGAGAGAGAAAAGGAAGGATTAATAGGTTGTTTATCGGCTTGAGGTCGTGACTGATGTCTTTGCTTAAAAATACTGCCCAGCCAGAAAAACGAAAGATATTTATGAAAATATTTCTGATTATTGAAAGCGTTATCGTGCCCGTGGGCAAGGAGAGAAAAATCCGCACCACATTAAGAACCAATCAGATTGCAGAATTTGTACCGCTGATCTCTGAAAAAAAAATAACATTCTTCATTTAAACACGTGTTGTCCAGGAGCTATAACTCGTTCAAATTACGAAAAGGAAACCCAACAGAGTTGGAGTTGGTTGGGGTCTGAACATCAAGTGAGCAGAGGGTACGCAAAACTCGACGTCTCTCTTCACTCTGACCCCAAATAAAATATATTCCTAAATTGAGAGAGAAGGTTTCGTCAACAGGTGATCCTTGCAGAGTGTTTTGTTCAATTTAACACCATGACCTGCAATGTGTCTGAAACGGATTCGTGCGGAGAAGGAGGTATTTGCGTTAGCTCTGTGGTAAATGTCAGTTCTTGTTACTGTAGCGAGGGCTATGTTTTCAACGATAGCGGTCTTTGCGAAGTACCAAGAATTCCCATGGCCTATTCTGCAGTGGCTTCTTTTTGCTGGCTGTGTTTTCTGCTCGTTTTGGGAAAGTTCCTTCGTCTCTACGTATGGTTCTTTCAACAGCTTTACCTCCCTGCCTCAGTCATCGGTGGCATCATCGGGCTGGTTGTGCTCCAAGTAGCTCGTCTCGATCAAAGCGTCTCACAATTCATGGCACTGAATTTTACCAGGGGATGGTAAGATATTTATATTTTCTGTTACAGATTAGCAAAGAAGGCTAAAGAATGAATAGCGCGGCTCTCGCTTGTTTACTCGACGAGGCCAAAATGAGAAAGAACAAAGATTTGATTCGAGGGCTTTAAAATTAAAACAAAATTCAGTGTTCACCTTTGATATATGAGATATTGGAATTCTGTCCTCTTGAATGAAATAATATTATTTTCTCTTCAAAGGCAAAAGAAACGCTTTACAATCTCAAATTTGAAACAAATATTACAAACAAATCTTGGTATCCCGCAGAGCACTTCTTTCACCCAGTTACCCACCCCGCGCGATAATAAAGGTATGGTCGTGTTGAAAGTATGCGCACTGGGTCCTATTGTTCTCTACTGTCTCTGTCAAGACGAAAAGGGCGCGCGGTTATAGGACTACAGCTGAAATCACACAAGCTGCATATTGTTCACCCACTGTTGTGTTCTGTTGGGTATGATGCGTGGTAATTACCATTCAACACAAAGGCAATTTTTTTTTTCGATCGTTTCCTGTGAGTGTGAATAAATTTCAGGGCTGTCTCTGTGGGTAACGTTTGTGGAAAAAATAAGAACCAAGGTCATCTTCAACGTGTGTTACTAGGAAAGGTATGGAAATGGCAAATTAAACAGGATAGCTTTATAGGTAATACAGTTTTTCTGATAAAAATCCTGGTAATACATGCAAAATATCGGTGCGTATATTCATAAAAATCTTTAAGAGAAAAGCGACGTGAGAAGTTAATTTCCATCAAAAAAGTGAGACAGTAGGAAGCCCCGTACTTGCGGCAACTTAAATTACTGGCATTATTTATTGAAAAAAAATCATTAAACTGGCTGCTTTTTTCCTGAGTTATGAAAGATTTTTTTAAGAGAAAGGCATTCTTCCAGTTTTTCCATTCTTCCGTATTTCAGATGTATTCTTCACTTTCTACATGCAGATTTTATGCACCACGCAAGCGACGAGTCGCTGTAATAAGCACCTGAAATTTCGCCCTCAGGGTTTCTAGATTGCTCTACTAGTCGAAGACCTGGAGATATAAATAAACTCGTAGAATCTACTAATTAGTAAAATATATTCACGCCCAAATAAAACCAACTTTACAGCTTGATTTGAAGTAAGTATTCTACCACTTGGTTGGCGCAATATCGTAGAATTATAAAGATTGTATGTCCTTAACGTCGAGTTTTAAAGGTAGTCGATGTGCATGCGCAAGTCGTGACCAGTGAAAAATGATAAGCCTAACAGGGGAGATTGGGCCTGTTTGCCAAACTTTTCTTGCATGGAAACATGGAAAATTATTCATAAAATAAGACGAAAAACTCAACTTGATACAAAAAAAAAAAAAAGGATGAAATTGAAAAGAGAGGTCCTTAAAATTTCTCAGGGTAAGGAAAATTTTTGGATCCCAGTTAGATATTGACACAGCTACAAGTTTTAGTATTTTCTTTTCTGTTTTTCAGGTATAATCTGGCAGGATTTCTAATAAACATTGTTTTCTCCTCCTTGTTCCTCGGCACCCAAATCCCTAATGTGAAGGTGATATGGACACAGGCTGGGCCTCAGCTCATGTACGGCATGATTATTGCTTGGGGACAGTGGATTGTGGCACTTGTTGTTACAGGTGCTCTACTGGTGAGGGTGCATGCAGGCAAACCAAAATTGTATGAAGCAAGTTTCTGTCCTCGTTCTTTTCTGTGACTTATGTCTTGTTTTAATCTGTTACCAGAAGAAATTACCTTTGTCTTTTCAATTGATTCTTATTAATTAAATCATTAAGCAATAGTTTAAAAGGTTTCAGCAAAAAGATACTTTGTAAGTGATTGTGTCATTTTCCAAGTTGGAAAACTCTTTCCCAGACCCCTATGGGAACAATGTGTATGTTACTCACTCCCCTCCCCCCACCCCACTACCAGTCTCTATAAATGATCCAAACTCATTCTCAAGGTCTCTCCTTTTGGACGTGACTAGAAAAGAGAGACCCCAAGAAAAAGCAGTCAGTTAAAGTTCCAGCAGTAAAATTGATGCTCCTCTTGCAAACTGTCAGGGAGTTTAGAGATATAACCATCCAGTACCAACCCTATATTTTGTGACTAGAAAAGAGAGACCCCAAGAAAAAGCAGTCAGTTAAAGTTCCAGCAGTAAAATTGATGCTCCTCTTGCAAACTGTCAGGGAGTTTAGAGATATAACCATCCAGTACCAACCCTATATTTTGATCACAAACTTTACTACCTGGCAATAATTATGTTTATTGTCTATTTTAATGCATCGCTGTCAGATGCCTGTTTTTGGTGTCAGTCCATTATTTGCGACCATTCTACCAGTGGGGTTTGCAGGAGGTCATGGGACTGCAGGAGGACTCACACCCACATACAAGACAGTAAGCCATGTTCATGCTGATAGCTGTTCTGTATATCACTAAGCACCTGCAATATTTGAAATGATACTTACTTGGCTTTCTTCAAGTTTTGAAATAAGGTGCACATCGCTGAAAATTTCCCAAACATTGTTTATCACCAGAAACAAATAACCTAACTCTATAGGCTGTATGCTTCTGGTACATAACTCTATCCAGAGTGTCGTGACTTGGTGCGATCTTGAATTGTTGCCTGATTGTGGAAGTAGTCAACAAACACCAACAAAATAAACAGCTTGTCTGCAGCCATTTTGTTTCATACTCTGTCATTCCATTGAGAGCCATGAAATTTTCCATAGTAAGGATCATTGACTCTAGACCAAACCTCAACATCACTGCATGGTTTCTTTCCACCTACTGCTACTATCTTTTGTTTTTCTTATCATATTTCTTTCTTAGTTTTTAACAAGTCACTGAAGTCTTGTGTGAACTTTGTATTGGACTGATTAGTGGCTTTAGACTTGGATTGAAAAAAATTAATTTTATGATTATCATTTTCTCTTTATTTTTTAAGCTGGGGTTCCCTAATGGTGGAGATTTTGGTTTGGCCAGTGCTACCTTAGGACTTGTTTTTTCTGTTATCTGTGGTGTTATGTGGGTTAACATTGCTACTCACAGAGGATGGGTCAAGCAGGAAAGAATTGATGCTTCTAAGGAAGTCAAAATATCTATCAGGTTTGTGGATGATATTTTAAATATGTACTTAATGTTGTCATTAATAAACGAAAAGCATTAAATGACCAGACAGACTGACGGATGGTTTGATATGCTGCCTGGCTAACTGAATGTCTGTCTGTCATACTGACTGATGGCTGAATAACTGAATGACCCTACTGAACAACTGACAGACACATTTGATGAGTGATGATTTACCATGTCTGACTGACCAATTGGCTGACAGACAGTTTACTGATACACCATACCAGATAGATATCTGTTTGACTGGTCAACTGAGCAGGTGATTTATCAACTGACCTGATGTTATCTTTGTTTTATAGACCTTTAACCCTTAAACTCCTAAGATATGATTGTCAATTCTTCCCTTTAGCTGCTATCTATTTTTTTGTAAATTAGATAGAAGAATTGGGTGTTAGATCAAGATATAAACTTCTAACGGATAAGTTTAATTATTGCCATAACTTGTTTGTCAGATACTGATTGGATATTATAGAGAGAAGTTCAATGTTAATCACTTCTGGAGGTTAAAGGGTTAACACATAAAAAGAGACTGACCTCAGTGAACTGCCTGATCAGTTGACTGACAGACAGAGAATGAATGGATGAATTAATTGCAACAGAGACATCTCCTTTTTTTTTCAAATTTTCATAGGGGGGTGTATGCTGTAGAGAGCCGTCCCTCAGCTGGAGTGCAAACTGTGCGAGCAAGCTCCATAGATGTGTTGGCATTCCATCTTGCAGTGCTTGGAATAGCCATGTTAATTGGGTATGGCCTGAAGCAAGTGTTGATTGTTATTGAAAGTACATCACAGAAGCTCAAGGATCTTAACTTTCTCTCTGGTATCCCTCTGTTCCCATTGTGTATGGCTGGGGGAATAATTATCCAGGTTAGGATGGTTAATCTTTGTTCTTAAATACAATATCTTTGTCCAACAGTCTATAATAGGTCTCTTCTCTAGTTACACTTTCAGTACTGCCAAACTGTGAGAGAATTAAGTAAGAAGTAAACTAAACAACTTCTTATAAATCACAATTTATGATTTGGTGTCCAAAAACCAATCAAGGGCATCAAACCATGAAACCTGAACTTGATTATTAATGTGGTTAGGACAAATGTCTTAAGCATAAGAGTTTTGTGGATGGCCCATATATGATAAAGATGAATGGTTTAGTTCCTGAGTAATGATGAATGTCTTTCTCTTTGAAGCTTGCTGTTGAGAAAATCCAGAGGATAAATGAATTGATTGATGCATCTCTCATGGAACGCATAGCCTCAACTTCACTGGATTTCCTTGTTACCTCAGCTATTGCTACAGTTGATGTCTCAGCTGTTGCTGTTGACATTGCCCCCTTATTGATCCTGTGCACTTGTGGCTTCATCTGGAACTTTGTTATGCTGGGTTGTGTTTCAAGGTTTCTGTTACCCAACCACTGGTATGTGAAAAATACTAATTAGCTCAAGTTTGATATTTCAGAATTGACAGCCAAAAATAATAGTCAATATAGCAAGGATCTTAGGAAAAATATGCAAAAACAATATCTTTAATCTCCCAGATCTGTACTGAGTAGATTGTTGTTTAATGCTGAGGTTTATCATATCAAAACCATCGATCTTATACCCCATTCACACAAACAAAACATGTTTTGTTAGGTTAACTGAATGAAAACCAGAAAGAGAGAGCTGAAAAACTGAACTCTCCATAAATTTTAATTGGTCACTAATTTGTATGTTCAATTTGCTAAATCTGATGTAGACAAACATTGGTTTATACAGTTTCTACAAAGAAAACAATTTAAACCATGTTTAAGAAAACAGCTCTAAAATGTGTTTAACCTTTGGTGTGAGGGGAGTATGGAACTGTCAATTATTTGCTTAGTTCCTCTGCCTTTAATTTAAAGAGATTATGTTAAGATAACTGTCTACGCAAAATCATGTATTCTCTCTCTTCTTCTTTTCTGTTTTCTAATTGGAATTTATGCACTGTGCCAGAAGAAATTTAATTGGATCATTGTACAATTTAACTCTTTAAATGAGCATTATCTAGCTTTACCTTTGAACTTTGAGGCGACCAGGCATTATGTTTTAAGGTGTAACCAACCCCACAGGGACTCCCATGCAGTTGCAGAATGCAAATTCCACCATATAATACAACAGTATTTACCATATGTGTGCTACATGTGATTATATTACTTCCTCCAACGGGAAAATATAGACAGAAATTATCTGTTGCAAAAAGTGAGGATTAATTTCTTTAAGGAAAGTGGTCTTAAAAGATCTAACTAAAGAATTGGACTCTGTGGTATTTGACAAAAAATTGATACTGGTAAGTTGTTGCTCACAAAGGCTTTACTTTAATTTTTTTGTTTTTGTTTTGTTTCCAGGTTTGAAAGAGCAATTGCAGACTTTGGAATGAATACTGGTGTGATTGCAACAGGGCTAATTCTATTACGAATGGTGGATCCAGAGTGTCGCACTCCAGTTCCTGCTGATTTTGCCTTCAAACAGCTTCTTCACTCTCCATTCATGGGCGGTGGCATCTGGACTTGCTTGGCACTTCCCTTGCTGAGTGTTCTGAAGTAAGAAAAATAGTGCTTGCAAAGACTTCCCCACCCCCGAAGCACAGACAATGGTCAAATGTCTGTGGGTTGCTGAATGTTAAAGCTTTAATTTGATCAGCAGGTTTTTGACCACTCAGAGCATGTTCAAGTTATCTTTAATGGATTTTAACATTATCTTCATATAACACCTCATCACCAGTTAATTTTCAAGGAAATGTAAAGCCAATAGGAGGGCAAATTACCAAATAAACAAGATCTGGGGAGTTTAAATGTCAGATGAAGTCAACTTTGTCTTTTTTTCTTTCCACACAGTATCTGGGTGGTTACTGTCATTGCAGCAGCTGTGTTCAGCTTATGGCTTTTAAGCTTTTTGTGAGTGTTAGATTTGTGTGTATTGGACATGTACTAAAACTTTTGATGATTTTTCTCAAAGAAGAAATTCTGACTTAAATCTTGTTTCAAATGAAAAAGTTAAAAAAATAGTTTTACAAAAGACTTAAAATAGCTGTATTTAAGATTTGTGGAAACTCTTTTAATCTTTCAGTTTCTACTTTCGCAAGCACTACACTGAAACATGTGGCTGTGGTCTGTGTGCTGAGGAGAAGCCCACATCTTTTTCAAATCAAGTTGGTTATGGTGGTCTACAGGAAATGGGCAGTCAGGAAATGAATGGCGTATGTGTTGAAGATGAAAATGGCGATAAATAATCAATCAAAAATGTGAAAAAAGAAGCAAATATTGAGCAGATGCCCGCCCAACTAAACCAGTTTGATTTCTCTAATTTTCTGTAAAACAAAGTTGTTTTAGATGTGAACACCACAAACAAATGTAATGTAAGTGTATGTCTCCTTTTGATGTTGTTGTTTCAAAAGAAAATAACAGATGGGGCTGTAAATATTAACATGACATAAAATTGAGTGGCATTGGTATGTTATTTATCTGGATATTTTATAATGTAAAGGTTGAATGCTTTTTAGCTGATTAACCCTTTCACACCTTCAAGAGTGATTTTAAGCAATTATTGGATGAGGTTTAACATAATATCATAAATTATCAATACCAAGATCTGAGTTATCTGTCGAATCTGAAGGTTAAAGTTTGATAATTCTTGATATCATACCAACAACAGATTCAATCTTAATTTATTATACATCTTTTAAACAATCTGCAAAAGAAATCACCTCTCTTTGAGTTTCCACTACAAAACACAACATACAGGAGGGGCTTGGAAACCAGGTAGACTTTGAACCCAAAATGATAACCCAATATCAGTTGCAGATATTAATTGGGTTATCATGTCAACTTCACATTCTATTGTGTTTTGACTGTGTGTTCTCTACCAGTTAGAGTTTTTAAAAGTAAGTCTAATGTATAATGACACTTATAGTCATTTTATTTTATGTTACACGGATTTATAATGCTTTTAAATATAAGTAGGGAAAAAAATTAAAAGGTTTTTAACTTAAAAAGACAGATAATTTGCAAATATTTTTAATTTGCATGCTCAATAATTTTTTAAATAGAAAAATAAGTCAACCTTTCTATATTTTTGGGAAAGTTTGAATAAAGTTTTTCATTTATTGGGCATTTGATATGAAAACATTTTGTAATCTAAGGCATACTTTTTCAAAACATTTCTCATTAAACCTGGAGGTATATTTGAGACTTTCTTGCTTTTGACATATCCTTTCCCACCTGCTCGGTAATAATTTTGTTGTCTGGGGAAAGAAACTTGTTCATTAACATTAAGCTGTTTTAATACATAAGTAGAATCTGATTCCAGATTCTCCATGGATCCTATGAAGTCATAAGAAACAACACATGGCTGACATAACTCATAAAATGGCATCCAATGTTCATTCATGTCCTCCACATGACTGTCCACAACATATTGTAAAAATTCTGCTACTTTAACATCATTTCCTTTTGAATTTACTGGAGCATTTTTTCGCACGTGTCTTATTATCTGTGTTCCATACCTTTTGTGGAAAGCAGTATTGTTTAAGACAAACTTGTCTTTGAATGCCGATAGAAGTCTCGCAAAAGGTTCTCGCACAAACATGAACTTGTAGTACTCCCGAAGTTTGTGTCTAACAACCAGTGGGGGGAAATCTGCCAGCGTTGTGAACGAATGGTGATTTACTCTCTTAATAGCATTGGAGTCAATTGCTTGACCATCAAGTACCATCATTACTCTCTTCCAGTTTGAGCATGCAACTTTTGGTACAGAACAATACAAAAATTTGTGCTCATCATTTACTAGAATATGTTTTCCTAGGATCTGTTTTTCTTCTTTGGAAAGAGAATCCCATGACTTTTGCATGTTTCCACACACGTCTTTTACTGATTTCTTTCTTTGCCCACTTGTGACCTGTGGTAAAAATGCATTTGTCAGATGTAAAACACAAGTGGGGATTCACATGTTCATGTAACAGTTTCTCCTGAACAACTTACGAGGAAATTTATAGGAGTTAGAAAGGGGAACTGTTACCAAGGTCTTGAAGGTGACCAAGGTCTTGAAGGTGACCAAGGTCTTGAAGGTGACCAAGGTCTTGAAGGTGACCAAGGTCTTGAAGGTGACCAAGGTCTTGAAGGTGACCAAGGTCTTGAAGGTGAAAACATTGAAATAGTTATATTACTTCATACAAACTGTGCCAAAAATCAGACATGCTCCCTATGCCCCCCCCCCCCCCCCGTTTCATTGTCAATAATAGAGAAGCAACAGTCAGTTGACACTGGGTCAATTTCTCATGAATGAAGTACTTTGTTTCACTTAAGAAAAAACACCATGAGCTGAACTTGCAGTCTGATGGTAGTGTGGGTCTGATATGACTGATATACAGTCTACCTACTAAATAAGGGTGTTTGTGTGGGAATGGGATCAAAGAATTCTCCATCTACCCTACAGAACTTCTTGGGCTATTATTCTGAATTATCTGCATAGATTATGACTTACTAAGGCCCAGGTTGTACTAGAGCTTTTTTTTTTTGTTTATTTTTTTGATAACTCTGTGAACAAGTAGTGTAAAATAAGTGCAACCGCTAACTTTGAAAAACTTGCCAATTTTTTTGCAGATTGCCAAAAATTTTGCCAATCTTCAAAGGAGCTGATTTCCTGCCTTGGAGGCTTCCAAATTTTGGCAAACCAAACAATCTTGTTTTTATTTAACCATTCAGCTGTAACAGTATGCAAGACATGTCTAGATGAAATTTAATATACACCATGGTCCACTAGTGTAGTTTGGTGTGCACAATGGCAAGACAAAATTTTTTCCTGGTCCATCTGACCTTCAGTTTTCATTTAAAGGAAACAAGGAGTCTGAGTGACATTTTTATCATTCAAATGTCTGACTGGTACCCTGAGCCTGGTCACTGGTGGCAATTTGGAGAACAATTGGCTTCAACAAGTACTTCTCCTTTCATTAGAATATTCGAAGCCAGTACGAGTGGTGCAAGCTGCAACCAAAAAGATTGGCAGGAAAAAAAGAAAGCAAAGTATGATACATTCAGGGCGTGAAATTAATTTTTTTTTTTCTGATAGCCACTTGGCTTCTAAATTCTTCAAAGTGGTAGCCAATTAAAAAAAAGTTGGTCGCCATTTTCAAAGACAAACAAAACCTTTTTTTACGCTGTCAACGTTTAAGATAGACCCTCCAAAATTAATTAAGGGAAAAGATCTCTAACATTCTACAAAGTGGACACTAGGATGCATGATATACAACGTTCAAGCTCACCTAAATCCAAGATGGCGGCTAGTTATCGATTGAGATACTTGATCTGAGTTTTGGAAACAAACTTAACGAGGAAGTTTGCCGCGGATTTATCTTTGCAAATCTTTTTGATTCACTATATCTCTCGGTGAGGTTGTGATGAAACATTCTAGTCGCCAATTTGGCGACTAATTTTCAAGGTTTGGTCGCCAAAGGGAAAAATTTAGTCGCATTGGCGCCTGTATTAGGCGCAATTTCACGCCCTGTACATGGTCCCAATCTTGAACCATGACTCCGCCAGACGCAGAGACCTCAACCAAAGATGGTTTTGTAAACAAGCTCTATTCAAGCAGTCTTTGTCTTCTACATAAAAGCTGGTACTAGCTGCATAGAAGCCTACTGATAATATATCAACTATATAAAAATTCTATGCAAAATTCCACAAAAACCCAAAAGCTACGAAGATAATCATTCATTGATGATCCATTCTTGCCCAGTAATTCAAGCAAGAATTTTTTCTTTATCTTTTCATAGAGGGAGATGCATTTAGCATTGAAGTATGTGTCAATCAATAAAGTTTTCATCAGAGGATACTAGTTTGATACAACCACCGCCAAATTGGAAATTGCAAAATTTCTACCAATTTTTGGCTCACAAAAAATCAGTAAATATTTGAATTCACTCTTGAGCAACCTGGCCCTAAGCTACTTTCATTCAGATCTAGAGAATATATTATCCTGTAAATTAAAATTTACTTCCTTACTTCTGCCCTGAAGACAGAACAATATCTAAATGTTAAGCTGCAGTGCATCATGCAAAAAGCTTTGCAATCTCACCACTAAGCAGCTGATTAGAAATTACTTTGAAGAGCAAATATAAAAATTTTCCACTTACCACAGGGCTATTCACACTCATTCCTCTAGCATCTACAAAAGAAAACATAAGGTTGACAACAAATACTGCAAATTATGATTTCCAGATTGTATATTTAACCCTTTAACCCCTTAGAGTGACTAGCATTTAATTTCTTCTTACCATATCCTCCCTGAATCAAACATTAAGGTCATGAGAATAAAGGAAATGATCACCAACTAAAGAAGCTTATGCTTGTAAGACAAATTCTCCTTGCCAGCGTATTAGGAAAAGTTTAGAGAACAGTATGAAGAATATGCATACTGATGTTCGGGTGTAAGGGTTTAATGGCAACAACAAATGCAAAGATAGATAGTTCAGTTGTTAAAAAAAATGGGAGTTAACTTGTATTTACTAGCTAGCATTCTATATAATTGGGTTCATAAAGGTAAATAATAAACAAAATGCTTTAGAAAAATTGGGAACAAATCAGTAAAATGTTTTTAGGAAAGTAGCACAAAAAAAAAATTTAGATTTTCAATAGAGTTTAATTTTCAGTAAATTCTGGGGGACTTGATACAATGCTTTGGAAACCATTTTGTCCCAAATCCCTAAAATTACTAAAATTTCCCATTTACAGCTACAAGAACAGAAAAAAAACATTTCCTCTAAAAAACAATTTTTTAATGTTAAAATTAAAGCTAAATGATGAACTCATGTTAATAACTTTACTTGTTTACCATTACAGCCCAACTGTTTCTTTAGAAACAAACAGTATACTCTGGTATGCATGTATCGAGGTACTCTCTTTCACCTGCATGGAAACACTATTTATGGCACTTTGTAATTAAGGCTTGTGATGGACAGTTTGGTGGTACTAGTATTTTTAACATCACTAGAAATTATGGCTAGCCTTTTGTGGATTGATAAACGTTTAGTCCGATTCCACCACCCCTGTAGTCCAAATAATTTTTTTAAGACATCACACACACCTAATAAATTCACTACATATTTTTTTTTAGGAATCAGGAAAGAAAAAAAATTTACACGCTTTACTCTTACCTAATTCACTAGTCCTTGGTGAAAATAATTTCTCACGCAACCATTACGTAATTCTAACATTCTCCACCAAATAAATATTATCGTCACACAAAAAAAATACAAAAGAAGGTGAAAAAGTCACAAATTCCCGTTCAAAAGGACCGTTTCATCATCCCGGTTTATTTGTTTACTGCACAGCTGTGTCGCTCAAAGTGCACACATCCAAATAATTAATGAAATTTTTCTTTCGATTCTAGTTCATTCAAATTATGCGTGGTTAGAATGCTAAAAGTTTATGCTAGTGAAACTCTCAAGAATCTATTAAAGGGCTAAAATAGAATGCACAATGTTTAATTTATTAACGGTTTATGTCACAGTAATAAGTTGAACCATGCTATCAATCAAAACATCACGTTAGTCATTAGTTCGACTAATCTTTAGTACCACACGTCATTCAGCCGACTTCTGTGATCAAGCATCACTGCATTCTTCATTCAAATCCATTGGTGTTCGCTCAGTTGAGGTATAACAATACAAATCAGCCAGACTATCACAAAAAAAATCTCTTCAAATCAGAACAGGAAACCCGCAGAATTTTAACTTTTCATTCGCGCAAAAAGTTACTGTTATCTGTATGTAAAACAATCAGCGGCACGCTCTGTTCGCAAATGAAAAACAACATCTGGTAAACATTTCAGTAATGTGATTCACCGGAAATTGTTTTATAAAAAAATCTTAAAATATGCTTCAGTTCTGTTACTAACTGAAGTAACATTACACCGCGAAAAGTCGATGTCTTAGGGATATATGAAAAATCCTTTCCCTTTCAAATCTGCTTCCATCTGAAGAGCTACACCAACATGTTACCTATTTGTGCGTTAAGAATCAGAAATGAGAGTACTATTTAACCTGAAGAGTAACGAATTCAAGACTTCTCGCAACGTTTACTCACCAGAAATCCTCATTTTGCCATTCCATTTGCCGGATAACAGAGCTGTTAACCGCATTCTCCGTGGGTAAGTTTCTGGGAACAAAATAAAAATCTGTACAACAAAAACCAAGCTACAAATAAACAAAAATGCGGCAAATCGAAATCTTGTACACCTCATTTTCTAACACACTAAGATGAACGATCAACCAGACAAGAGAGTACATTTGTTAAATGGACATCATTAACTGTCACATCTGCACAGTCTGTCTCTCACCAGCAACCAATCATGTTACCGCCCGGCTGTCGCCCAATTACACAGCGTGACAGAGCCTGTCTCAGGTTTTACATACATATTGAAACGTGTATTTAGACAAACACTTATAAAGTCCGTTTCATTAAAGTTTTAATGACTTTAACCCGCACAACAGCATCATTTCTCTTCCCTTTTTTCGTCTGTGTTTGTCAAGCGAGCGAAAGCAAAAAAAAAAATTTCGCACCTTTCAAGCGATTGCTCATGCATCGACCTCTTGCCTCTGCTAGCCAAGAAAACGCCAAAAATTTAAATGTGAAGGCCAGAACAACTTGCGCAATAATAACAAACTTAACTTTCCGCTCTACCACAACGTCATTCGCACATAAAATTTTTTTTCTCAAAAATCACAAATAAAAGTTGAATTATAAGCCTCTTCCTTCATCTGTCGGTTTAAGACTCAGTAAGCTCGTTAGACCCCTCCTTGAAGAAGGGAGGTACTTCCTAACAGACTAATGGGGATGTGCCGTTGGATGGAGTCGCGTTGACACGTAGGCCCTATCTCCTGCATCTTCTCGGTACTAGTAACTAGAATGGGGTTGCAAATTTTCGGGATTTTTGGGAAAGAAAATTCAAGTAAGTAGGGATTTTAAAATGGGAAGAAGTTGTTACTGCATGACCAAAAATGACTAAGATGAGGTCTGTAATTTCTCACAGAATAGATTATAATGGAGTGTGGGTTTGAAAAACAATTTATGAAATATCAGTTGAGTGTGATGAGACCACCATTTTTTGGTTTTAGTCTGTTTGTTTCTCGATTTCCCCAAAACAAGACAATAGGTGCACTTGTATACGGAAATATATGATTGACTTTTCTTTTTTTTAGGATCCCAGACTAGGTGCACTATGGCTTATGATTGACTAGGATCCTGCAATGCCATTATTTAGTCCAACAGGAAACAAATATTATGCGTATAGAGTTTTAATGCTCAAGTACTTCAAATTTAATTGGGCATTTCATATGAAAACATTTCGTAATCTAGAGCATATTTTTTCCTAACTTCTCTTTTCACATCTAAGGGTACATGTGAGTATTTCTCGGGTTCGACATATCCTCGCCCCCCTGCCCGGTAAAAATTTTGTCGTCTGGGGAAAGAGACTTGTTCGTTAACATTAAGCTGTTTTAAAACTTGAGTAGAATCTGATTCCAGATTCTCCATGGATCCTATGAAGTCATAAGAAACAACGCATGGCTGACATAACTTGTAAAATGGCATCCAGTGTTCGTTCATGTCCTCCGCATGACTGTCCAAGACATGTTGTAGAAATTCTCTCATTTTAACATTATCTCCTTTAGAATTTGCTTGAGCATTTTTTCGCATGTGTCGTATTATCTGTGTCCCATACCTTTTGTGGAAAACAGTATTGTTTAAGACAAACTTGTCTTTGTATGCTGATAGAAGTCTTCCAAAAGGTTCTCGCACAAACATGAACTTATAGTACTCCCGAAGTTTCTGTTTAGCAACCGATGGCGGAAAATCTTTCAGCCTTGTGAAAACACTGTGTTGTACTTTCTCTACTGCACTGATGTTGGTTACTCTACCATCAAGCACCATCAATACTCTCTTCCAGTTTGAGCAGGCAGCTTTCGGTATGGAACAATATAAAAATCTATGCTTGTCATCTACTAAAATGTGTCTTCCAAGGATATATTTTTCTTTAGCGGAGAGAGAATCCCACGACTTTGTTGTATTACCGCATACTCGTCTCACTGATTGCAGTCTTTGTTCACTGGTAGCCTGTTAACAAAAGATGACAAAAAGATTAACCAGAAGTTAAACTGAAGTTAAAATAAACCAACAGGATGGGACATGAACGAGTCTCTCTTCAACCTCGTTCCCAGGGTCCTCTCTTTTTCTGCCCCGTCCACCAAACTAAGAGGAATATTTAACTAAGTAAAAATTATCCAACAATCCCAGGGATGTGAGACTCCTGACGGTTGTTTTGTCTTAAGCAAAACAGAAACAGGCGGCTGACTGTTCCATTCCGAGATATTATGAAGAAAACACTTTACATAGCTGATCTACATTGTGTCCTGCGAAATAGCTGTAGCTGTAATAACTAAATTTCTCAGTCTAGAAGAAATGTTCACTTACTACAGAATTAATTACATTTGTTCCTCTGATGTCTGCAAGAAAAAAAAAAGTTGATAAGCAATGTGTAGAAATCTTGCAAAGGTTTCGTACCACAAAACCGGAAAAAGTGCAAAATGAATTTCATTCCTTAATTGCCGACAAATTACATCCAGGTTATTTGTGTGTTGATGATAAACGTAATCGTAAAATTATCCATAAAAGCAACCGTTTATCTAAAAAATTGAGAATCCAAACTTTCCACAACGTTCGCTCACCAGAAACAGTCATGACGTTTTTCCATTTATGTCGCATCACAGTTGTAAGATGCAACTTCCATCCGTAACTTTCCAAGTACAAAATAACCTGCAACACCAAAATCGGCAAAAGTATCAACAAAATTGCGGCAAATCTAACAACTAGACGCGCCATTTTCCTGTTACGATCGTCAAAAAACCTTTTTGGAGCGTAAACTGACAGGTTGTAAAAGTTTTCTATGAGAATTTTTAGCCCGCGCTGAATTGAAACAGACGCACTGAAAGGATCCGAAGAAGACGCAGATATTGGATGGGGAAAAGTAGAATATCTAATAAGTTGCCGTCCTTAAGATTCTTAGAATTTATTTTGTTATCCCATGAGGCTTAAGACAGCTTTGTTATCCTCAAACATAATAGCACCACAACGTTGAAAAGAGATGTCTGATTGCATAAAACTGAGCTTTTATCATTCCTGTCAAAAAAAGATCAAAACTTGTAAAGCATTTCTGATATATCCTTTTGAAGGGAATAACGAATATATATAATTTATGATACCATCGGTGAATTTTGGGAGAGAACAAAGTTGTTGTGAGTCGTTAAGTCCCCAGAGGGATTGACAAAGAAATGAAGCTGAAAAATTGAGTTTAAAAGTCCTAGTTACGTATCATGCAGTATCGATCCGCTTAAAGCCCTGCTTTAGATATAAAGTTCGTTCCCTATTTTTACATCGTGTTCCGTTTCATCCTGTCTTCTCCTGAAAATATGAATGTCTTACAAATGTGGAGCGTCGTTTATCCTTTGTACAAAATCTTTGTTTGGTTCGTCATTATTCAAAACAATAATTATTTTTAGACGCTGAATTGATCATGTGAATTGGTCGCCGAAGAGAGGTCTTAAAGCGTCAGCCTTTCGCCAAAGCGAATAGAAGAGCCAACGGTCTAAACTTCAGCTTCAGAACCTCTCGACTGCGGCCAATTCACATGATCAACTCAGTTCAAAAACTTGATTATCGTTTTGAATAATGACGAACTAAACTTCATAGAATTCATTATCTTGTAAAACCCCCACCGACGCAACACTAAAGTTTCTTTAAAAATTTTACTCCCTTTATTATTATTTGAAACGTTCATTCCATGATTATTTTTATTTTGCGTGCAGTCATATTATTTCATGAAATGAATTTTTCGCCATTCGGTAAAATGTAGTTATTTATAACATCAAGTTTCAAACAGTATACAAAGAAGTGCATGCTTAATTGAAATTAACGACTTTTTTCCAGATAATTCAAGTAAGCGGTGAAGCGGTTGGATTGAATTTCCTTCAAACCAGAAGCCGCCCAGAGCATGAACTTTTCAAATCGATCGATAACATATTTCAGAAAATTTTTCAAAAATTCGTTAGCGATTTCCATGGAAATTCAAAGAAACACAAATTAAAATTCTATGGGTACTGGTTGCCAGAAAGTATACTGATGATAGAAATAAAAAAAAATAAACATTCATAAATAGATTGTCGTGTTCAAGTCTTATGACTCGCTCGAGGATCTTAAATTGTCACATGGCTAAACAGTTATAAGCCGAAATAGTTATAGAGTAGCTAGAGATCAGTCATGGCGGCTACATTCTGGTTTTTGCTCACATGTTTCCTGTTCTTTGGATCAGTGTCGTCTTCAGACTATAAGGTAAAGTAAAGAAGTTGATATGTATTGAACTGGAAGCAAACAGATCGAAGCGGAATGGCTATTTGTTTTGTTTTGTGTGTTCCAGACAATGCAATAAGTGCATATTTTTGAAACGCGCGTTTTCTCGCAGTCTAGAGGCAATTAGACTATTTTGATATCTGAAAGATTTTAAAAGACTTGAACCTGTGATGAATTGAATCGTTGAGAATTTTTGAAAATGGAAAGTAACATTAATTTAAGATATTGTTTGTTCAAACTATTGACCCGAGAGCAGGAAAGAGATATGTCGTTAGCTTGGACATTATTGGCAAAGTGCCATGACTCCATAAGAAGCAGTTGAAAATACGAAGTATTTTTAACGACTTTTGGAGTTCTAGTGAATATTTCCTCAGTCAAAACATAACAGGCAAATCAACTGATTGAACGTTTCTTCCGATTGAATGACAGACTTTTATGCAACTCACAGTTTGTTACACAATAATCGGATTAAAAGGAGTTCCGCTGTAGTTTAATGCCTTGAATTTGCTTTAATCCTTGTGTGATTCTAGTTCTCGGATCAACATTGTGTTACTGGAGCCTATCCTCCGTCTGAAAGGTATGGTTTAACCTATTGTCTTTCGCTCTGACGAAGGGCTAACGCTTGAAACTTCAGCTTTAAAACTCTTTACGGTGGCCAATTTACATTATTAACTCAGTTGATAATACTAAATTACCCTGTTATACCCTCCCACCGACGCAGCACCACAGTTTCTTTAGAAACTTACCCCCTTTATTCAATGCCGGATGACTTTCGACTCTCAGTTGAAAATTGCTCTTTAATAATAGATACTAAAGAGAAGTTTACATTTTTTCCTAGTGAGGTTCCTTGGGAAGTTGTGAATCTTGATTTACCACCCGAGCAAAGATACAATGACTTGATGGGCAAGAAGATAAAAGAGGTAGGAGATATGGAAATTAATTGCGCAACATGGATTGTAGAGTGTTGCTAGGTACAATAAAAGCAAAGTCTGCGAGTTTCCGTCATGGATGTGGAGAAATCGAGAAAAAATAAGAGAGGAATACCTTAAAAGATTGCGATGTTGTTTTCTGAATCCGCTCCTATAGTTCAGTTAAAGGTATCAGATCTTTCGCTGGTTCTTTTCACCACCCAGCCCTCGGCGTCGCCTTCAACGCCACTATGAGCTCACAGTTTAAATAAAGCTAAGAGTCAGTCTTTAAAAATTAACGGTGGAGTCTACAAAATTTTATGTGATAAAATAAATTGTACATACAGTTTGATTGGGTTCTTACTTACGATCCATTGGGGGACAGATAGATAGATGACGTCACCATCATTCTATCGTTTAAAACAGTGACACATAGATTCCATGTTGACGCCCGTCTTTTTATCCTTAATTTGTCAAAGATGCACTGTTTTGGTCAAAAATAGAGTGGAGAGCTATTCTAATTATCTTGACCTTGTTAAGTTTCGTTTCATTTCTCTTTTTCTCTTTCCTTGTTTTTGCTATTTGTATTTCATTTGCTTGGCTTTGTTTTATCTCGCTGTTTATTTTTTTTACCTTACCATATTTACCAAGATCCAGGACGCGACAAACTACTTAAGAAACTTTACAAGTTTTATCTTGGATGGAAAACTGTATCGATTTCTCGACAAAGATTTGGTATGTATATTTGCACTTACTTTAAGACATTGATAAAATTCTTCATACTTAGGTGTCTAATTAAGATAAACATTAATCGACATGTTTTAAATTGACCCATTGGGTGAAGTTCAAAAAGAATTTCTTTTTTTAAACACTTTTTCCATTTGTCTAAATTTATTTCTATCGAGCGATGGAAATGGTGGAAATTTCTTCTCGTGAAGACAAATTTAAGGATTCGTGAAAAAATAAACATGATGTTAAAGATGTTTATGTTCAGATATGACGTTTAATTCGCGTTTTAATTTGATTTGACAGGCTTACTTGGTTTACACCCTTCCATCTCCTTACAAAGAGGAAATCATTGGGCTGTCTAAGGCTACTGACATTCCTCTTGGTATGGCCGAAGCGTAACCTTTTCCAAATTGATTCATTTATTTAGGTCTTTTTGGGAGTTTTGACACGAAAATTGCGCCGGACTTCAGATAATTGGTCCGGATTCGAGCCTCTTGGTGTAGATTTTAAATTATTTTATATTAATTTCATTAATATCTTATAAATGGAGGAATTGCGCTGGACTGCAAATCAGTTGGTCCGGGTTCGAATACGACTGCCAAGAGTTTTGGCGGAATTTCGTGCGTACTTTCACTGAAATGAGTGTAAAAATCAAAGAGACCCAGAGATGGACTTTCTTGATCCACCAGGATATTCGAGGATCAATAACGGGTAACAGCTTTCACGCGAATATATAACACGTGTTTAATTTTAATGCAAACGCCATCAGTTTTTCATATCACCATGCTTACATAAATATCATTACAGGGCAAAACAAAAAAATGAAACAAATTCCTAGATTAATTTAGAATGAAGTATATTAAGATGCATTCTTCGATGCCAATTAACAAAGTAAGGAAGCTAGAATTACCCAAGCCGTTTGTATTAATATTTTTGTACAAACTCAACTGATTTGTTTGAGTATAGGCAATCATAGCCATATAAGTTATTGCGAACATTCAGTGAATTCGCTGATGTCCTCTATTATTTCAGGTGAGATTTTATTCTTCAACATCTTTTATGAGATTGTCGCATTTTGCACATCTATTGTTGCTGAGGACGAATCAGGTAAGGAAATCTGAGATATAAAGTGTCTCAGCGTCCAACTTCCTTAAAGAAAGGCGTGGAGCTCAACTGAAAACTCTTACCGAACAACAGTCTGGTTCAGACCGATTTATATGTAAACATGTCTTAAAAAAGAGCCTTGCTCTAGATACGTATTTCTCGTGTGAGAGTATCGTGGTGTCCGGCATAACGTTTAATTCATTTGATAAATTTTTAGAAATGTCCTTGTAATGGGAGATTTAGCAGCCAAATGCTTAGCACAAACTGCATAGGGGACGGAGGCGCGGGCGGCTACCAACATTAGACTGACATCCCATTAGTATATAAACCGGGAAAGGATAAACTCTGGCAGCTTTTTGTGAGTCAGTTTTCTTTGCAGACTTTCCTTACACCGTTGTGATTACTTTTCAGGTAAACTGTTCCACGCACGTAATATGGACTTTGGCCTGTTTATGGGGTGAGTTTCTTTGAAACGTACACTACTTTAGAGTTTCTTAGAATTCCTCATTAATTTTGTTCGATTTGATTGGAATTGAAGCGAAACGTTTATTGATTACAGCTGGGATGAGAAGAATAACACGTGGATGCTGAGCGAGATCCTTAGAACACTAGCAATTAATATTGACTTTCGGGTAAGTGTGACATCATAATTTTTGAGAATCTCCCAGATGGGCAGTAATTTTTGTTTCTTTTTTTTTGTGAAAAAATTAAGCTTCAGAGAGCGTAGAGTTTTCACGTCCGTTTTTAAGAAGATTAAGTGTAATTATGTGACTAACCGTGTGATTGAGATTCCAAGAAGTACACTCGCCTTTGAGGACTGTCTCCAAATGTGCTAAAATAATTTATAACGGACGACGCCATTTTGAAACGTGCTCAGCAACCTGGTGACTCACTTGTGACATAACAAAGTTGCACTCCTTTTTCTCGAATCTCTTAGCGATCTCTTTTAATCACTCAGAGCTACATAAATGGATATTCTTGTCTTTTGATTTTTCAGAGGAATGGCCAAACAGTGTACAAATCAGTTACCTATGCTGGATTTGTGGGTGCTTTTACAGGAATAAAACCAGTAAGCTATTTGATTTGTACCAATTGATAATGACACAACAACAGGTTTTTGCTTTGCAATAAATGGGACACAATGAACTGCTCTTACTAGAATATGTTTTTAAACTAATCCTGATCTCATTACTTGTTCGCCTGTATGGTTCGTGAAAATTTGGTTCTTCTCTAAACTGCTTTTTTGTAGAGTTTAAAATTGATTCAAACGTAAGTTATTATTTACAGACTCTTCATGGAGCAGATTTCAAGTCAGTCATCTTTTTCATCATCATTTCGCTCTTATTGATTTCATAGGGAGTGCTGACATTAACTGTGAATCAAAGATTCGCTACTGATGGTGGTTACGTCGGTGAGAAGATAAATTCAGCTACAACTGAACTCCTATAACAAATTAATTCAATTACCAAAGTGGCTCGACGATCAAAAATATTAAAAAGCCATCTTGTTAGTTGCATGCTTTATACTCGCCACCTTTGTTGCTGGACCACTTTGTCTTACTGGACAGTCCGTATAATCACCCTTACTCAGACCAACCTCTACACGACGCTAACTGCCTCAACAAAGCTTCCTAAACTGTTGAAAGAACCCTTCTACAATGACTGTGCCTCGAGGTAACGTAATACTCGTCCAAGCCATGAGCTTGACCGTTCTATCACGCAGAAAGCTGCTGCTGCCGAAAAAACACAGTATCCATCTTTCACCCTTTCATCCCCACTATAAAAGCCACGTTTTCATACCGCAAACACGTTCATATTTTTCAGGAATTATTGAGTGGATTCTCGGTAATAGAAAAGAGAAGTGGTCAACTTTTCTCACTCGAGACGTTTTAGAAACTGCAACCAGGTAAAATCACAGTATTTTTTTTCTTGCCAAAGTAAGCAGAGCTGAGATCCTGCTGTTTAATGTTGAAAATTTATGTAGATTTTCCTTATGGCGTTTTTCAGCTTCGAGCAGGCTAAGGACATGTTGGCAAACAACAACGTGACAGCTCCTGTATATTACATTCTGGGTGGAGCAAAATCAGGAGAGGTAGCATTCTTTATTCTTAATAAATACCAGAGAATATTAATCTACTTGAGTTAATTTAAATATTATACCTGAGCATTACTTTTGACTTGACTTATTCAAATTATTTTTGTCATCGTTTCTATAGCAGAATACTTGAGTTTGAACGGCAGATGGTCACGGTGTTGGGGTCTAGCTATATGCCTCGGGAATGACGGGTGACAAAAAAAACCCCGCTAACATTTGCCTCACCCCTAACATGAGGCTTCGTAGCTCAGTTGGTAGAAGTGCTTCCCCGATATCTAATTGTCTCTCTCACGTTTCTTTAACAATGACAGAGTTCTTAATCTAAATATTCTGCGGATCACAATTACTTTTCATGATGTCTATAGGCAAGAGAAAACATGCAATTATTTTCTCTTGCTATTGGCTGGAAAGAGTTGTTGCAGAGAGTTTTGGCCATAAATTAAACTGCTCGGTGATGAAGTTTATTTTGATGACAAACTTGTTACAAATATTCTTTTTCAGGGAGTTGTCATTACGCGTTCTCTGACTAAGTGCTTAGATCAAATGAGGTATTGTTTGGTTACTTGTCAAAGTTCTCTTTTTTTTTTCTTTGGTTTAAACTAGAGTTTTGTGAGTCTTACGGAATTGCATGACATGTTCAAATAACTACATCTAGTATGTTATTGATTTTTGTCTGTATGTTTTCAGCCTAAATCCTACAAACAATACTTGGTTTGTTCTGCAAACAAATTATGACAACTGGGAACCTCCTCTGGTAATTGATGACAGGAGAACTCCGGTAAATTTATTTTATTTAAGAGTATAGATTTTGGGGTTGCTTGGTATTTTTTGTATAGTGCAGGCTTACGAATGGGGAAGGGGGAGGCTCAAGTGTTATAGTTCTTGGGTTAAAAAGCCTTCTATTACCATCTCCTCGTGCACAAGAAAACTACACATTAGTTCGTTCAATAACCGCAATAGCCGAAGTTTCAAGATTAACAGGCGTGTCCAAGTTTCTGTTTAACAACAAACCTTTCTATTTGTTCATGTTGTTGTTGTTTTTATTCTGTTTCCAGGGCGAGGCATGCATGAATAAAATGGGACGTGAGGTTTGTTTTCTCATGCGTTTAACCGACACAGTTCCTTTGTAAATTAAGCAATCTTATTAATTCTTTTTTTTTACTTTTTTTTTTACTTTTGTATTATCAGGCCGTGTCATTCAAAGGCATCTACAATGTCCTCTCCACAAAACCTGTATTGAATAAGGTGAGGAATGAAAACAATTATTTTCAAAAATGGACATATGCGATATCAATCGTGATATACTAACTTTGTTTCAGACACTGGCATCATCTAATTTTGGACACTAGTGTCTATCTTTTGATAGTAGTGTCCGATTTTAGACATAAGTGTCCCTCTTTAGACATCAGTGTCCGATCCCAGACTCTAACGTCCGATTTTAGACTCAAGGCACACTAGTGTCTGATATTGGGACCATGTAAATTATTGTCCGATATTGGACACTAGTGTTCGATTTTAGATGCTAGTGTCACGTTGATTACGCAACCTGACCCAGGTCTCTCTCACTATTTCACTCGTGTGCTACTATCGGGCCGTTTACTGTCATACCTCGTTTTACTAAGTACTTCTTGCTGAAGGCCTGGAAGAGACTAGATTTTTCCATGTACATGCTCCTAACAAATGTTGTTTAACTTTCTTTTTATCAAAATATTATTATTTCGCTCACAGTTGACCGTTTACACAACGCTGATGCAAGTGAACAGTGGCAAAGTGGAGACATTCATTAGAAGCTGTCCCGACCCGTGCTTTCCATGGTAGATTGGAAGATTGCATACCATATCTTGCCGAAGAATCGGAATGAAGTTGTGATTTCAGAGTAATGAGTCATTATTAAACAGAAATGTTTTGAAAATCTGTCTGCAATAAATGTACTGAGTGAAGTTGAGAAAAGCAACTTTGATAATGTCGTGTGGTTTGAATCTCTACTTCTTGATTGAGTTAGTTTCCTTTATCTGAATGAACCATTAGCTAAGAACACCCAATAAATTGCCTTTGTTTTATTTTTCAAATAAAAGGACAAGTTAAACTGATTCGATTTTGCATATAAAAGTTGCAGTTGAGATTGGAAAAGCTGAGGTTTAAACGTCCTGTCATTTCAGCTGAAACTCCGTGCTTCACGTGCTTCACGTGCTTCACGTGCTTCACGTGCTTCACGTTTGCCAAGCAGAACGACCAGCCACCTTATATTTTATTCGGGTCTTGTAATTGTTATAGCCATAAATTTAAAATTAATTTTTAAAACTAAAATTTTCAAACAGAACGCTCTTGTAAAGGTGCCATAGTGCATCGATTCGCGACAGGAGATTAAACTTATGATCTCTTGTTCGCGATCAGTAATTTATAACGCGCGACAAGAGACCACATTCTCTTGCACGCGAGCATTCCACGCGCGCACAACCTCTTCTCGATCTGAATCTTCTTTGAGACCTTGAAAAAATTTCGCGAGTGGTCAGAAAGCAGTAAAATTGAGGAGTTCGGGGCAATGCATATGAAGGGTACGACGGTAAATATTTGAATCATTTACAATGGCGTTTGCGCCATCTCGGGCAAATCCTTCCCTTAAAAAATTTCCGCCCCCATTACACCCTCCTCCCCGCCTTATTGTAACTTCCGGTGAGTGGACGTTTAATATAAGGAAGTTTTGTTGTGTCCTTGGTTCAAGTGGTAAATTTTCAGTAACGAGCTGTCGCTATTTCCTATTAGGCGATAAGAATCACCTGAACTAAAATGTTCAACAACATTGGGTAATAAAAGGAAAAAGAACTCAAGAAAAAAAACGAGTTCTCAATCTAATTACGTACCCCTCCCTACCAAGTCCATTTGTAGCCAAGTCATATGACTCACTTGTGGTTCTCCTGTGCATGATATTTCTATTTATGAAATTTATTGTCACAGTCATTCAGCACAGGACTAAGGCAGACATGGAAGCCCCAGTTTGGGTTGCGTTCGCATGTTTGCTTTCGTTTGGATCAGTTTCGTCTGCAACGGTAAGGAAAAACAACAAAAGAGAAGTCAGACGTGTAAATCGAGTGAGGCCAGGTATGTTACGATGATAATTTAGATTTCCGAGCTTTCGCCGATCTACGGAAAACTAAATTATCGTAGCATACCTGGCCTGACTTGGTTTACACGTCTGACTTTTTAACACTATGCTACTCAAGGACAACATCCAACGCTAAACAAAAGAGAAGTTTTTATCATGTATCTTGTAACTGGATCAGATATTTTTGAACATAGCATTAATTTCAGTGTACTCTCGTTAAGTCTTATAATTAGTTTGATTTACTAGGTTGTTTGGAACGCAACTCAAAACTTTTTCCTTCACTTTCGAAGCTTCGATAACTATGTCGAAATTTTTACTCATCTTTTAGGAGTTATCTGAAATTTAAACAGTACTAGTGGAGGCTAACCCTAACCCTGAGATTGTGAAAGAGAGTGCATCATCGAGAAATTGTACAAACGTGGACTTTAAATTGTACAAATTTGAGTTCAAAGGTTGAACCCGCAATAAGCGTTTATGCCTCAGTAGTGACGATAATTGTCTTTGCATTTGATTTACTGCTGCATACATGTATACTTATTCACGAATCAAACTTTTTTCAGGTTAAAAGACATACAGTTTTCGAGCATCTCTCAAAGGTAGGTGGGAACTTTTTCAGATTGTGCAATGTTATGCTTTTTGTTGACGCTTAATGCAAAATCTAAGCTACCAAGCTCGTTCAAACTTTGTAGCAACACCCGGTAAAGTTTCCGCAAAGCCCCATACTATTGTAAAACAAATCTGTTTTCCTAATGGAAATGTATTGTTTTTCTCATTGTTTTCTCAATTCAAGAACTGAATGCATAATTTAGTATGGGGCTGTGCGGAAATTTTACCCATTACGGTTCTCATGTAGTCAACATGTCAAAGTAGAAGTAGAAGTTGTGGTAGACACAAACCATATGGTGCAAGGCCTAGGCCTTGGTTTCAAGCTTTAGCAAGGGTTATTAAGTTTATGGTTAAGACACTTCATTCTGATGCTACCTCTCTTCACCAAGCTTGTAGGATTGTGAAATAAATGTGCAATCAGTGATGTGTCTGACCAAAGTTCAGACAACTGGCTGTAATGGACTGATATTCTTTTCAGGAGGAGTAATAGTACTCCCGGTTGGTTCATAATATAGAAAGGGGGATAAGCTTTGTTAGACTATTTTCATTGCGGACTTGACCTCAACATGTATTTCTAGACTTTGTTTGATGCTTGTTGTTTTCAGTTTTCAGACCAAGACTGTGTAACTGATGCTTACCCCCCAAGTGAAAGGTGTGGTTTACCTTTCTTCCTGATGAAAATTATCATGGCTGTTAATCAATGAAGGAATGGGACACCCATTAATTAAATTTTTTTGTGGTACACAGCTGAGCTCTCTTGGGCAGGGCTGAAACTTTATATCAAGGAAATATTAAGAGTAAATAGTTCAAAGCATCAATTGCTATCTTGTTTTCGTGAAAAAAGGAATGTGGTTGCTCTTTGCACTGGCTTGCCCTCTGTTTTCAGAGACAGCAAATTGCTGTAGTTGCTGATTCATTTTCATTCTTTCAGGGAGGTCCCTTGGGAAGTTGTAAATCTTGACCTTCCACCTGAACAAAGATACAATGATCTTGTCAGCAAGAGGATAGATGAGGTAAGAGGCTGAAGGAAACATTCAAGGAAGATATTTTAGTAATTTGAAACTAACTGCTTTGTCCTTTTTTTATTTCACTCTATTTTATAGCTTAAAAACTTGCTCCACTATATCAAGAATTTCACAAGTTTTATCCTGGATGGAAAGCTGTTTGGATATATTGACGCAGACTTGGTATGTCAGTTAGTACTACAAAATGCTAACATTAACCCTGAAACTCCCAAGAATGATTAGCATCTAATTTCTCCCTACAATATCATCCCTGAATCATGTCGTAAGGTCACAAGAATTAAAAAAAAATGATTACTAAATAAAGGAGCTTTTGACTGTTACACAAATTCTACTTTTAGCATCTTAGGAAATGTGCAGATAACAGTATGAAGAATATGCATGCTGATGTTTGGGTGTAAAGGATCAATGTTACATGTATACAGCTATTTCAATTTACGTTGTCGGATCAAAGCCTCAAGCCTACAAGACAAGACCGAAGGGGAATATGGGATCTTAATGAATAATTATCAGCAAAATTAACAATGCCTCGTCCATACAGCAGACGCGCAAGGCAGTACTAATTGTATTTTCAGCCTCCATGTCCATCTCGCGCCGACAACCCCGAAAGCCTAAAATTAATTCTAATCTACCCATACCGCCTTTCGGTCTTGTCCCGTACCCTTGAAGCTTTGATCCGACAACGTAAATTGAAATAGCTGTATGCTTCACCATTTCAGTTGTTTGACATGTTTAGGAGTACAAAGTTAAAGTATTTGCATAGATGTTTTTCTTTAAGGACAAATATCAGTGAAAAAGTTATACGTGATGTTATAATGTTGCCAAGTCATAATTTTACAGTTTAAGTTTCCCAATGCAGTGACATTTGTGGCCAATGCTTTATACTTACATGCACAAGATTTGCTTTATTACAAGAGAATTCTTGTTAAGCAACCAACTTTGGTTAAAATTTCTTGTTGACCATGACATTACTTCAAGTATTAATTGTGGAACCCCTTTATTGTGATCACTATTGTAGGGTCCTCTTGCAGAAACTCTTCCAGATCCCTATGGAAAAGAGATTAAAGGATTAGCTACTGCCACCAACATTCCTCTTGGTAAGAAATTAACTCGCAGCATGTGAAGTGGTTAACAATGGAACCATGTATGCTGACCACTATTCTGTTGATACAAGTAACTCATCATTGTCACCTTTTCTTTGTGTTCCATCTCTCCATTGATACAGTGTAGGATTTTACAAGTGGGTACTATGCTGTGAGAGGAACATGTTTAATGTTTAGTTGTAATCATTATAAAGCATTTAAATGTAGTTCTTACTGTCAGTTATATTTAACATAGCACCAAACTTCGCAACCAAATCATCCATTTTTTTAAGTTTCATGTCACACTTTTGTATGTCACCTATGAGTGTACAGTATTATTTTTTTAAAATACTTACTTGGAGCTTTTTGGTTGGTTTTTAGGTGAGATTGTTTTGTACAATATCTTCTATGAAGTTTTTACAGTTTGTACATCTATAGTTGCTGAGGACAAGTCAGGTTAGGAAATCTTGACACGGCATGGGAATTTATTTGAAAAGTTGGTATTTTTATTGGGAGAAGGTAAACCCAGACTCTGTTATGGGTAAAAACTTTGGATTAAGGTCTTGTTGTGATTGTGGAACAACAGGAGGTTGCTGAAATTTCTGATAAGTATTAGGTTGCAAGGGAAGGAGGGGTGAGAAGGGAACAAGGGGAGACTGGAAAAATTGCAAGGGAGGGAGGGGTTAGAAGGGAAGAAGGAGAGACTGGAACAAATGCAAGGGAGGGAGGGGTGAGAAGGGAAGAAGGAGAGACTGGAACAAATGCAAGGGAGGGAGGGGTGAGAAGGGAAAAAGAATAGACTGGAATGAATGAAAGTGAGGAAGAGGGAGGTGAAATAGATTTAGGGAAGGGAGGGGAGAGGTGGGATAATGGATCTAGGGAAGGGGAGAAGAGAATGAGTTTGGAGGGAAGTCTCTTAAACCAAATGTTGTAGAGGAGTATGCAGCTTTTGGTAATCTGAAACTTTTGCAGAGCTGGAAACAGTCAATAAATAACTTTTCATTGATATGAAAATCCAAGATGTGTTAGGAAAGGGATGTGTCCTGGTAGCCTTAATTTAGACACAAAGAGTGATGTGCTGACAGTGCACAAAACTCAAATATTTGTCAATACCTTTGTTACAACTTTTCAGGAAATCTTTTCCATGCACGTAATCTGGATTTTGGCCTATTTCTGGGGTAAGCATTCTTGTAAATGACAGCTAGAACTTTATGGGAATCAGTCATTGCCTAGAGTCTTTTTTATTCATTTTGTTTTTAATGTCAATATGTTTATGATGTAAGCTATGTATTGTTTAATTGCAGTTGGGATGTGAAGAATGACACCTGGATGCTGACTGAGATTCTTAGAACCCTTATTGTGAATATTGATTATCAGGTAATATAATCACAGATTGTAGTTATTGTAGTCAGGAGTGATCTGTAAACATCTCTGCTTCCACGAGTGCAATGTGAACTGCTAGACAGCATTGGAAATTATAACTAGTAATATATATTATTATTTTGTATATGGTCAGGCTTAAATTTATTCATCTTTTGAACTCCTATGAATTACTTTCTCGTAATGTGGTGTTATGGGGCAATGGATGTGTTTGCAAAAGGATTATTAACTGGAGTGATTATATAGGACTACTATATATCCTCCACGGCTAGATGTTGTAACTCCCTTAACTGACCAAGACAATTTCTTCTTACAAAATCAATGATAACTAATAATAATAAAAATAATTATAATAATTTATTGACTTCTAAGGTGCAAATTCTAGGTATATAATTATATTAAAAAAAAATCAATATCGATATTATGCAAATTATTAATTATCCAATACCAAGTTCTCCAAACAAACATCATAAAAATTGTATGGCAGACATAAATATGTCTTATAAATTATAAATTGTAAATTAAGGCATCGGTTGGACTGAACATCTTATTTGTCAAACTGAGGCAGTGTTTGTGCATTTTTGGACAGGATTGTTCTCTTTTTGTGATTAAAATTTGACTCCTAATTTAATTTGCCTGCAAATTATTTCAGAGAAATGGAAAAACTTTGTACAAGACAGTCAGCTTTGCTGGATATGTTGGTGTCCTTTCAGGAGTAAAACCAGTAAGCTGTTGATCTTTCATAACTAGTTGTTGTACTAAACTACTTTGTCAGAAGAGGAGCTTAACCATGTTTGTTTCTTATAGCAAATGATAATAATATATACTCAATACTATTACCAATGTATTCAGGGGAAGATTAATGCGGAGGAACGGTTGAACGAATGAAGGGACAACTTTAACAAATCTGCTTTTTCCTTAAAGAATTTTTTTCCCCTCTGCTGGTGGCCTGACTTTTTAATCTTTTTGCAGCTAGACTTTTAACATGGCTCCCCTCCTCTCCTGAGTGGGTTTCTTGACCCCCAGACACCCCTCCCAAGTGAATAATCAAGACTGCTCCCATCCTATACAAAAAAATTCTGAGAACTGGTAGACCTCCAAAACTAGATCTCCAGCAGAAAAATGCTCTCCTAACTCTCCAAACTAACAGCAAAGTATGCTGTTAACCCCTGTAGAACCTTTTTGGCAGTTTCAAGACCATTGGATGGCCCTCTAATTCCTGGTGATAATTGTTTTCAGACCAAAAAGATCCAAGAAAACTGGTTCTCCCAAATAAGAAGTTTTCCAAATGCTCACTCTTTAGCAATTGTGTTCTGTTTACTCGCCAATCAATTGCTACAGCTTGTCTGTGGTTTTAGTGAAGGTCGAAAATCAGTTTGGTTCTATTGTGTTTCCACCTGGATACCAAAGACTATGTCTCCAACTATATTTTTGTCAGTCAATAGATTTTTAATCTTTTTGCCATTGCCAATGTAAACCGAGGGTACAAAAACAAAATGATTTTTATACCAAGGCCTGTTTATTTTTTTTTAGGGAATCTTGACACTTACTTTGAATGAAAGATTCAACATTGATGGAGGTTACATTGGTGAGACAATAAAATGGATTAATAGAATTGTTTACTTTAGTTGTCATTTTAATGACTGTGAGGCCTTATCTAAGTCAGATGATGACTGAATATATATATCTATTATATAAAGGTCAATTTAAGAAATAAAAAATAAGTTTGAAAAATTCACGAGGTATACTCAAAGGTTATCTGCAACAGCTCATGAAACACTTTGTGATATTCAGGGATTGTGGAGTGGATACTTGGCATGAGGAACAGCAAGTGGTCAAGTTTTTTGACTCGTGACGTGCTTGAAAGTGCAACTAGGTAACAATGTCTTGTAAAACGTATGTCTGCTAACAATAAGGCTTCGTGCTCTGATTTATATGGTACTGAATTTTGTTACTTGATGTCAAACAGATTATTTATTTTGTGATATACTCTAGTTTCAAGGAAGCAAAGGACATGTTGGCAAATGACGAAGTATTAGCTCCAGTTTATTACATTCTTGGGGGAACAAAATCAGGAGAGGTAACATTATATCTTTGGCTGTCATAAATCTTAGTACATATCAAGAGTTTCAACAAAAGCCAATTAGCAGTGGTCTATTGCTGCCTGTTATATCTCTCTCCACTGCCTGTTTAGCTTGGGAGCAGGCTCTTGTGCTTGAGTTCTGCCTTATAGCCCCTTTCCTAGGTACAGCCACTTCCTGAAAAAGTCATTAAAACCAGTTGGTATATATCTAAATAAATGAAACTGAGTGAGAGCTTTGTTACAATGTAGCATCAGGCTTCTGAACCAAGTGAGTCTCTTTCCCTGTTAGTAGTTACGATTCAGTTGCCATACAGTGGTTCTGATTGCAGTGATTCATGATTAAGGTGACTTATAATTATTATTACTCAACAATTTCCACATGAAAAAAGGAGAGCAAGGTTTGTGAATGAACAATTGACTACTTTGGTTAGACTGAGTTGGCAATTTGCAAAACTGGGTAATAGATCTTTACTACCTAGTCATTACTGACTTGAAGTGTTAAGGGCTGACTTGGTGAAGGATAAATTTTGTCTGAATAAGATGGAACAACTGTACAAAAAAGTTTTGTTGTTCTATACTACCAGTGCTATTTTTTGAATGAAATCTAGTAAGTTATATCAAGTGTAAGGACCAAATGAATAGAATTTGGTCATTCTGTGGGCTATCCTGTTGTTATATGTATGTGGTATACTGATTAGTAAATCTGTGCTCTCTTTTTTGTTTTTAGGGAGTTGTCATCACACGCTCGCAAACTGAATGCTTAAATCAAATGAGGTAGATTACATGAATGCAATGCAATTCAGTGGTTACAATAATTTTGCAAGTTGAAGTGATATTTTAATATTTTCAATGCAAAACCTTTAAATATGTTTGTCTTTTCAGTCTTAATCCTGCAAACAACACTTGGTTTGTTCTGGAGACAAATTATGACAACTGGAAACCACCTCTATTGATTGATGACAGGAGAACTCCGGTAGGTCAATCTTGATTGCAGTGAAAGGAAAAAAAGGTCACTGATCCCAATGAAGTATTCAGTTATCTATGAATTGAGGAAACTACTTCAGTCTTTATATAAAACTCTTGCAGGCTACATTCAAGTGTGCAGTTTTCAGAAATGCTTTGTAAAGTCACTGATCTTTGGCAGTGATTATTATACCTACTGCTTAAAAACATATTCTTTGCTAACTTGAAAATGTGTTCTTTTTTTTTTTTTTCCAGGGAAAAATATGCATGAACAAAATGGGACAAGAGGTTTGTTTTGAAATGAACTTTGTGAGCACCTCTTTATGTTATAAAGATGAAATCAGCAACAAGGTCAAATATTTCCACTTTATTCTACAGGCTGTGTCGTTTAAAGGCTTGTACAATGTTCTCTCCACCCAACCGGTCTTGAACAAGGTAAGCACATGTTTAAAAAAAAAAAAAAAAAAAGATATCTCTAGGTAGTGTTGTTGGAGGAGATGCCCAGGATTTGTTGGCTTCTGGGGCAAATTTCTGGCTCAATGATTCATTGAGGCCGATGATGTGCTAAGTTTCACACTGAACAATGCTGAACAATTCAAACTCTGAGACTCACAAAACCATATTATCATATTTTATCATGCCACTTTTGTTTAGAGTATGCTTGTGATTTGGCTGTTTTCATTATTGATTTTGTGTTCTCTGAACACTATCAAAAGCGAGGGAGTTCTGTTTTCCTCATTGCAATATAAACAGTGATGTGGTATTTTAATTTCCCCCACAGTTGACAACATACACAACACTGATGCAAGCTAGCACTGGCAAAGTGGAGACATACATCAGATTTTGTGCTGACCCTTGCTTTCCTTGGTAAATCTCATCTCAGGAATACCTAACTATGAAACATTTCCAAACAATAAATAATGATTAACCCGAAATTATTAAAGATTAAAAATTTAAATATGTAGCAAATTACTTCAAACTTTCTTTCCTTTTTGTTAGAAAGAAATATAATTGTAAATTCAACATGTGCTCAAATTTGAAATTGGTTTATACTTATTCAAATGACTTCTCTACCACTGATATCAATGACCAAAATTTTGTAAGTTTTCCTCAGTGTGATATTTGTACCATGTCAGGTCACACCATGCTAGCTAAACTGTACTTTCATCATGAATGTGAAGAGAACTTTAACTCTAGTAAATTTTGTAAGGTTTTTATCCAAGATAAGTGTCTTTTTGTAAATTCATTATATCAAAATGTATGAATTGAAAATAGTCTTAGAATAAATACAATTTACTGCTGTTTTGCAACACATTGCATGATTTTTTTAAATATTGTTTGGGTCTAGCTGCACCAGTAAATGCAACATGCAATGCAACATCACCTTGTTGCATTGCATGTAAGTATTTGAGGTGAATTTCGCGTTTGAATAAATTGAAAAAAAAAAATTGAAATAATTTTCCCTTTCCTCATCACCCCAGTTTCCTAATATGATTGATTTCTTCTTGTTTTTGTGTGTGGCTTGTTTCCTATCAATACCATTCCCTCATTTAGAAAAATGTTTCAGTGACAGACCACCCATTAAAGCAGCAATGGCTGTTACTGTGGTTAGAAAAACTGGTACAGTAGGAAGCCAGCTTTGAAATGTTGTCAACTGACAAGGTACAGGAGGGACTTCTTGTGAAGGGGGCTCAAGTTGATGGATCTCTTCTGCACCTATCTTCCCCATGGCAAATAGCACTTCTCTTGCAGCCCTTTCTCCTGCTTGGACTGCACCATCCATGTACCCTGAAAAAGGGAAATACGTTTGATAAATGATAAGTGAGAGTTAAATCATTTGTCTTGTCAAGATCAAGATGGTGGGACTGCTGTACTGCAACTCCTTGTCAGTTGAAGACTCTAACCTCCAGACTAGACTTAACTAAGGAGAGCAGTTGAACTATGGAAATTTTGAAATCTAAAATTGATAGCAAGTGACTCATAATTGTGGAACGGTAATTGTGAAGAACTGCTCCCCTCACCGACAGTCAGCTGACTGTTGGTTATCTGTCGGCTGACTGTTGGTAATCTGTCGGCCGACTGTTGATAATCTGTTGGCCGACAGTTGGCCAACTGTTGACCAACACCTTACTGACAGTTGACCGACAGATTTATTTAGTTTTTTCTGAAAAGATAACTTAATCTTTTGGTCAACAGATTATCAAATTCTGTAAGGTTTTTATCCAAGATAAGTGTCTTTTTGTAAATTCATTATATCAAAATGTATGAATTGAATATAGTCTTATAATAAATACAATTTACTGCTGTTTTGCAACACATTGCATGATTTTTTAAAATATTTCTTGGGTAAATGCAACATGCAATGCAACATCACCTTGTTGCATTGCATGTAAGAATTATTCAGAATTACACCTGTTGGTTACCTGTTGGTGGCCTGTCGGTTTAGTTTCGGCCAATTGTTGCCCAACAGCTGGCTGGCTGTTGGTGGGGGGGGAGCTTTTCTTCACTATTACCTTGTGGACCAATGGTGGAAAATAAACCGTGTTTCTCTTAACTGACCAACTTACTTTTTTTTCTTACCTGACCAAATTGTAGCAGTTTCAGTTCCAGCAAAGTGTACTCTTCCAATTGGCTCACGCAGAGCTTTACCAAACCTTGTTATGACCCCACAGGGCATAAGGCTGACATAGCAACCACCAGAATACTTCTCAGCTGGCCAGTTCTTGTCAACATAATGATAAGGCTGAAGAGCTTCGTCACTGTGAAACACCTTAGCATACTGTTCACATTGGGCTTTTTTCCTTTCTTCCTGTGTTTTGGAACACCAATAACATGCTTGACTTCCAATGATAAAACTGGAAAAATTGAAGATACATTTATATATCAATTTTATATACATTGAGAATCTACTAAGCTGAGTATTCAGTGTTCTTAAATTATACAACAGGTAAAATATGTTTTAAAAACCAGTAGAGCAATGGTTTTACTTGTTGAATTTTCAAGAATTCCCAGTGATCTTAGGTGGTTATAAGAGGTACCACAGGTGCTAAATTTTACCAGTTACCACCTCAGAAGGAGAAAATTAGTATTGAGATTGGATCTTCTAACAAGTGTTTAAGGAGGCTTGAAAGGGTTTTTCATTGTTGCAGTGTTTGTGAAACAATGGAAGATTACAAGGAAGGATATTTGATGGGGTGGGCAAACTATATGTCTCCTTGCAACTCTATTGCTGGGCTATACTTTGAGAGTACTTGTGGCATCATATCAGTTACCTTGGCAATGTACAAGGTCCACAAAAACGTCCTCTGAATTTTAGTTTTTGTAAATTATCTGAAAAACTAATTCGGTGACCTATCATTTTTATTTCTTTGTTGGAAAGTTCCCTAAATTCTTTAACTTTTCAGACAGAATGGGAAAAATTTATCTAGTAGAATTAAATATATTTAAAGAAAATGCAATTTATGGCTTACAGAAAATTCTACTAGAAAATTTTTCCTGAAACTTTTATATTTGAAGTGCCATCGTGAATGGTGCATGCATACAAAAAATCAAGATAGGTCACTGAACAAAATTTCGAGCTAGAAACAAATGTATTTCGCAGATTTTATTTCTGGTTCACGCAATTTCAAGCAACATTTAACTTCCAGTGTGCTGATTTTGATTCATTCAGCTGACGTGTGCATCTTAGTTGTAGCGTGTGTAGATTGCACGCGCATGTGCATCTAAAAACCCTTTCCAGCCTTCTTAAGAATCAATTCTACTCTTCACCAACCTCACCTCATTATTGCTGGGTATGAACCATCTGGCTTAGTATCATCAACAGTAACATATGCTGGGCTCGAGTCTGAAATCAGTACACCATTTAATCCTTTTTCACGCCAGAATGCCTTCTTATAAAATGTGACTGTCTTAATGACAGAGCCCATAGGGATTCTCTGAATCAACTGATTTTTCAAGGGAGGGAGGGGTGGGTCAAATGACACACTGTTCAGAAGAGCTTGGGGCATGGCACTAATCACAAATTTGGCTTGGTATTTCTTGCCATTTTCACAGGTAACAACAACATGATCAGCATCTTGATGCAAGCGACACACTGGGCTGTTAAGTATGACCTAAAAGTATGAGGAATATGGTTTAGTACAGGATGTCACATAACTTGCAGTGCATTTTGGAATTAATAAGATAGAATAATTCTTTTGAAGATGACAAATTGTGTGAGCCCATAGGGTGAGTGCAATTTGAGTGCTTATTCTTTCTAGAATGCATAAGAAGAATCATGTGATTACTTGCTGATTAAAGAAAGGGGAAAAAAATGTAAGCTAATTTCTTTCACAACATCTTCATTGTTAGCAGTTCCTCTCCAAACCACACCCCAACAAAAGAAAGGAAACGAAATTACCCTATCTCCAAGCCTGTCTTTAAGTCTGTTACTTATTTGCTGAGATCCTCCGATAAATTTTCTTTCCTGACCGGCATCTTCAATGGCAGCCACCCTGAGCACTCCATCTCCTGACTTGAGATACCACAGATAATACAACAGGGACATATCTTCTGGTTCTGCGGCCATTGCATCGTTGTAGATTTGTATCATACGCTTTTTAGTGTAATTTGTCCAACATTTCTTGTCAAAGAATTCCTTTACAGTCATGCTATCCCATTCTAAAGCTTTGCGTGCCTTCCACGGCTCATCAAGTGGAATTTCCTCACCCATTTTATCCAATGTCCGAATCATGTTGTAGTAGTCTAACATCGCCAAGGGATTCCACGAGGACAGATCCCCTGCAAATAATCGCCTTCGTCCATCCAAAAGCTCCACAACACTGCCTTGACTGTAAACTTTATATGTCTCTATTCCTAATTCTTTCGCCACGCGTAAAATTCTATTCTGGGTTGGTCCGACGTACGCTCCACCCAGGTCGACGTACTTAAATTTTGGGTCTTCCAAAGTGTTGGTTCTTCCTCCAACACGATTTCTTGCTTCTAAAATAACAACACTAACGCCATGTTCAAGAGCTAGCAATTTAGCGGCACAAAGACCGCTTATTCCGCCACCAATAACAATAACATCACTCAGTTCCTCCATGTTGGACAACAACTGTTCACCTTTAGGCTTTAGATACGTGTAGTGTCACGTGACTTTTGATGTAAACAAACCCCGAAAGTTCGGACACTAGTCGAGCTCGCAGCACATGTGTCCAAACTTCGGCTTTGGAACTTATTCTTAAATAACTGTCCACTTTCATCGTTTGTCAAGCAAATTGTCATTTCGCTGCCGTTGAAGCAGATGCGAAGAGTGTTTCAGGAAGAATTGTGGCATGGAATAATCGAACTAGTTCTGCGTACAGTGATGTATCTGATCAGGTATTTTATGATGATCTGATTGGTGGGCACTAATTTTCAGACAGAAGTGATTTTATTTAATAATCTACGCACAAAAAACCCCGAAAATACCTGATCAGATACATCACTGTACGCAGAACTAGTTCGATTATTCCATGCCACAATTCTTCCTGTAACATTCTTCGCATCTGTTTCAACGGCAGCGAAATGACAACTTATTTGATAAAAGATCAGAAATGATAAAAGAAAGAGGCCAATTTTGAGCGAAGAACACTTCTTTGAAGTGGGAAGGTATTTAAGAAAAATTTTCAAAGCCGACGTTTGGACACATGTGCTGCATAGGTCGGATGCGCGAGAGTCTCTTTTCACTGGACCCCGGCGGGGGACGAACGTGATGTGAGGGTGTGGTAGAGTGATAATGTCGACAAACAATCATTTATCTCGGTAGGGGAGGGACTGTTAATATTACTAACCCAATTGATATCATCATGTACTTCAAATAAATCATGGATATTTGAAAACAAACACAAGCCCACATGGAATGTACATACTTTCACAGTTCTCGTTTAAATGCAGATTTTGCCTCCATTCCAAACTATTGAAAAAAAGATCGAAAGTCATACGACAAAGTCGATCTCACCCCTCTCCCCATTACAGCAACGCTCAGAGCAATCGATAGTACAAAGGCCCACAAAACTCTGATTCTTTTCTGAGCAAGTTGGACGTGTTCTTTCCTGACGCGAAAATGGCTAACGTTGTAAGTATAACTGCGCGAATTTAGTTTATGATAGAAAGAGAATTATCACCTTCAACTTGAATCGAAACGACACATTTACTTCAACCTAGACGACATTTGCAACGTGAACTTTCCCATCAAGGAGCGGAAGAAGGTTGTTAATCATGATTGCTCCTGATCTCAATATTTTCTAAATTATTTCTTTGTTAGGAAATCTACGGCGACCTAAAGTTACCGTAAAGAATCAATAGTTCTCCAACAAAAAAGTGCCGTGTAGCAGAATTACTTATCAGGTTCAATTTCAGACAAAATAAGAAAGAATCAGTTTGGACAGATAATTTTGATCAAGATATCAATAAATTTGTCTAGACTTGCCTTAATATTAACCTCGACATTCTTAAAAATTAGTCCGGACTAATTAAATTCCAGAAAACTTTAATTCAAGCTGATTGAGAGAAAGGGTTGTCTTTTTTTGTATTCATACTTGCCATGCGGGTTCGTAAAAATTCTGTACAACTCATGAAATTACTCAGCGATACTACGCACCAAAAGGCCTAATTAGATAGAATCATATTATGGACCGCTATGAAATCAACAAGCGGTTGTTCAAAATCTACATCTTTCCCAGAGACTTGCCCCTGTAAGGTAAACATAATTTATAGCATTTGAAAATATGAATAAGTTTCAATTCGGATAGGGTGCCCTAAGGAAGTACTTAAGGGTACCTCCTTGCCTAGATGTAGAGATAGTCCTGAATCTAACTTGCCCTTCAAGATAATTTGAATTTACTCTTTATTTCTCCAAGCTTTTCCCTATAGATCTCTTTAGCTTGTATGTTTTGTTTACCTATTTCAGGTTTCAAGGGAATTCCTAGCTTTATCTTTTGTAAATTATGCATACATATGCACTAGAGGTCTATTTGTAAGAGAGAATGAGATAATTTTTGCCTCTTTGGAAAATCTGGTTGCCTGGCAACCACTGAGTGCACATTGGCATATCAAAGGAGTAAACTTAATTTCCTTCTACCCCTGCTTTAGCGTCATGAATTTCAAGTAGAAATGACTTGTGAGGGTTGTTCAGGGGCTGTCACTCGTGTTCTGAACAAGAAAGGTATGGACCTTAGTGAAATTTTCCCAGTTCTCATAAATCTCTACAAGTAGGATGTAATTTCCTCTACCAGGAGTAGATAACTAAGATTGTCTATAGTAGAACAACTTTTCTTTAGCTGCTACCTTTCCAAGTCTCCTTACACTGGCCAGTTAGCTTTGGTTTACCTTGCAACCAAAGGATTTAGTTAGGAAGGCTAAATTTTTTTTAGAGTTTGTCATTTTGTGTATTTTAATATCATTGAACTGAAGGATATTTATTTCATGCCAGAGTTGTTCTTATAGTGGTTGGTTTCCTTAGCAGCCACCGTTTGGTCTCATCAAGCAGTGCAATTTTTTCCTCTTTCCCCCTATAAATAGGTCAGCCATCTTGAGTTTTCATGGTAGGGTTAAAATGCTTCACTTAATGAGTTTTAACAATTACTTCTTTGCCATAGTATGTCCACTTTATTTATATCAGGCCAGTACTTTGCATGTTCCTCTTTATGCCCTCTCATGTTGTACAAATTGCATTCCACTAGGAGAAAAGGATATTGAAATTGACATGGACAAGCAGCGTGTCTATGTGAAATCTACTTTGTCCTCTGATGAGTTGTTGGAGACAATCAAGAAGGCTGGAAAAGCCTGCTCTTACATTGGGGTGGCTAGTGCATAGGAGGATGGCTGGTCTAGCAATAACCTAATACATAAGTTAAAAAGAAATCTACTGGTTTCTTTGTTCCAAAATAGTTCACTATGCTAAGTGAATGAATGAATGAATGAGAGATTGTGGAGTTCCCAATAAAATTTGTAGAACATTAATTATGTTAAGGCCATTACTGTAGGGCCTATATAGCAGATTATTGAAAACTGTGAAGTTAATTAAAAGATATCTTTGCAAAGTGAAAAAATAACTTTTGTACTTTTGTGCTTTTTATCAAAGCTGGGTGAACACTTTCAGTGTAGAATGAACCAATCACTCTAGTAATTCAAAATGATGAAATCAGAGAAATGTTCTGACATTTCAATGATCAAAAATTTCAAAGTCCAACTTCCAAGTTCCAATTTGAAGATCTAGGGTGACAAATTACTGTTTGTCCTTGAGAAAAATATTACTGGTGAATCCCTTAGGGTGGGAGAGAAAGTTTTACACCTAATGAACTACACTTTAAAGATGTGGTTTTTCTCCTTTCACAACAAAAAATATTGAACATTTCAAAAGAAAAATGTAAGGATCAAACAATACACATGTTAATGGCTCATGTCATTATTTTCAAATGCATAAGAAAATAGAAGTGATATGCATTACCAATTTTTTTTTTAAAACATTTGACAACAATGACAACAAAAGATAATGAAAATCCTCATCTCGAGTTCCCTTTCACATTGCTATTGATAATAAAGAGCCATTCCAAAATGTCCACAGCTTTAATGAAACCAACACACCTTAGAGTACAGACGATTGTATAATGTTCTCATTTAAAATAAGGCCAAAAACATACACCTCAAGCAACTGAATAACAGAAAAAGCAACATGACAAGTTATGCCTTCTGTTCACCCAAGACCAAACCCCTTCCACCCTACCCCCCTCAATTCATTACTTGATCTTATTTCTTATTGATAAAATAGATTTTGCTTATAAATTAATTGAAGGTCATTATCAAAATTCATCTCACTTTAAAATAATCCTCTTTTTTAACAATTTAATGTAGAATGTGCTGATGGTATTAAAGGGAAATGAAAAAAGTAATTACAACTCTGATTTCCCTGTGTTATGAGTAAAAATACTTGTACAAGCATGCCCAAAATTAACCCTTAAATTCCCATGAGTGACCAAGTCAGAATTTCTCCTTACAATATCAATATAATATTGGGCAGACAAGTGATGAGAATAAAGAAAAATCTTAACTAGGGGGTTATTAGTTGATCCAATACCAAATTCTCCAAACTAACATCACAAGAACTGTATGGCAAACAGTAAGGAGAAATACCAATGAGATCTTTGGAGTTAAAGGGTTAAGAGAAAGAATAGACTGGAAAGATACCAATCAAAGTGCTACTCACTTCCATTTTTAAGATTGTCACTTGCTGTGATGCCACAACTCGTGTGCAATAATTCACAAAACTTATGTGAAACCTCACTAGTAATTAGATATCAACTGAAAGCTATCCAAGAATTAAATGTGGCAAAGGAGCTGAATGGGGTAGAACTAACTGCTGACAAATTTAAAAAACATGCAAACTAAGAAAGTTATATGTTCAATATAATGAAATATAGTCTATAAATAAACAGAGTATCCTAAACAGCATGTTTTCCTTAATTTGTCAAGGCCAATTCTACTCTGTAATTTGGTATTAACAACTGGGTTGATAATGTTGATTGGCCACGGTAAAGGGTTTTAAAGCTATTGTTTCAAGCATTAGCCCTTTGTCAAAGAAAATTCACTCTGATGAAGGGTTTTCACTTGGAATGTAAGCTTTGAAACTCTTTATGGTTGCCAATTTACATTATCAACTCAGTCAATAATACTAATTTACCTTTTAATACTCTTTCACTGATGCAACATTTTCATTTGAATAACCTAAATGTTGCAACATCTTATAATGTAAGATCTTTTTGAGAACTATTCACAATGCAAACTTTTCAGGCTACTTGGTCAGAAGTAGAAAGCCAACACATAGTCAGTGGTAGATTTGACTACCAAAAGATCTAACAAAGACTAACCCCTTCCATGAAAAAATATACTACATGCATCACTCCACCATAAACTATGAAATGACTAAAAGCACCATTATGACGTATTAATTATATTCAACAAACACTGACTCAGCACAATGAGGGGAGGGTTATGTCTTTGCATAACAACTACAATGTAATTTTTTTGGATTAAAAAAAAAAAAGAAGTTTTCAGCCAAAGGGGCCTATGTTGATACTCCGCGATATAGAGATTTCCTAATTCTGGTTCAGAGATAAGAAGAAACAGCACATTTGCTGATTCAGTGGTTGTAATTTCTAACTGCTAATACTATTTCAGTTTATTCACTCATTGCAGATATTCCTTTCACTGCCTCAATGTCAAGGGGAATTTCTGTTAAGTAAGGTAAAAAGAAAAACCTAAAAAAACACTTGACTTTGAAATGAAATTATGTTCAGAAAACCAAACAATAGTTTGCTTCTTTTAAGATGTGATCAACAATTTCAAAATAAACTGCACTCATTGGTTATGGATTTCAGAAATGAATTAAAAACTATGATCTTCAATCTCTCCAATGTAATAAGTAGAGCAACATCTGAAGGAAATACATTTCATACATTTGTGAGTCACACAATCAGTGTGTGAGTCAGCCAGTTTATCTGCCTGTTGGTTGATCAGTCAGTCAGTCACCAATGTGATTGTCTGTCTATGAATCTGCCAAGTTTTCTGTCAGTCAGTCTTACAATGGAACATAGGAAAAAGTTTTTGATGAGAATCATTTAGCAACCAACTTAAGTGAAAAGCAATTTCCTCTAGAGCAAATTTTCATTCATAGACTCTATCTTTTAATTATCTACTATGGTTAAAAAATTTGATTTGTTTGTGGTTCGATTCTGAACATGAGATACCAAACATGATAAATCATTTTGTTGAAAATTTTATCCAATGAAAAAAACCATATCCAACATATTGTAACATGTTCAAGATTGTGAACCAGCAAAATATTTACACCTTGTCCCCAGTTAGCCAGAGTAAAAGTTATTTGACCAAAGGAAATATATGGACCAAAACTATGCAATAAATCTCTTTTTCTTTCAACTAAAATGCCTTTTTGTTCATGTACAAATTTGTACAACGTAAAAATCAAATTGACTGCCTGTAATTTGCAGCTATTATCCTTTCTAATAAATTTGATGTCTTATTCTCCAAACATTATTATACAAATGTTATTATAGACACCACACCAATCTAAAAATTTATTTTTTAACCTTTACACATGCTAGGTATAATAAGCCTCTTCCCTGAAAAGGGAAAAAAAAAATAATGCGACTGAACTCAAGAAACCAGTTTCTTTCCTCTGCATTTTTTTTTCTTGAATGCTACATCACTTCTATCTCATATTACCACAACCACAATGCCAAAGCTAATAGCTCATAACAAAGCTGGAAAGGAGCAGCTGTAACACTCCTGTTCTGTCATGGATGACAGACAAAACACAGTTGTTTCAAATAAACTAAACTGTGTTTGGAACTGATCACTGCCAAACTAGAGCTTGCCAGAACATACCAGGTACCTGACCAGATGAGGGAGACCTGTCATGTTTCACCCTGATTTTAACTTTTCCACTGACGTAGCCATAGTTGTACTATCATCTGATTTGCTTGTTGGGTTTCTCTGTGACTTGGACTTCCGAACTGCTGATCTCCATAGCCACCTTACTTTTCTCTTTGTTTCGTCATCATTTTCAGCTACTGATGATTCACTTTCAGTAGTGGAGTCTTGCCTCTTTCCAAACCAGCTCAGTCTCTTTTTAGATTTTCCAGTTGGTGAGTCAGGCAAGCCATTCAAAACTGGTTCATCTTGCTCTAATTTCTCACAAGATGCTGACAACTGTTCCAAAGACTTGGCTGAAACTTCAGATTCTGTTACACCATTTATCAAGGCTTGTGCTCCAAGATGAAGACTTGGATGGCTTTTACTTGTACCAAAAGTTGCCTTTTCTCTCATTTGCACAACATCCTTTTCAGCATGCCTTGTTACATCTTTTCTATTACCTCCAGAATCACTTTCTTGGCCAGTCAAGTTGGCTTTATCATAAGAGGATTCTTTCTGCACATCATGCATGCCAACATTAGCTGTCACAGCAGAGTATGTTGGTGGGAGATCTTCTTTGCTACCTCCTGTCTCAGGAACAGACGGTGCTTTCCAAGGACTAGCACTAGAGGAGATCTTTCTACCAGAGCTGACCCCTGCCACATTGGCCACATTAACAAGAGCTTCTGCTATGGCTGAACCTGAGTTGGTTTGACTGCCACTTCCTTTCCCTATACCAAAGGATGTCTGTGACATGATCTGAAATCCACACAGTGATTCTATTTGTGACCATCTGTGCTGCCTCTCCTCAAGCTCATTTGTAACTTCTGCAAGTGCTGATCTAATATATAAATAAGTAATCATATTGATTAAATATTAGTAAATACATATCAAATTGATAAATTAATCAAATGAGTGAGGAAATAAATATTCCAAATGATAATTATGCCAGGCATAAAAAAATTGAAAAAGTCTTGGACATCACAAACAGTAGTAAGTATCTAGCAAAGAAATGATCCTCTCAAGTTGGACTGCAAAATTTGTTAGTAGTACTTAGAACAGTTAAATTCAATTTCCAATTAGGTAAGAAAAACTGTACCCACTATGTAGGTGGAAGCATCCATTCCACTTTGATCCACCACCCTTCATGACATTTCAGCTTTGCCTCAAACTTACCCTTAACCCTTTCACTCCCAAGATCTAATTAGTAATTCTCCTTACTATCTGCCAGACAATTCTTATGATGTTAGTTCAGAGAATTTGGTACTGGATCAACTAATAATCCCATAATTGATTTTCTTCTCTATTCTTATCACCTGCCTGCTTGATATTGTATTGATATTGTAAGGAGAAATTCTGTCTTGGTCACTTGTGGGAGTGAAAGGGTTAAATCATAAATTTGAATTTTGCAATCCCTCCCTTCCCTTGGAGTGACAAAATGTTTTGAGTGCATGTGCATATCATTTCTGAAACTGAAAATTACATATTCTTCACACAATTATGAAAAACAAAACTAACCTAGCACCAAGAATCTTTTGATCAACTTCATCAATGGTTAGGTCATGAGCTAGACGCAGGGATCCCATCAAGCTATTACGTTTCTTCTTTATTCTCTCACACTAGGTTGAACAAAACAAAGACACTTAACTCAATAAAATAATGTTTGTGGTTTTCACACTTTATTGATGATGTCATTGATTTGACAACAATCCAAAACCCAGATGCTCTTAAGGAGCAGAACCAAAGTTATCACATCTGATTAAAAATATCAACTTTACTGAAAGTCAGAATTTTTGGAAAAAAAAATTGATAAATGGCTACTCTGTCAGTGTAATAAATCTGAGCACAATTCCCCTTTCACAGACCTCCATAGTAACTCATTCAAGAGTTCAAATCTTACCGCCTCTTTTGCTTCCTTCATTTGTTTAAGAGCAACAGTTCTTTTCTGCTGGAAGTGTTTAGTTTCCTTGTCAAAAGTCATCTGTAGCCATTGTTTCAGAACAGCTGGTGCCTTCCATGACTGATACTCCAGTTCTTTCTCAGCTTTCCTCAAAGCACGGCGAACCTTAATTCAGATAATTGAAAAAAAAAGAGATGCGTGAATTTAACAACTCATCAAAAATGCAATTAGGATGGAAATTTGTAGAAGATTTTCTTATTTTTTTATTGGTGTGAACTTTGACTACCAGTAATTTACTTCTCCTCTGAATTGTTGTATAGTTACCCACTTCAATAAATCCCATATTCAAAATCTCAACAAATGATTCCACTCCCCATTCTATATGGCCTAACAAATAAAAAAAAAACTACTGAAAATAAGAATTGGATAGCAGAGCAAAAAAAAACTAGTAACACCAATGCTGATCCTCTACCAAGTTGTTCTAACATTTTAAAGTTACTTGTTATTTTACTAGTCTACTACTTTTGAAGGCCTCTAAGGCCTCTTTCAATTCTGATCAGAACATTTTTACCTGCACCAGCTCTTCTTCTGCAAGCTTCAGTTTCTGCATTTGTTCCTCTGTCCCTGTACGAGTTTCAGCCATAAGTTGAGCTTCATTCTGTGCAATAAAAACCACAGTTACTTAACACCATTCCCCTGCCACTAATGGTACTGTAACATTTTCAAATGAAAACCCTCTATGTACAATGAAACATTAGTTTAATACACACCTTTGACATTTCCAGCTCTTCATTTAGCCTTGCCTCTAAATCAAGTTTCTCTGTAATGGCTAAATGATGATCTTCCTCTGCTTTGGCCAATCTATGAAATAAAAAAAAACCAACATGATTGGATACAAAAGCAACAGAATTATTAACATATCAACATCTAGACCTTCTTTATATGTCAAACAGTGCATGCTGCCTATAAACACATTGCTTATTCAACCTTTTCACCCCTAAGAATGACTACACCTCCCTAATTTCTCCCTACACAATGTACAACATCACCCTTGAATCACACATTAAGATCTCAACAAAGGAGGAAATCATCACCAACTAAAGCTGCTCTTGATTGTTCAACAAATTCTCCCTGTCAGCACCATAGGAAATATGGGGAGAACAGTAAGGAGAAGATGAATACTTATGTTAGGTTGTGAGGGGTAAAACAGACATATGAGTGTGTCTACATGGATGAGAACTGAATTACAGATTGCCAAATTACCTAGTTTGTAATTCCTGGAGACCATCCTCAGCTTGCTGAAGTATCTTCATGTCTTTGATCATACGTTCCATTTGTTCTTTTGCTTTGCGTTTCTGTAAAATAGCTATCCAGCAACCAAAAGTTGCAACCAGCACAGAGAATGCTACAACAACATCCTTCAGTAGGTTATGTCCTAAGACTGAAACATTTAAAACAATTATGTTAGCTATTAAAATAATTTGTTACCAAGACATTATATTGATTTCAAAATAGGTGTTAGGTTGTAACTTTATTTTGGAGTGGGTCAGACAGAGGTTACCAAATCTACTAAAACAGGATCTTTATGTTATCTGTTTTGAATGACTTTCTTTGTGATCACATCTTTTAAAATTAATTGCAGATCATGACTACAGTAATTTGAAAGAACCACCACTAAGATTTCAAAGACTGATAATACAGTAAGACATTAATATTGGCTCAATTCCACAACAAAAATGAACAGTAATCCAAATCTTCAACATCCTCAAACTGACAAAAAACTGGAAATTTCACAACCTAAGGTTGAATTAGACCATTTTATCTATAAAAGAAATGAAGGCCAATTTTCTGCTTTAGAAGACTAAAGCTCAAGATTTAAAGCTGAAAAACAGCAACACTGAATTGGATACAACCCTTTCCTAGGAAAAGTTTAACAAAGCCCCACCCTTACACCGCCTTTGAAGGCTTCTACAAAAATAAGAATAATTTTTTCAAGGATACACATCTGTTAACAGTGAGAAAATTTTGTCAATCCAAAAGGCTTGAACATAATAAACTTACCACAACTCAGTAGATTCTTAGATAGCACATTGCATAGAACAGAGAGTATATTTTGCACTTTCAGGTCATATTTAAGCAATCTTACCAAGTGGAGGTCCAAAAAGAACAATATCCATAGCTCGTAAGCCAATTTTCTTGCGATGTTTTGGATCTTTTATTCCCAGTTCGTTCTGGAGCAGACCATTCTCCTCTGTAGCCAGCCTGCACATCACAAATGCATGCGAGATAGCTTCAGGTAATTTATAATAAAACCCAAGCCAAACTTACCCCAAATATGGAACATAGCTACACCTTGTGTACCTTTATCATGCAATAAATGCATATCAATGTGTAGTGAAAAGAATTACTTATCACAAAAGCTTAGTCAAGGGAGCATTCTCTGGAAAGAAAAATGTGATAATTCATTTTATAATGTGCTTAAGGAAACTCAAGCAATTAACAGTGAAAAGAAATTAGAGGTTTGCAAAATTGAGGATTTTAGTTTAAGGATTCCAAATTAAAGCAGTTACAGTATTGAGAATTACTAATTGCCAAAGATTCATTAAACCACCTGTTGCCAGCTGTTTTCAACATTAGTCTTGCAATCTTTTAACACATTCCTACCAGTAATACTCAGCCAACTCCATTTTTAGATAAACATTGTACACATTCCAACAGAAGTGCACACACCAGTTTAAAATTTATCCGATGAAGCCACTAAATTAAGAAAGCTGTAAGAAAAAAACCTTCGAACAATTTCTCTCAGTATTGCTACTCACAGATGACAAACTCATCTTTAAATCATCAACTTTTTTTCAACATTGCATTTTTGTACAAAAATAAGTGAGAGGGTTGAAAACTTCCTCTTTATAATCTAAGCAAATTTCATAATTTTAACTCCTTGTTATATTACCATTTAATTCATAAAACGTATTTCAATTTAGTACTTTTTGTTGCAAATCATGATCACTACGTCTCTGAGAAAAATACTAATCAAAATACAAAGCCCAATTTAAAAAATCACTTTTTCTCTTAATCCCTCAAATGCACTCTCTATTATAGTGTCACACCTTCTACAATAACTTAAAGACAATCTTTTGTTTTAGTTTTAAAATAACTGAAATGCTTGAGCAAGCTGGAAGACTCACACAAACAAGGAAAGAGTTTGCAGCGTTAGTAAAGATGGTAATATCTCATCTCCTTGATAACTGATTACGGATTCTTCAAGTACAATTAAGACAGCTAGGGCAAACCTGTCCAATATATACTAAGAAGGAATCTAGCTCCTATTAGATAGCTTCCCTGATAGAGTAAGAAGATAAAGTCTAAAAGAAATATTGAATTACCCATTTATCAGAATGTACTATCTAGGAATTTTTAAAATTTTGTTCTTCTGTAGCAACAATTTGTCACATTTTGTTACATTAGGCAGCTGCCCAAATACAAATTCAAACAACATTCATATTTAATTGGCATCAGATGTAGACATCCATATGCAATCTTTGCTCAATTATATAAAAGTCATGTAGCTGTGAGGTGTACATTGACGGACGCGGGAGAAAGGTAAGTAACAATACATCAACTCAATGTATTGAAAAATCAACAACTACATTAAATTCATTACAAATGCCAAACTAGAAACAATTAATCATGAGACTTTGGAGTGAAGCAATTTTTTTAATTCCAAAAGCTATGGAAAAAATGTTAAGACTGAGAGGCTATGGAGAGGCAGCTTGATGAAAGGTAATTTTTTCAAACTTATTTGATTGCCTAACTCTAGGAATAATAAACACACTATGTTCCATGTTTTTCTTTACATTTTTGAATGTTTTAAAATTTTCATGCTGTACTCTTAATGTTGAGGCAAGGGAAACACACCAGTGCAATGTGCTGCATAAGGGGCAAGACTAATTTTCTTCCAGGGATAAAAAGGTTTTAATGTAGAGGTAGCCTGCTTACCGTGGTACATCTGATCCATTGATAGCTGCAGTCACAAAAACATCAGCATATTGTGGAAGATGGACAGAGTTTTTGAGCCATTCAATGACTTCTTCGTTAGTCCAGTTGTGAACTACAAAGCCCAACATTGACTATAAGCTAACATTATTTTAATGATGAAGGGGATAATGAACATGAACACATTAATGTCACTTAATAATGTTGCAGAAATCAATGAGTTAGTAACATTACAGAGCCTCACTTGTTTGAGGAAGGACTGCTTTTTTGTGACAGTCAAGAATCTATGTGGATGTTATCACCAGACTCATGATTCTGACAACAACTTATGCTCACGTTAATGCCATCCATTTTTTCAGGACTACCCTCAACCTCATGATCAGATTAGACAATAGTCACTGTCACTTGTTACTAATAGGATCAAATCTTTTACTGTTTAACCCTTTAACTCCCAAGATCTGATTGGTAACTCTCCCCACCAGCTGCTACACATATCCTGGTAAATTAGTTACAAGAACTTGGTGTTAGATCAAGACAACAACTTCTACCTGATAAGTTTGAATATTCTCATTAGCTGTTTGCTGGATAATGAAAGGATATTATAAGGAGAAGTTTCATGTTGATCAATTCCGGGAGTTAAAGGGTAAAAAAACTGAGACTTTCAATAAGTTGTCAGTCCAAGGATTCTGACCTGCGCTTTGCGCCCAACTCTGCCAGAGTTCATCCACAGAGATGTGATCATCATTTCCATGGAAGTGGGAGTGCCGTTCTTCATCAGTCACTTGAAGTTCATCACGCATAAACTAAAAAATTCAATTTAAGAAATGCAAGATAAGTGCATCATTAGTGAAGATCACATGAAAGAATAAGAAACAGTAAACAGCGCAGAAAGGTAGCTGCCTCACACCAATATTGTACTCACACACATAGAGGTTCAGAGGGAAAAAGTTAAGTACTTGACCCAAGCTTCATGTGGGTGGGAGACAGAGCCCTACTCTACAGTTGTTCAATATCATGGACTCCAGATCAAAAGGACAGGGTTTAAATAATGGCTGGGTACTCAATGGTTTTTTGGTTCTTGGGGAAGACACTTCCCTCTCACATTGTCTTTTTGTACCTGGGAGTATTAATGAGTAGCACAAAACATTTAAGAAAATTTGATGAATGTTTGGGGGGGTGGGGACTACCTAAGATAAATAGGTGATTGTCACTAATAGGAGACAGAAGAATTCTTAAAAGCTATTTCACAGAATTCTATGACTACAGAATAGAATTCTCTCCCTAAATTTTTCATGGAACAAGCAATAATGTTGCTTCTTTAGAAACAGAGCTGTAAAATTAATGCAATTTACCCTCCAGCTACAAATAGTCACTGGAAGCTCATGATCTTGGGATTAAGTCTGAGAGTAAGGGGACAGAAAAACTGAAAGATTTGACCTTTTTTGATGGTAAATCAAAACACTCACCTCATTTGATTCACTCAAGTCAACTTTCCCATTCCTGTCATCATCCAGGTGGACATGTATTTTTGTAATTGCTTCACGATTCAACTTTTCATTTTCCGTCAGATGTTCTAAACATAGTATAGATAGGACATTAAAATTCAACATAACCTTTAGTGTAGAACACTCAGTTGATGTAAAATAATAGAGAAAAAAAAACACAAGAACAAGTAGAACAATGAAAACAATAGGGTTCTGAGAAGGTGTTCTATTGTGACATGTCCTGCGTGCTTCTACACCAAGAAGGAGCCCCTTAATATCTCTCAATTCTTACTGAGAATTGAGGCACAGCCTGTCATTCACCTGTGTAGCTTGTGTCATTCACTGAATAACATCATATTTCACCTACATCATCACACTTAAAATTTACCATCTTAATTGAAATCATCAATAATATATTGGTCTCCAAGGGAATGGAAGAGATAATAAAGGAAGTGTCTGTAATGCCCAGTCAAAATGTTCACTAGGGATTCCATCTTCAAGATTGTGTTTATAATTATTATAAACACAATCTTGAAGATGGAATCCTTACCTAATGGAAGCTGTACCTAAGTTTTTGTCTTAAGCTAATGAATGTATAGTGGTGGTTAACTCTTATATATATTGAAAGTTTTTACAAGACAAAGTTATCAGTAACTGATAACTTTGTCTTGTAAAAACTTTTTAAAAAAATGGCTGCATGCATTACAAAGCAATAGAAACATGTTGGGCATGTAATTATATCTGTGTACAATCACATGTACTACAACTATCCAACTTGTAAGCTAGCACTTGCGCTTAGACTTTTTGCATGTGAAAGAGTTTGGTTTTAGTATTGTACAGGAACTTGATCAATTGCATGCTATGGTTCAATAAATACAAAGTGCATAACTGGAGAGCTGAAATGACAATCAATTCAAGCCTAACATTTAAAAGGCACACATTGACTTTTGACAAGTTTGAATAAAACACCCTAAACACTCTACTTAGCTAATTAAAGCAAACATTCCAATGTATCATGTTCTGGTTTTCATGAGTATGCTTCATTTGTTTCTTTCATAAAAAATAGGATGTATTTCCTTTAATTTTGTACTTTGAACTATCTGGTATTATTTTGCTAAAAAAAGCAATAAAAGCATGAATACCCAGTGAGAATACTGATGTTGCCATGGGTACATATAAAATTTTAATGATAAGCTAGATATTAAAAGTTCCCTGAAGTAAAATTTATCACCAATGAAAATAATGTTAAGCTTTACTATCGAGTCATAAACATCTTTGCAGGCTCAGTGTTCTGTAATATGAATTATATTTAGTCGGTGCTTTTTATCCTCTAAACTAAAGAAGTCCTCTATAGAGATAAAACAACAATGCATCAACCTATATTTTCGACATTGGCAAAGAAGCTGTGTACATCTTTGTTTGCTAGCTTAGCTTTATTATGTCCTGCCTAGGAGAAACCTAGTCTAAATGTTGCATCAAATTCTTTCCATGTTTATTCAGAATACTAATGAATTTAGAGGAAGAATTTATTATTCTTGCAGATTTAGCCAGAGAGATACAGCTTGTTTCACATGTTTTAGCTCCAGATTAACGCAAAAGTTATACTTGTCACCTAATGACTTTTAGAAGTATTCCATGAAAGTTATGAATAATTGAGCATGCTGCATAAATTTAATTGAAAGTTTTAAATATTCTGCATAAACAAGGAAATGAGTTCAAGCAGAAAAAAAAAAGAATGACTTTAGGTGAAATCAGCCTGCTAATGTCTTCTGAAAAGTGCAGTGTTTATGTAATATACATTGGAGTCCATTCTAGAACTCTCTCTGGATATATCATCTTTAATTATTTAACAACATCAGAAAAAACCAAGCTCACAAACAAAACAAACCATGTTTGAAATACATAATTCTGTGGTTGCCAATGTTACTGATGCCCTGTTATTCATTCTTAAATGCCATTTATACCGTGGAAATTCACCAAGTTTGTTTGGAAATATAATTAGGATACGAATTGAACAAAAAGTTGCGCTGAAGAGCAACAAAGGTTGTCATCCTTCCCAATTGTTCCTTTTGTCACTATTTGTAAGCATTTCGTGCAAATTCGTGTTCTGTTGACCTTGGAAACAATCGAAATATTTCACCGTAAATAGGATTCGTGGTTTTAGGCGGTTAATGTCTCTTTTTCATGCTCTGCTACAAATTGAATTTCTGATGCATTTAACTTAAAGCTCCCACGAAAGAAGCTTAGTTTTGTAGCCAAATTAGTTAGTATGTGTAACTGTCCAATTAAAATTCTCCAACTCACATCCCACTCGCACATATAGGTAAACATAGGCTTAACTAAAAAATTATCCCTAAATTCGTGCAATTTTCTCTAAAAAATGTTATATCTGAAAATGAAAATAAGCCATCATCGGTGGAAGAGTTTGTAGGATGCGTTTCTAGCACTCGAAGATGAGGTTGCGTTCAGAAATGCAGCAAAATATATATAAGGCGCCGGCAAACACAAATAACTGCTTCATTTATGAAAGGAATTAGCTCTTTACACTGGTTAATAAAAGAGCTCTGTATGAATTTGATGCGAAATGTATATTTGACAATTACTAAGAATTTTGATCCGAGCAGACATTTTCCACGCCAAAAAAGTCGGCTGTGTAAGAAACAGATCAGCGGCTTACCAGAGTTGAATTGACCGCGACCCTTCGGAAAATATCCTTTCGTCGTCAACGACACCAATAAAACTTTGACAAGCCATGATATTGCCATTTTCTGGAAGTGGATATTAAACCAGCTGATAAATATTTTGAAGGGAAAACGCCACCGGCAGATTCATTTGTTTCTACCATATTCATGCAGCTGACTCGATTTGGTGAGTCGTGAATCCACCATTCGGATACGAAAATCTTCGTATATAATCGGGAGGGTTCGGAGAAGCTTTATTTTCGGTCTGTGTCAAGAGAAAGAATATTTTTCACAAAGTTACGACTTCCTTAACAAGAAAAATTACGGTAAGTGTCTTCTGAGTGACCGATAGTGAAGTAACTGACTTACTTCCCGGTTCAAAGAAAGATTTTAATGCGTGTGTTCCTCGTAACGCATTTTTGTTTCCGGTTTTTAAACTTCCGGTCTTCTGACGTCATAGGTAGGGACACGTCACGAGTTTACAATCGATTACTGAAGTTGTTCGTTTCCCTCAAAATGCCGGGCGATCCGAGCTCCAGAGGTAAGCTTTATATCTTCTAAGACCCAAAAAAGTGTTTTTATGATACTGATAGTTTATCATAAGATACGATAGTCGAAAATAATCGTTTAGAGACGTAAAATTTCCGAGTTTGATTCAAGTTTTCGTACAAGTGACTTCAAACGCTCTCAATATGGCGCTTTCCGTCAGAAGATTTTGATTCCCTCTAGATCTATCTTGCTTATTGTCGAATCGTTCGATCATGTAGAGATACTTTACCTACTTAGTTACTTACGTGTAAAATGAGGTGAAAGACTAGGCTAGTTTCTAGATTCATTTGATTCACATGGTTTTTCTGGTATGACTTTAGTTCAATAGAACTACAACACGCAATCAGATTCTATGTCTACTCTTTATTGAACGGCTGTTCGTTCCAATTTTAGTCACGTAAACTCCTTCATTTTAAGGTAAAAAATGGGGAAAAGAGTCTCTTATTCCCGGAAAAAATTCTCATCAGTCATTAGCGTGCTCCCACAGGAGCACCCATGGAAAACTCTAGGGCAACCTCGAAAATATTTATACCCTGATCTGAATATTCATAACGTCATAACATTAGAAGTTAATCCTAGCCTTCGTTTACAATCACAACTTTCTCGTACATAGTATGACAAACATGGTTTTCTGTTCCAATTTAGCCTCTGGTGGTATCATAGCTTATAATGGCGATTCTGCTCGAGGTTGGAATGACCCTCCAACTTTTGCATTCTCTAATAACTCGACGGGCAACAGACCGAAGTTAGATCTTAGGAAGAGAGTATCACATCAGCAAGCTTTACATGGAATACAAACACCGTCGCCAAGTTTACAACCAGCTGTTGTTAACAACGAAGAAATTACAAACGGTATGTCGAGATTTTCCAGTGTTTCCGAGTTGAAATCTTGTTGAGATTGTCTAATATTAAGGATTGCACAATTCAGCGATGTCATGATGACAAAAACTCTGAAAATTATTTATAAACTTTGCACCCTGCCGTGATGTTACATGTCTGTAATACATTTGAGTCGTAAAATTTTGGTTCAGTAATAATAAATACTATATAACTTCTGCGATGGAAACACGAGGAATCTTCCTCTTTTTTTTATCGTTGTTTATTAGGTATAAATAGATTATCAGTGATCGTGGAAGATCAGATCAGGAAATTTGCCGCGGGCAAAAATAAAAGCCTTCGGGATTTCAGCATTTGTATTAATAAGTGTTTTAAGGTATCACAAACATCAATAGTTATGGAATTTCAAAACCCAGAAAGTGTCTGAGTTTTAGAATGGTGACAGTGATAACTTACACAGACTATAAAGAAACGAAATATACACTATTTATAATCATGCTAAACCAATCACAGCATTTGAAAGTACTTATTAATTTCCTCTTTTTCTAGGTACATCTGTCTGAATTATTATCATTTTTAATTTTGGAATAATAAAAAAACATGTCTCCTTCAACTTGATCTTCAATTCTCTCACAGCTGTGCTTAATTGGAAAATGAAGAATAAAACTTCAAGCAGTCTTAACTTACATGTAATAATTTATTGTTTTTCTCAAACATGATTCACCATTTTCACAGGTGTTGGTGCTCTTAAACTCAATGGCGTCTCCCAGCCACTTTATACACAACCTCCCGTGACAACAAATGCACCTCTTGGAAGTAATAACCTGGATGGCATTGCCCAGCCTCTTTTCACACCACCAGTGACAACAACTCCTCCTCTTGTTAGCCATAATCTTAATGGCATCACCCAGCCGCTTTTCACTCCAGCACCAGTGACAACAACTTCACCTCTTGTAAATACTAATCTCATGGCTCCCTCAATACCAACCATGTTTACAAGGAGTGTATCCACACCATCTTTCACTGATGCAGGAACAGCAAATTCAAGTGATGTATCTGTTAACTCAATGCAAAGTATCAACCCTCCAGGGACACATGCACATGCTAAATCAACAGAGAATCTCTCAGGGAATCTTGGACAACCATTATTTGCTCTCAAAGATCATAGTTTTGAACCAATAAGAACTGCACCTCTACACAGTATCCGCTCAACGGCAGAAATCAGTGATCATTTTGATGATCACCACAGCTCCCCACAGATATTCCATCCAATAACTCCTCCTGTAACAAAAGCTTCCACCATGCCAAGTTATCAAGATAACCCACTTATAACCCAGCCATCTGTCCCACCACCATTACCAAGCCAACCTCCAGTTGGTCACACAACACCTCCCTTGTATCCAGTACACAGGCAGAGCCCTGTTCCACCAACAATGCTCCCACAGGGGAATGGAATAGCTAAGCATCCTCACATGGGACACAGTATGACTCCACCACCACTCCCAGGGAATCAAATCTCATCTTCAGCTTCATTAAGTGCAGGGAATACTCCTCGCAGTACCTCTCCCTCTGGTGAGGAGAAAAATGGAGCTGTCTCTAATGCAGTGGATAACCAAGAAGGGCTTAAGATCACAATGGATGCCTTACAGGATGTTATTAACAAGCTTCAAGACAACCTAGAGGTTAGTGTTCTAGTGTAATTTGTTCAGCACATCATGGCCAGTGATATCCCTTCTCAGTCTTGTTATCCACAGTGCTGTGCAAAGGCAAGGATCACTCTCCTTTAATCATCTCATCTCATCACTCTGACTGTGACTTCAATTATGTCACTTCACAAGAACTTTGTTGCAGCTGAAATAGTAAAATATCTCACATGACTTATTTCAGTCATTGCATCAGCTTGGGAAGTCATTTGTACATGCATTGGTCAACAAAACATTCTCTTTCTATCACAGAAAAGAGTTGCTGATGATATTGCAAGAAGACTTCAAGTGATGAGTCAGAATTGGACAAATGGGAAACTTAGTCAAGGTGTCAAGAGCAGAATGATAAAGCTTGCACAAGGTAATGAAAAATAGATATCTCTTCAAGCTCCTAGTTTTCTGTTATTAAGGGGATTTGAAAGTTAGTTTTACAAAATTGTGTAAGACAAGTTGATATTCTTGACTGGTATGTTAGGCAAGAAGGTTTTACTCCTAGTATTCAGCAAAGACAAAGTAATATTTTATACTGCATGAATATCTTGAATATGATTTAACTTAGATGTTGGCTAGTGCAATTCAGAGTGCCATTACAACTATTTGTCTGTAAATATGTCTCTCTATCTCAAAATGTCATTTGGATTGTAACAAATTGAACTCTAATCATGAGAAAAAGTTGCTAGACACTTTAATTTGCAAAAGTAAGCAAAAATAACATCCCATCTTCGTTACACAAGAAGTTCCAACTACAGACCTTTTTTTGTGTATTTTCAAAGGTATCCCAAAAACATTTGGCCAGGATTGTAGTTCTGTGAAATTCTTCAGTGGCTTAGTAAATCTTTTTTTTAATGTAACTGTGTTCATGATCTTTCATTAGCTCTAGATGGTGGAAATGTTGAGGAAGCACATCAGATTCATATTTCACTAATGGTGGATTTTGTTAGTGAGGTAAGCTCTTCTGCCACACTAAGCCAACAACTGCTGTTGTAAGGGTTCAGTGATAAGGTTAAAATCTTAAACTTAATTGTTGCTGGAAGATATTTTCCTTCACATAAAGTTGTTTTTAAATGCAAAGGAAAACATCAATTTTATTAGGGCCAAGGCAATTACTTTTTAGTGTGTGACATTGTAGACTAGTAGCCTGTACAGAATTAACAATTTGATTTTAACTAATTCCTGTCTTTTTTTTCAGGTAAACCAGTGGATGGTTGCCGTGAAGAAGTTAATCAATTTAGTCCGTACATCAAGTGCTTTCCCAGCTCATTCATGATACTCGAGAAATTTGAAATATTAGACTGTCTATTAGTAATTTAATTGGACATTACAGCAAGTGAAGTGAAAAAGACTTAGGAAATCTCAGGGATCTATGGAGTAGTTGTGATCTGTGACTGTTCCAAATGGTCTGGAGAAATCAAGAATTTCAAATCAAGTTAGAGTTTGTGAATTAAAGACTTTGTTCATCATCTGTTATGGTGTTTTAACACAGTTATTGTACTCTGTCAAGAGGTGGCAGTGACAAATAATTATATGAAATTTTATTTTGAAAAAAGAAAAAAACACCTTTAGAGTTAGTTTTAATATTTAGTTAAGAGGATTTGGTGGAGAGGGCACACAAATGTTGTAATTAATGTGAAATTGTGAGAGCTGTGTAATCTTGCACACAGAAGTGAGTTACTATGTTGGTTGGTATGGTCTGTTAGAAAGTTCCCCTATTTTATACACAAATGATTTGCCCTCTGTGTGGGCTTTATTCACAAATTCCAATCTCTTTCCAAAAATCTTCAATTTGTGAGTAAATATCTGTATTTATTATACTATTAAGAGAACAGGAACAACGATTGAGGGAGCTTTAATTAGTAGAATGTATCCCAAGGTCATTGTATTTAAGCTTGAGAGTTTAGGAATGTAAACTTTGATACTTTAAACTTTAGAAATTTAAACTTCGAGAGGGGCTGGATTGCAATTTTCAACTTACTATTACAGATGAATTATTAACTGAAAAGGAATTACTGCTCAATATTTCGTTGTAATATCTTAGCAATAGCTGAAATTTATGATGTAGACAATTAATAGTAAGATGGATTAATTTAATTTTTTTTTTTCCATTGGTTAGTTTTGAAAAATGAAGAAAAGTGCAATCAAGCCCTCAGACTCAAGGTTTTAATTCAACTGGCTAAGAAACATAGTGCTCAGTTACTGTGCTTGACACAATGTTCTAGTAGAAAAGACTGTAAATAACATTGAGAAGTGTACAAAAGTATCTAAGTTAGTTTAAGTGCAGGAACGGTCATGTCTTAGTGTTTGAAGGTAATCATTAAATCCTACAAGAACTGATGGAGGTGTTTTGTCCACATAAATGGTCCTTTTCAACCCCTTTGACTCCAGTGATTGACTGAGACAATTTATCCTTGCAATACAAATACTATATCAGGTAGACAAGGGATGGGAATAGAGAAAAATATCAATTAAGAGATTATTAGTTGATCTAATACCAAATTCTTCAGAGTAACATCATTTTGTTTCTATGGCAGACAGTAAGAAGAATTACCAAATAATTGAGGTCTTGGAAGTGAAAGAATGAACTGCCTTTAATGAAAATAGTTGCATCAAGTACATTTGTAACAGTGCAAATTATTAAATTTCCCATGTAGGTTTTAGGTTTTTTTTTTCATGCTTAGGATGTAAAAATATACATTCAATGTCTCCCAACCTCTCTCAATGTCCCTTCAATACTTTTCTCTTTTCTTTGAAATAATTTAACAACTTAAAATTCTGAGTGTCTAGGAAGAACCTATGGATTTTGCCTAGAAGATCTATGTGATCTCTCTTTGCCACCAATCAACAGGCATTTCCATATGCAACAAATTACAACTTCCACAAGTTGTGTTACAAAGAATTGTCGATGAAAGCTTATTCCATGTACAGATATGCTGTCAATTTTCTTTTTCACACATCATCAAACATTCTCTTATCATATATTTGTGTTACAACTTGGAGAAATAAGATTGTGTTGCATGAACTTTGTTCAACCAATCCACCATGATTCTGTTCAATTCCAACGGACTGAAAAGAATACAAAAATTAACAGTGAGAAGAAATGTGACTTAAATATTTACTAGTAGTTAATAATAGAAGAAAGCAAGAACCATCTTTTGCAAATTGTCTGATTAAGCACCAAATTCTCATAACTAAAGTGATAAGAAATATCTGGCAGATGGGGGGAGATTTTATATTGAGATCTTAGAGCGACAGGGTTAACCTGTATGTTTGGGAAAATTCTCTTATTAATACAGATAAATAATTTCATTATAAATATCTAATATTTAGGTTGACATTTTCCATACCATTCAAGTGTTACCCAATGTGATGCCTCCTCTATGTGTGCTCTGTCTAGTCTAGGAATCTTAAGAAAAATTATCACAATCTTAAAAATAGAATACATAATTTGAACCTGGGGTAACATGTGTTAGTGTAGTCTGGTCGTTCAGGTAAGTGTAGTCCTGACAAGGACTGTTGTCATCAGTGAAAACTGATGATTCAACAACCTGAGCATGAGTAATCATCAGGGTCAAGTGTATTGTTGTCGTCAGTCACAGTAGTCCTTGTCAGGACCACCCTCACCAACAATATCAGAATACACTATCAAACTTTAAGAACATCATTATACTCAGCATACTGTTACCCTGATAGTACAATTTATTTTCCACAAAAAAATAATTGGGCCCTTAAGACCTGTTAAATACTAAATGTCAGCTTAGGTTCTATTTTTGCTCTCTCAGGATTCATAGTTACTCAGAAGGTGATACAAAGTCCCAAAAGTCCTAATGTACATGTAACCCTATCTGCACTCATTCCTCGAACCAGTTGGATTGTTATGCAGTTAAAGTAAGAGAGGTCAGTAACTGGGAAAAAATGTCACAAAGACATATGACTCCTTAAATTTCCAAAATTCTCAGCAATAATTCACAGCTAAAAGAGAAGCATATAAAAATTTTATGGGGAAAGAAGTGTGAAAGCAAGGAAAGACACATTAAATGATTTTAAGTAATGTCACTGCATGTCAGTGCTAAGTTTCAGTTTTAGTTACCAAATGAAATGAATCATTAAAAAACTTTTTGTAACAACTGACAACAGACTGTTTTGCTTACCCATTGATCCATTTTGACACAGAACTGAGGTTTTATGAGGACATCCCTTCCTACTGTGATCATTAAACTTGGTTGTTGCACCTATACAGAAAGAAGTAAAACCTTTAAAAAGAAAAGGTCCACTGACACCTCCTCCCAATAACAGTGGCGGCAAACACACAAAAAAATCATGTTACATTTCAATGGGGAAGAAGAAAAATCAGTTCAACAGATACTAGATATTGTGAGGAGAACTGAGATGTGTAAAAAGATCTTTAAATAATCAGTGAGAGCCTCAACAGGAATTCAAAGTAAAAAGGAAATTTCAGATTTACCTTACGGCCAGATACCTTACAATTCCATTTCCAGTCTTTTTCCATTGTTCTGTACCAATTCAATGGCCCCCTATAAGCATCACATGTTACAGTAATATTAGTCTGTTGCCCATTTTGGTTTGATTCTCAATTACAATGAAACTATCAAATTAACAGAGCAAATTGGGCACAGGAGGACTGGTACTTCTGAAATAACACTCTTAAAATTAAAATAATTTTATTATTGATGAATATTCAAGTTAACCTTATCTTGAGTTGTTTCTAACCTAAACCCTGTCTTGTTGTACATTTCCACCAAATACTTCAAGACATCATTAGTTAGAATCCAGCTTTTCTCCACTTTTTCTGGCAGCCCAGTAAAAAGTCCACCTAAATACATATAGGAGAGAATATCATGCTCTTAGCTTGGAATGGACCTTGCGTTGGGAAGTTGTAAGTTGGTGTTGTACATTAGCACAGTAAATAAACATACCTCTTTCAAGCACATCATAGGTACTCCATTTCAGTTTCTAAATAAATAAATTTAAGTCTAGAAAAGTTGTACAATGATAAAAGTAGCTACCCAGCTTAGTATATAACCAAGAAAAATTTATATGCCTACCGTAGCATATTTAAAGAAATTAAGTTGCCCTGTCTCCGGCTAATGCTTCAGTCTGTTTTTATTTGGACATTTTAAAAAACTATCCATGACATTTCAAGTGATCCACACCATCACAGCCCAGCTTAAGGCTTCTATATCATCAAAGAACTAGGAGTACTTCCTTACCTGATGATCATTAGCGCCTCTCATTAGCATGACAAATGTTCTTTCAAAGTCTCTCTCAAGTTCTTTCTCTGGAACACCCTAGTGAACATTTAGTTAATATTTATTCAGCGGCAAAGTTACTTGGTGTAAAGTGTGAGGGTTTTTTTTAAAAATAATGCTTGTGAGTGAGTTATTACAAATTACTTGCTGTAGCACTAACCTCCTTGTGAAAGTAAAGTTGATACTGATACACTCCTGGGTTGGCTTGCAGTCTTTCCAGTGGGTTCATGGTTGAAAAAGAGGGAATGAATGGTGTCATGTTTATCACAGCCCTGAAAGAAAACACCTCCATTGATCAGGAATTAAACCTTTCAGTAAACAAGTATATGCTTATTATTAGATCAGAAGAAATAAGGGAATTATCAACTATGATATACTGTACATGGATATATGTTTAAGATAGGTATGATTACAGGTGGAAATAATTTCAGACTAGTTCAAAATGTATTTCGATTAATGTAAACATAGTAACATTCAATTATGGTGATGTACCTAGCACAAAGAAGATAAGAAATCAAACAACTTGAAACCTTTTTTGCCTGATATTCAATTTTTACTACTGACAACATATAGGCCCCAACCAACTTCTCAGGCATAGCAAACAGTGATATGAAATCAATTTAATATACATCCATCAACAAAGTTGGTTATTAAATTTAGTGAGTGTGCTTTCAGTTAAAAATAATAAAAACCTGGAAGAACATCTGAGTTACTTACAGGATCCTCTCAGGGTAATGAAGGCTAAGGTCCCAGGCAATAAAACCGCCAAGATCACGACCCACTACTGTGGCCTGTTGAATGTACTGGTTGAGGAAATAATTATCAAAACAACATGTTTACCGTCTGGCACAAAGCATTGAGAAAAATAAACTTTAATTTGCTCTCATCTGGTCAATTCTGTCATAACTGAAAATTTTGAGGGCATTATAACATTATCGATGGTGACAATAGATTGGAAACAGTGCCGATGATTCTGAGTTCAAAAAGAATATAAAATACTAATTACTGGTAAATATAATTAACTTGATGGTACAATTATTGTTGAATCACTGTTTATTACACTTCATGGTGCATTCAAACTTAATCAACTTTATCATGTTAATTTAAAACTTTCCTTATATATGCAAATATTGTTCTGTCACAAAGGTTTGTTTTGTCCAATCAGCATTTTGTTACACACTTTAAATTCAACTTTGTAATTTGTATTATTCAGAACTGAATGACAGAAGAATTATTGAAACATGTTTTTAAAAAGTTTAGTTCATTTTCTTAACCCAATAATCACCTTTTCACAAAACATTTCAGTTTTGAAATATTTAATTTCTGAACAAACATCAGCCCCTCATAAAAGAAATATACCATGTCTAAAACTATGCTGTTACAGTAAACATGGAGCAGATACTTACCAATGAATTCATCAGAGCAACAATGTCCTGTGGAAAAAAGAATAAAATATTGAATATTCACCCTTTCATTAGCACACTGTTGGTTTCTGTAGTGGTCTCATGCTTCCAGAGGTCTTATTACTAGCACAAAGAAGACATAATCATGTAAAACTTACAGCACACACATGTTCCCTTCCATAGGCCTCAAGCTCTGAAAACATAATTTAAAATATTTCAAAACTTTCAGCTGAAATCAAGTTATAATTACGAAATGACGTGCAACTTAAAAATGAAGATAAACTTTTCATGTCTGAAAAAGACAGCTGAAGTCAATATATCAAATATTACCTCAACCCAAAAAAATTTAGAAAATAGACTGTGAAAATATAGTTTTTGTAGCTTTAATGTATCTCTAAAAGCTTTCTATTAGAATTAATAAGCCTTGAAGTTAGCAAATAGCATTGGTTATGAAATGACCAAAATTCTTACAAATATCATTTATTTGATAGCTGTGACAATAAAACTGTTTCATCATGTAACAACTATTACCATATGGACTTGATGTTTGCCCCATCCCTCGAAGATCTGGGGCAATGACTCTGTATCCAGCAAGGGCCAGAGCTGTGATCTAACATACACAAAATAACACCTTAAAACAGGCCACAACCCTGGACAAGTTATTGTAGAAACATCCCACTCAGTCTCTCTCACTATTCAGTCTTTTTAGACAAGGGGGAAGGGCAAATTTTTTCCAGACAATCACAACAAGGAGAGTACATTGTAAAGTCTTGAAGATTGAAGATTTTAGCCATGGTCAAGAGTATAATAAAAGTATTGGACTGTACAGATATCAAGAATAAATCATAAATTAAAACTAATAATTAATAAATATTAGGTAAGTAAAAGTTACTGTTCCAATTTTTGGTAAGGCTTACCTGATATTTCCAAATATACCACAATTCAGGGAAACCATGAAGCAAAATAACAACAGGTCCATGCCCCATTTCCACATAATGCATCCTGATACCTGTCTACAAATACCAAAATCTTTATTAGTGACTCTGGTTATGGCTTTAGTGCTTCTTCTAAGTTGGTTCAGAAGATTCCTTAAAATGCACTAAACAGTCTTTATGTAAGCTGTGTTTAGACAATCAGGTGGCACTTCCTGAAAAATTTGGGCTGGGCTAGACGAGAAAAGAAACAAGTATTATTACTAATGTCTATGGTAACTGTTTTTTTTCTGGTTTCCTACTGTTGTTTTAAAGTTTTATAACATTATCTGCATAAAATATACCCCATGCATCCAGTAAAAAAGTCTACAAACAGTGATTTAGTAATTTGGGTCCTGAAGAAATCAAGTGTTACTCTTCAATTTAAAGGGTTATTGTAAAGAGTAGCTCAACCTTAAGATTGATGTAGCAGTGAACAGCATCATGAGGAGCACAAGGTTCCATTGCATACTGCTGAAAAACCTACAATGCACAGAGACAATAACATAAAGGTCAGTATAGTAATCTTGATTGAAAAGAGTCAGAGTCACTGATAAGTCTGTCCACCAATTGTACTGACTGTATCAGTTCTCATGCTTTGCACCAAGTTAAATCTGATCTTTCCTAACACATCAAACTTACATCAATTCCTGTTATCTTTTTAAGATCACTGAGAGCTGTAACAGGATTTTTCACAAGAATGGTTAACATTCCCATTCCTTTTGCTGGTTTGAGATTTTGAGGGGAATCATCCAGAAATATCACCTAGGACAGAAATAACAAATTAACATCATTTCACCCACTACACTCTAGCATCAGAGTGTATATTCTCCAGACCATTCTCTATAAATTTTCCTAAATTGCTGATGAGGAGAATTTAGTCAACAATCATGAGCTTCTCTAGTTGGTGATCATAATTTTCTTTATTCTCATGACCTTTATATGTGATTCAGTGATGATATTGCAGGGAGAAATTAGATGCTAGTCACTCTTAGGGTCAAAAGGTCGACACTCAGCAGTGAAAGGTAATATTGTCAACCCTCTCTGGCAAGAAGTCTTGAAAAAGTATAATTCCACATTCTTCCTCAAAACAGTCCAGCAAAAGGCTTAAAACTTGCTTGAGTTCAAGTCAAATCCTACTATGCAGCAAGCTAACATGATAATGTTTGTCTTTGATAGCCAGAGCTGATACCTAAATGGCTTCTATTGGCAATTTTCATTACTAAAAGATGATTGAACAACATCAGACTTCGTGGTATAATTTAGATGGAATACCACAAATATATGGCAGTTATATTGTAATATCTACAGGTATCATTAACTTTCACACTTTGTAAGAATCCTTTATATTCTCAACAGTAAATAAATATACACCTCTGAAGGTTGCACTCCCATCTTTGAGCAGACATGTGTATAAATATCTGGGTCAGGTTTACTGAGACCAATTTTACATGATTCAAACACCTCATCAAAGTAGTGAAGCAATTGTGGAAAAGGCAATGATCTGAAGTTCTTCACTAAGTCGTTGGTCCAATTATTTGTCAGGATACAAGTCTTGATACCTGAAAATATAAGCACCACAATTAGTCAGATAAAAGTACCTGTAATGTAATCAAAGTTATATGAATTCCTTTGTATATTAAAAGGCAACTTGAACCCTATGTCGTTGTAGGCCTTACCTCTGCCAAGTTCCATAAGCCTAAATTCTCCTCATGAATGACAACAGATTTCTTTTTTTAGCTGGTCCAGGGAATTTAATTCAACATTATTTGTTAATATCAATTGATTAGTTATTTATTTCAATCCTCACTACCTGTCTAATTGAGAGTGTGTTAAAATGTGAGAGGAATGTGTATTATCTAACAAATCACTGCTATGAGTCAACTGTGCTGGGGAGTATAACAATCCAGATCCAAAAAAATTATCTTAATAGTTCAAGTAGGCCATTGCCACCTTTCTAAAAATCATTTTTACTAACCGTGCTTCCTCAGAGCTGTTGCAGCATTAAGCATTTCTGGAATTACTTTTGCTGATGAGGAGTACTCATCTATAATGTCTTGGAAGCTTATAGACTTGTAGAGATCACTCCCTTGTTTTGAAGCATACTCTGCATACATTGCATCCATTTCAGAGCAGAACTTTAAAAAAAAAAAATTAAAAAAAAAAAAAAGCAAAACAAAAATTTTGAATGGTGAATTATATATTCATATCCTATGAAGGAACACTAGTTTCAGTGTTTAAGGAGAGGCAGAGGGGAGGGTGTATGTACAAAAAGTAATTTCTTTCCCATTCCATTCCCTCTCATTCCTCTTGTCTATCAGTTATCCCTTGGTCGACGCTTATTTCTCACTTTTGGCCTTCCTCATGATGGCTGCAAAACTTTTCATACACTGAGTTCTACAGATAGAAATGATTATACACACCTGAGAAAGGGAAACTTGACCTGTTTCAAGTCTTTTTGCATTGTCAATGAAGCTTTTTATTATCACCTCTCTGAAATTAAATAAGAAAGTTCGTCAAAGAATATTAACTTTAAGAAACAGTCAAGTCCAGGACTTTCGAGGCAATATTATGCAAGAGAAACGACTATACAGAAATTTGCTTTGATACTTTGTCTGTTTTTGTTTGTTTGTTGGTTTGTTTAAGACAACTTTCAAATCTAGAATGTACACAAAATTCCTAGCTACCTCTCAATTCCTTTTTCCCACGCATATTTCTGAAATGCAAAGATAGGACTTGTAATGATGACACCCCCGAGATCAAACATAACAAGCTTCACCATTTTTCAGCTGAGAGAATCCCCGTGACGTAATTTGCAAAACCTTACACTGTTCCTCACATTCATCTCAGCTGATGAGCCCAGCTGAAAGCTTTCATGAACCTAATTCATTTGTAGAGAAGATTAGCTGACTGCGGAATCAGGCCTCCTCGGGATCATAAACCTAAACCTCAATTTGATTGGATAAAAGAAATATAACCAATCAGCTACCCTTTGATATGTGTCATTGATAATACCCAAAATGGCGGAGGATAACCTTCCTGATGATTTCGATGTGATTGTACTTGGAACGGGTAGGATCTGTAGTAAAATAATGGTGTAGATAAATTTTGACGGAAAAACAGTCTGAAAATCTTTTGTTGTGTGTTACTGCAGTTATGGGGCCACTAAGGCGAAATTTCGATGAATTTTCTCGGAGATGGGGAAAGGGTGTGCTTATCAACTTTGACCTCGAATTCCACATTGTAGTGTTAGTGCATCAGAAAGCGTAATTCGTAGCCAGTCTTATTTTTTTTTACAAGGTTTCCCGGAGTCTGTGGTGGCAGCTTCTCTGTCAAGAGTGGGTCTGAAGGTTCTTCATTTAGACAGGTCAGTGACAGATACACAAACATGTTTTCTCGATCCCAATACAGAGTTAAATTTAGTGCTCAGTTGATGATCCACATGCGTCGGTAATTAAACGTAGGGTGAAATTTCCGCACAGCCTCATACTTCATTATGCATTCAGTTCTTGGATAGAGAAAACAATGACAAAAATAATACATTACCATTGGGAAAACAGATTTGTTTTACAATAGTATGAGGCTGTGCGGAAATTTACCAAAGAACTTGTATCTTTGGGTTAGTTGTGTAATTATAAATCAAGAAATTGTTCAGAGCCAGATCCTGTAGTGTAGTCTTAGGGTTCATAATTTACTACTAGAATCATACTTTTCTGGGTTTCAGTAGTAAGGACCAACAAGCTTAATTGCTTCTTTTCGTAGATATGATGCTAATTTTTCACAGATTAACTTCCTCTTGGGGTTTTCCCTAAGTTTCTTGTCCACTGCCTACTCTGTCATAGAGGGAGGTACTCTGAGAATAAAGTTTTCATGAACACAAAACAATTTCCTCATCAGGGTCCAAACAAGGACATGGGAACCAGGATTACACCAAACGCACATCATGCCACAAAATCTTCCATGTTACTAATAGCATGGATAGAGGTTGCATACAATTATAGTAAATGTAAAATTTGCTCATTATTTGATCTAGGAAATTGTTTTTTCCAGGAATGATTATTATTCTGGACAGTGGGCAACATTTACCTTTGACAGTTTGTTAAAGTGGATTGAACTCAACCAGGTAATTAAAAGGATTCTAAAATATATATTCCTTTATGCAGTATGCCTAATTGATTTGGAAAGTGTTTGATATAGCGATGATGATGATGTAAATTAATTTGCAAAAAAATGTTTTTGATTGTAGGGTGAAACTCATGGAGGTGCATCAGATGAATCTGGTGCCCACAACAAGGAACCACCAAGCTTGGAGTCTGGTACCTTCTCAGTCCCAGTTCCCAGCCACTCTAACACAGTGAGCAATATAGTGGTTAGATCTTATTTTAGGTGAGTAAGGTATGTACTTGTTCTTTAGTGAGATATTTTATTAATTAATAAATTAAAATTATGGAGAAAATACGAGTTCACAGTGCCAGTACTTAGCTTAAACTTTATCACATGAATATGGGGAAGGATCACCCAAAAAGAAGGATGTCACTTTTCAAACAGCTGTTTCACTCCTTGTTCCCTGGAAAAGAGAAATCTTCAGTTCAAGTTTGGCTCAAACACTATATTTGCCATGACATTTGATGATGATATTTTCTTATTGCCTTGCTTACACTGAACTCTTTAACAATCAAAAATGATCAAAATTACAACTTACAATGTTGATACACTACTCAGCAATTAGGTAATAAATCTGAAGAAGACAAACATATCATCCAATGGCTGTTATTTTGCTTAATTATTAAATTTTAAAATTAATGGTAGCCAGAAGGAAGAATTACTTAATAAATCTGATAATGGCAATCAGAAGGTTAAAGTAGCCTTTTTTGAGACTATTAACTGTAACTTTCTATTAATTTTGTGCTTTGTTGCTTTAGTGAGAAAAAACAAGAGCAAGAGTTTGGTCTCTCTGGATCAAAGGAGGACTCAACACTTGAAACAGCAGCAAGCTTCAGTGAAGCTTGGAAATCTGTCGAGACCAAAGAGGTTAAACCAGTTCCATCTGGTGAAAATGACCCCTCAAAAGTAATTACAGGTGCAGAAGGATCAGGAAATGAAGCTGAAGGTTCTGTAGATAGGCCATCAGATGATAGCCATGAGAAGTTGGATACATCAGACTTAAACAGCACTAGCAGTCCTACTCAGTTAGAAGAGAGTAATGAAACTCCGCTCAGTGAAGAAAAAGTTTCTGATAAAGATTTTAAGGAGAATCATGATGAAGAGCTACCAACAGTAACAGATTCCAGAGATGGTCAAGAACTTTCCTCTTTGTCACAACCAAGGCATAGAAGTGAAAAGAAGCCTGCTATATGTCCTGACATGACATATGATGATCTGAAGCCATACTGGAGAAGATTCAACATTGACATATCTCCTAAACTTCTGTTCTCCAGAGGACCCTTAGTGGAGGCACTGATCTCGGCAAATATTAGTCATTATGCAGAGTTCAAAACTGTAACCAGAATATTGACATACATGGATAGACAAGTAGAAGAGGTACCATGTTCAAGAGCTGATGTATTCAGCAGCAATGCAATATCTGTGGTGGAGAAACGAATGCTCATGAAATTTCTGACTTTCTGCCTTGATTTTGAACAACAGCAAGAGCAGTATGAAGGACATGAAAACAAACCATATGTTGAATTCCTCCAGTCGCGCAGACTGACACCCAATTTGCAGCATTTCATAATTCATGCCATAGCCATGGTCAAGCCTGAAACTGCAACAGTCATTGGACTTAAGGCTACGCAAAGCTTTTTACAATCACTTGGACGCTATGGAAACACCCCTTTCATTTGGCCCCTCTATGGTGCTGGTGAGTTACCGCAGGCATTTTGCAGAATGTGTGCGGTGTTTGGTGGTTTATATTGCCTTCGAAGAAGTGCATCAGAAATAACAATCAGCAAGGAAAATGGCAAGTGTACAGGAGTAATTTCTGAGAATCAGCTCCTGAAGTGTAAATGGCTGATAATGGAGCATTCATATGTCCCAAACATTTACAAAAAGGAGTGCTGTCAGTTTGTTTCCAGAGGAGTTTTCATAACATCTAGTTCCTTGAAGATTTCAAAGGAGGAGTGCGTATCAGTTCTGTCTGTTCCACCATCATTAGAAGGAGAAGAACCAGTGAGAGTCATTCAATTAGGGTCAGCCTCTATGGCCAGCCCTAATGGCCTCTATGTGGTCCATTTAGTCAGTAAAGGTGTGACGTCAGCTAAGGATGATTTGGAAGCAACAGCAAACAAGTTGTTTCATTTTCCTTCTGAAGGTCAGTTTTATCATTTCTGTTGAGCAGTGACATATGAATTCAGACCTGAAAGGAAAATTAGCCAAGTCCTCATTTGCAATTGGTAGTAATATTTTCCATCCTCAATTACCCTTAAATCTTAATTCTTTGACCCCTAAGAGTGACTAGCATCTAATTCCTCCTTAAAATATCACCCCTGAATAACACACTAAGGTCACAACAATAAAGGAAATGATCACCGACAAAAGAAGCTCTTGATTGATACACAAATTCTTCTTGTCACCGCCTTAGCAAATGTATAGAGAACAGTATGGAGAATATGCATAATGATGTTAGGGTGTAAAGGGCTGAAGGCTTAATCTCACCTCTTCATTGTTGGTTGACAGTACAGAACCATTGTAAAATTCCTTTTTATTTAAGGCAGTTACCTGTGATACGTTAAAATACACTAGATGAGACTCATTATTTTATTGAATTATTGTTCTTTGCCATTTGTCTCAAAGCAGGAAACCTTCACAGCGACAAGCCAACAGTTCTGTGGTCTTTGTATTTCAACCAATTTATTCCTGATTCCTCATGTGTTGTTGACTTGCCATCAAATGTACATGCTCTCTCGCTGCCTGGATTGAGCTTAGGATTTGGAGAGGCATTGCAGCAGGTACTGATAGCTTTCGGCTAAAGATATTGTCACTGCATTGTCTAAGGGTTAGGGATAGATAGGTGAAACAATGTACAGAGAACGATCAACTGGGAAACTCTGAATTGGACAAAAATTTGTGGGAGGGAACATAGAGCTGAAAATATTTAGGTAGGAGTTACTGGAACTATATTGAGGACATTTAAAAAGTTAGGATGTTTTTCTTTTTACAGGCTAAGGAAGTGTTTGAAAAAATCTGCCCTAATGAAGAATTCTTGCAGCCTGTTCCTAACCCAGAAGATATTATATTGGATGACTTTCTACAGGATCCAAATCACAACACCCCACAAACAGACTTGGCAAATCCTCAGAACGATGATATCATAGACGGTGGAGAGGGGAGAGCGTTACATGAGCAAGCTGAGGGTGGGGATGGTGGGGATGGTGTGGACAGCCAATCAGTAGAAGAGAAAAATGAGAGCGGAACTGGAGCGACTTCTTCTGAACCGCAAGAACATTTGGCAAATGAATGAAAGTAAATACATATGTTTTTGCAAAGGCTAAAAGAGACAGTGACATTCATGAGGCCACATGGGGCTAGCTATCGGCGTTCCACTCTCCTCCACTGACCCGAGCTGGCGTTTTCAAAATGGAAGCTCTCTCGAAAGTTTCTTTAGGAAAATTTTGTTTTCGGTGACCGAATGATCAAAATAAGTTGGACGATGAGGCAAACTGATAAAACTAGGCCCCAGATTTATCCGAATGGTTGTGGACAGTGCTCAAACAAAAGCGTAAAAGGAAACCTTAGAAATCTGGAGAGTAGGATCTTTTCGAAATCGACTAGCTCTGGAAACGAGGATGATATTTTCTTATTATTATTTCATTAATGTGCCAACGTTCATATCTCTCTTCTTGTTTGGGAATCAAGCCATGAAATGGACTCAAGCAAGGAACATTTGACTTCAGTGCGAGACATTTCCTACAAGATTGTAATTTTTGTCGTTCTAATGAAATAAAAACAGTTAAAACAACAACTAGTGAATAACCAGAAATTTGCAAAATCTATAGGGTAATTTTTATCGCATACCCTCTTTACTGGACTCTTTCCAAGATTAATGAATCCACTTTGCGGAATGTTTCAAAGTTTTGTTTTATGTTTCCGGTGTGTGCACGTGTCGGCGAAGTGACCGGGTACTTATAAATCTATTGGGAGTTATTATGCGGGCTAAAAAGAATACGAAACTGTTGGAACCTTTACACAGTTTCTTCATTAAATCTGTTATCTCAAGTTAATTGCTAGTTTCCTTTGTTTGAAAATGAGACGTTTACTTTACTACAACGCAAAATTTACATCCACTCGAATGACTATGGTTCCATAGTTTCACTGTCCTTGGCTTTTTTCATGCTTTTTGTGTTCATTTTGGTAAATGAGGAAACTCTGTAACTTAATCTCCCCGAGATTCTTAACTCAATAGGCCATAAAGCAAGTCGAAAACAATTATGATTTATTTTGGTCTGTTGCTCACATCACATGGTATCCACGTGAATTTCACGAGCCGTCATAGGAAATCAGGGTTTTACTAGGAAAACAGCTCAAAATAGATAAACTTATTACAAATGGTAAAGGCGGTTCAACGAATAACCGATCCTCAGGCAATGTCTTATGTTTTCTTTCCTTCGAAAATAAGATCACGAATTAAAGTGGATGATGAAACCTTTTGCGTGGTTGGTTGCGACTGTAAACTCAATCTTTCATTCCTACGCATTTTGCCCGATATCACGCACAGGTGATCGTATGATGTATAAAAGCATGTGACTTGAGGTCAGCTGGCGTGCAAATGGAATGCAATACGTGTATTACATAACAAAAAGTTTTTGTAAACTTGGATCCAAAACAATTTTATGGGATAGCATCGTAGTAGAAAAAAACATGTCAGAATTAACAAACGTCAAACTTATCTGAGATTTTGATGAACAATGAATATTATTTTTCATAAAAGTTGATTCAATTTGAGTTGTTTGTTGTTTACTTTGATTGGTAAAGAATTTTTACAAAGTCATATTTGTGGCATAAACATTCGTAGTGAGCAAAGTGTCCCTACAAGTTGCAAAAAAAGAAGAGTTTACATAAGCAATCCTTATTTGGTAAGGATGGGGGTGTTGTCCTTACGTCATTCTGCAGAACAACTTAAACGACGTACCATATTTTTGTTCTATCAAACTTTTTCAGGTGGTGATGCCGGTTATCAATTACTCTCCCTCCAACTGTAAAATCACCGCCGTTATCTTCCAGCTCTGTTTCTTAGTCATTTTATTTCGATCATGAGTCAAACAAAGAAACAGCACTCTGCCATGGTACATTTCGTCGCTGGTGGTTTAGGCGGCTCGTTTGGTGCCTTCGTAACATGTCCTCTCGAGGTGATTCAGACGAGACTTCAATCTTCTGCGTTTCGGCTTCAACGAACAGCAAATCTACGCGTTTCTCGCAATATTTCGTCCAGTGGCCAAGCCGCAAATTTAAGTACAGCTAGTGTGGCTAACTCGAAGCTTAATGTTGCGGCGAATCGCTTCAAAGGAGTATTTTCTTATGGAAGGTACATGGTTCAGCACGAAGGGTTCTTTTCGTTGTACAAAGGATTGGGGCCCACATTACTCGGTGTCACCCCATCAAGAGCAATTTATTTTGCCCTCTATTCCACGACAAAGGAGATACTGAACAAATCTGGCAAGCTAGTTGCCGATTCTTCACTTGTTTATATGACATCCGCGGCTATAGCTTCGTTTGTAAATCACACGGTTACAAATCCTTTGTGGTTCGTCAAAACGCGACTACAGTTGGACAACAGGGAAGCGCGGAGAGTAAATGCTTTCCATATAGTAAGAGATGCTTACAAGAGCGAAGGAATCAGAGCTTTTTACCGAGGACTTTCAGCTTCCTACGTAGGAATCTCAGAGACAGTAGTGCATTTTACGATCTACGAGAAAGTGAAAGCGAGATTGCTAAAGTTTCAACAGAAGACGCAAAGAGACCTGAATGTGATCGAGTGCATGCTGTCAGCCGGCGTTTCCAAATCCATCGCTGCAAGTCTTTGCTATCCTCATGAAGTTGCACGAACTCGGCTACGTCAACAAGAGAGTGATTTCCTCGGAAAACAAAAATACAACTCGTTTCTTCAAACGCTGAAAACAGTTGTGAAAGAGGAAGGATGGAGAGGTCTCTATGGAGGTTTAGGAACCCACTTAATTCGACAAGTTCCAAATACAGTGATAATGTTTTTCACTTACGAAGGAGTCGTGTACCTTTTGGAGTAGTTAATGCGTTCGCTTTAAATTGATCAGTAGTTCTTTATCAACAATAATCGTTGTTAAAACCAAATTGGTGCACCCAATTTGTGTAAGCTGATGTAGTATGATACTAGCGCGTAAGTAGATTAAATTTTTGTCAATTATCATCATTTAAAATTTCAAGTTCAAGGAAATTTCCTGGGGGGGCAGCGTTTTTTTGTTTTTTTTGTTTTTTTTTTTTCTGAACGACCTTGGTGAGTCCATTTGTAATGGAAATAGTGTCTTTATCCTCTCTTCAAACGCTTTAAACCTAGGAAGAGCTCTCGCAGGCAAGGTGATAAATATTTAAATAAATTAGATTGTTCTTTTAGTTCAGGAGTTGCTATGGGTTGCAACTGAAGTCTTGGGAATGATATTGATCAAAAGTAACCATTTGTTTATTCAAGATTACATAGCTCAGGTCAGTAAATGCCAAGAATGATATATCAAATAGGTAGATGTGTTCTAAATCTTAATTCTTGAAAAAAGACTCACTCAAAAAAATAAACTTGGTGAGAGTGTTCTTTCAGAAAGAGCATATGAAATAATTTTGTTTTCTCCTCTCAGGAAAGGTATCAGCAAAGCATTAATCATTTCGGTTTGCCCTTTTTTTTCATTCTTTTATTTTTCTTTTAAAAAAATGTGAAGTGAATGGTTTATTTGGAAAGATGCATGAATTAGCTTCTCACTTAATTACTGCGTAATCATGTATGTTTTCATAGAAAACCCTATTCATCTGATTTTTCTCTTGACCTTTGCTAAGTGCAATTGATTCTTCCCAGATGTACACAAATGGTTCAGTGTAAATATTTATATTTCGTGTTGTGGTCTACATGAAATTATGTCTCATGTAAATATAAGGTCAAGGTAATGAGGTGTTTGGAAGAGGTTGCATTTTGATATTTTCTAAATAAGTATCAATAAAATACTTTCTCAATAAATATTTTGTAGACAGGGTGGGTAGGTAATGTTGAGTACTGGTCAGGGGAGTGGGAAGGGTGAAAGAGTTGAACTGAACTATTATTGGCAGAAGAAACTATTTATACTGTTGCAGGTGAGAGTAGCCCTGGAAAGAGTTTTGCTTATTAATTACTGCTAAGAATTTATATTTCATGAGGACTTTTGTTATTAAAGTGAATAAATACCTTTCACAACTGCTTAGTTGATGAACATATTTCTAATGTATGGATTGGTTACAGACAAAAATATTTGGAAACCTCACAAAAGTGTTTTCTGAATCATGACTGTTATTACTGACTCCAGCAAGCTATGAAATAGCCAAAAACCATTTGTCCATTCCTCAGCTTGAAGTTCTTCCCAAGTTGTTTTCAATTAAAGAATTCCTCTTATTATTTTTTCACAATCACTTATTACTGGCAAAGGGAATTATTTCTAGTCTTGCCTTCTATGGCTCTGATCACATTCACATTCTTAAATGTAAACCAGTATTAATGATCTTTTCTTTATAGCCTTTTCCTTTCCTCATGTTCACTGCTCATCTGAGAACTGCAACTTAGTTTACGGGAATCACAGTGTGCATGTCTACATTACAACCTGTTATTATAGTATACCAAGTGACAGCTGGGTGACACAGTCAACCTCGTATCCAGGTCCTTTTTCCGTTCGCCCCAGACGAAGGGGCTGGGGACGAGTTTGTGACACGGTTTGATCCTCCTCCCCTTGAAAAATCCAAGCCACACCGCTGCTTTTTGTGTTCATAGGCCTTAGTTATGATGTTACAGAGGACGTAAAATCCCAAAAAGGCTTGGTGACTTCTCGTTATTGATATCGGGGGTGCAAAATCAACCTCGTTCTCAAGGTCCCCTTTCCTTCAAGTTCCTCGCGGAAGGAGGAGGAGGGGGAGGAGAGAGGACGATGTTGGGATGTAAAAACCCACTTGCAGACAATAACCGCTCAAACACCGTCACATGATCTGTCCGAGGAAATTGAAACAAGGCAGCTAAGACCTTTTGTTTAAAAAAATGTCGTTGGAAAACTTTCTTTAGAATGGAGGGGGGTAAGTTTCCAGAAAAAATGTGGTGCTGCGTCGATAGGAGAGTATAATGGGGTAATCTGGTATTATCAACTGAAATGATAACTCAATTGGCCACCGTGGTTTCAAAGCACTTCCTCAGAGCCAATAGCCCTTAGCGTTAGCCCTTCGTGCATTTGCTCTGACGAAGGGCTAACGCTTGAATGGTCAGCTTTAAAACCGTCTTTAGGGTGGCCAATTTACGTTATCAACTGAGTTGACAATACTAAATTACCCAGTCTTTAGGATGAGTTTTGAGTTGCCGACGTTTCTGGTAATTGTGGGGTATATGTTGATCTTCATTCATTTCATACGTAAATAAATTATTCAAAACAGAGCCTATAATCCATCGTATCGTGTTCTTAGTTTTGCAGCTAAGTATCGTCTATGATTGTGCTTTTGAATTGTAGCGTTACGTGTATTATAGGCAATCTTTTATGAAGATATAGCCTCTCCTTAAGTCTCCTTCATAGACGTTATTAGGGATGTCACTCAACCTACCCACAGAGTAAAAGAGCTTTCGCTCAATCAGCATCATAAGGGTCTTAAGGGTCAAACAAGCCTATGGCGTGTCTCCCTTTCCCCAGTCCTGCAGAGAGAAAAAATTCCTTGAGATGAGGAGACAAACTTCACTAAGAGGAGGGATTCCCACCCAAAGAAAAAAATGGAGAAAGGTAAAGAACGAGCAGATATATAAATATACATATTTATATACATACATATAGATTTTCTCAATCGTATCATCCTCCCCATTCCCGCTTACATGGTTCGCGAGAGAAATGGGGGGGGTGAACTGAATTTTGTAAAATCAAAATTAACTCTCACTGTAAGAAAGGTTCTAAAAAATATTATCAGACAACTTTCAAGATGTAATCGGCTTCAGTTGTGGCCCAAATCTTTGTTGTAAACGACAAATAGGTCACTGAGCCGTGGGTGCGGTGAATTGGAGGCCGCCAATTACAAACTATGCATTTTCATACCCCCAGACCCCCCTAGAAAGCTCACGCCTACGGCGTTCGTGGTGCTCCCCCCCCCCCCCCCCTTTGAAAATCCGCCCCTTAAGAGCACTGTCATCAGTTTGGGAAACCCCCTTTTTTTGGAAAATAGTGAAGAAAATACCTATGAATTTATTCCCTTTTACTCGTTCTAAGGGACTTGTCAGAAATTAGCAGGGGGGAGGGGGGGTGGGAATTTTAAATTTGGGTTCGGAAATTAGGTGACCCATCCCTGCAATGGGAGTGAAATTTGCTAACCCTCCCCTTGAGCTTGGCCTAAAATATTATGACCCTCCCCCTCTACTAACATTATTAATAACAACATTATTCATAATTTCAATAAGACTATATAGCATTGTTATAAATGAAAAGTACATGTTTGTTAAATTCTTGCTATAGTACTTCACAGTTTATATCCATAACGTTCCGTAAACCGTTGTATTTTTCTCTTTTTTTTGCCAAATAAAGAACTTCCTTTTTCTTCTGTGGGTGAACCTCTACATGATCACGGGCATATATTTGCATGACCCTCCCCCTTTTAACTGCCCATTTTTCATGACCCCTCCCTTTTCTGAGGCTCAAAAAGTTGTGACCCCCCCTCTGTTTCCACCCCCCCTCCCCCCCTGCTAATTTCTGACAAGTCCCTAACCGGAATAACCACACGGTACCATGCATATGAATCATACCAGAAGCTCAGTCAATGTTCCTATATGAATTACGCGGTGCAGAATTTTGTCTGTGATAGAGAAAGGGGGCTTGAGTCGGGTCGCATAACGAAAGTTTCAATCTCGAACCCAATGTCATTTTGGCTCCTTGTTAACGGTATGGTCGCTAAATAATGAATGTCTGTTTGGCCAAGGTAGGTCATGTATGGGGAACTATTATGGACATTACTTACGCTATTTGGCGACCATACTGCTGACAAGGAGCCAAAATGACCCTGGGCTCGAGATTGCGAAAGTTATTCCATTCGACCCAAGCCTCTCTCCAATCCATCCGTGTTTTGCTTTTGTCAACGTTTGTTGCATTTATTTCCCTTTCTTTTTGATTGTGCCCTTGTCTAAACACCGAGATTACTACCACGTCTTTAATAGTTCAGTTAAATCACCTACACCCTGATGAGCCGAAAAGGGTTCTGAAAACTTACCCACGAACAACAAGGAAAGTCACTTGAAGGGCTGAAGCTTCCAGAAAATAGCCCAGGAAACCCTATTTCGAAAAGTCGGATGTATCGGCCTCAGAGAGTAAATGTTGAGTAAGAATATGATAACGCAGAAGGATTCTACGACTTCTACTGTGTCTAAATCAGGTCTTACTATGGCCTTAGTCGATGCCTCACCAAGATTTTCTGACGCAGAAAATTTCTTCACTCCTCTTTCAAACCGAACTTAACTGAAACGGCACAGATATGATCATGAGTTTGTGAGTAAAATCTAAGTTGCATATGTTATCTACTGACAGAGGGGGTCGGTGTAATGGACATCTTCGAGTCCAAACTCAGCCTCTAGGCTTTTATTTTACGACAGACTTGATTGTTTCTTCCCATTCTCAAACTCTCTTGAAATTGGTGACATTTTCCCCAAACACCGCCCTGGGAATATAGTTACCTTCGACATACCACATCTCTCAAAAAGGAAGCCTTTTCTAACTGGATATTTTTCCCTACTCTTGAATAGTAGCAATCTGTTTTGAAATAAGTTTTTTCTCTATAGCGTAATGTATGTAGTTCGTTGCAAAAAACGTGACGCTTTACCTCAGCCGCGGGCAGAGATTAGGCAATTCCGAACTGAGCTTACAACTAAACAGATTGCTACAACAATGTCATTCTGCGGGGTCCCTTCATCTTAGTAGTTGGGAAATCCGCAGAACTCTAGAACAAAATTTATCTTTTAAATCGGAACTTTTAATCCCCAAGGTATCAACGGACGCCATTCATTTAACTTATTTATCATTGTGTTTTCACGTTACCATGTTCCTACCAATAGCTTAGCCCTATTTTTTTGTACTTAAATCTCTATTTGCTGTGACGAAGGGCCAACACTCGAAACGTCACGTTAAAAACTCTTTTCGGTGGTCATTTGACATTATAAACTCCACTGATAAAACCAAATTAGATACTATGTACCTACTTATGAAAAAGCATTTTAATATTCTTGGCTACTTTGAGCCCGGAAAATAACGAAGGAAATTTGTTGCATGTCTTGCATGGCGTATACGTGTGTTGTAAAACCCGGGATATTGCGTGTAAAAGTGAGTTAACGCATTTTAAATGCGTCATTGGTACAGTAGAACACATTCTTTATTGTCTTCGATTATTCAACGATACTGTACGTGACCCGAATATGGTACTCCTAACCCCTCCCCTCAGGAAAACCTGGAACAAATACTGCATGTTATTTTAACCCAATCCCACCCTTCCTCCTCCCCAGCCCCACCTCTTTACACACCTCTTTACATGCGCCAGCTTGCTTTCCGCGCGTCTTATTTTTGTTCTCATTTCATGATTCTTCCGCTCATCTGGCTCTTTACTCCTGAACTTTAGCCTTCTATATCCACTCGTAGAAGTTGAATCATTTCCAAAATCGCAATTATTTGTCGCAAAAAGGGGGAAAAAAGTGTTCATGTCTATTACACGTGTGGTAATTCACGAGTCAGCTCAGTCGCGCACTTAAAGCCCTCCCCCTAGGGGAAAAATTGTCACATGTTCACGTGAGAAGTGGACCTTGATGTGAGTTTGTGAATGTAGACCACGTGAAAGTGATTGAGTGACCAATCAAATTAAGTCAAGCAACCGTCTACAGCTATGGCCATGTGATTCCTGCGGAGTTTGTAGTAAACAGAGTACAAGGTTCGTTATGTCATACTATTCAGGATTAGTTACCTAAAATACTCGGGGTGAGAAGAAAACGAACCTTTTCCACTGCGAGATCCATCCAGATATGAGTAAAGGAAGATCCCCGTACGTCCATTTAGTGGCTGGAGGGTATGTTAGTTTGAAAAGAGATGTGTTTTCCTTTATTTGATCGTTTAAAATACACATGCCATAACATCCCGCCAACCGTTGTTTTGCTTGAACGAATCCGCAATTTTCTGCGAGTGAATTCGTGCCTCACAGAGTGTGCGATTTTCCATCTCTCCGTGAAAGTAAGCCATGTGTTATCGAGAAATGTAGTACTGTGAAGTAAGAGTCTAAGATTCCTTACGAAAATATGAGAAATTGGGAAACGTGTGCCTATGATTACACAAGCGCTTTTAAAGTAGTGTGTCTGAAACAATGGAGCTTTTTTTTAACGCATCCGTTAATGTTATATGTTTGATATTAGTAGAAATCCACCTTAAGTAACGCTTCCCCTTGATAAGTCCCCGTCATTTCATCGATCACGGGTGAATTTCCGAATGTAAACTCTATTTTAACTTGCGACGCTGTTGTTGAAGGGTGCGTTCCTACGAGTGGATGCTACTAATTTTGTAGAAGATGAAAATGCAAGAAGGAACAAGCTTAACTAATTTTGTTTTTCACTCTTTTCAGTATTGGAGGCACCGTTGGTGCTACATTGACGTGTCCTCTGGAGGTTGTAAAGACGAGATTGCAGGTACGATTATCCAAAACTATCAAAAACTCCTATAAGACATAAAATATATCTTAAAGCTTTTTTTAACCAAGAGTCGCATTCGCCTGTTTGCAATATTTATTTGCAATTTGTTTATGAATTTTCATGGCCTGCTTTCCATGCTATCTTCAATTCTTGCGAAAGCGCGCTATTGCAAATGGGACGAAATCGAGCTCACATTACCATTTGAAGTAATAACTTGTCTGGATATGATTGAAACTCTTTCGCAATCAAAGTTGTTAAGTTTGTTTTCAAGCAGACCTTCTCAAAGTAAAATTACTGGCTACCTTATTTACTTTGTGGGATTGCATTACTATCATGAGTGCGAGTCTAACTCGGATGACAGGCACGTTTTTTGGGACTGACCTGGTTTACGCATTTTAAGAATGACTTGAGTCGTGACTTGTTAATAATCCTGTCTTATGTAGAGTCCTTTTCACTGGTCTGGCTTGGTTTTCAGAATGTTACCTTGCCACTTTTCCCTCTTTCAGAATTTCAATTTGTTACTGTGAATAAAAAAGGCAAGTGGGCCATAAGGCTGCAATAGGTCACGTTTTTAATACCCAAGGCTGGTGTCAAAGCCCTGTCTGTGTGTTAGTTGGGGTAGCCAAGCTTTAACTTCCATACATGAATAAATTTGGTTGACCTGAATATCAGCTCTGTGACTGTTCCAATGTAGATTATACACAAAATATAATATCTTGAGCAGGCAGCCTTGATTTCTGATCTGTTTATGCAATAGGTCACGTTTTTAACACCTAAGGCTGGTGTCAAAGCCCTGTCTGTGTGTTAGTTGGGGTAGCCAAGCTTTAACTTTCATACATGAATAAATTTGGTTGACCTGAATATAAGCTCTGTGACTGTTCTGATGTAAATTATACACAAAATATTATATCTCGAGTAGGCAGCCTTGATTTCTGGTCTGTTTAGAAGAGGCCTTGAGATTGCATCTGTAAAACTCAACAGAAACTTTTCATGACAAACTGTGTGCTACAAATGAATAAAGGGGTAAGTTTCTAAAGAAACTGTGGTGCTGCGTCGGTGGGAGAGTATAGCAGGTAATTTAGTGTTAACAACTGAGTTGAAAATGTAAATTAGCCACCGTAAAGGGTAAAAAAGCTGACGTTTCGAGCGTTAACCCTTCGTCAGAGCGATTAGAGGAATTGTGGGTTGTGTGTGGATTTATATGTAGAAAGTGGAGCTACGCCATTGGTGGGAATATGGTGACGAGAAAACAGGAATAAATTAGTTGAATGAATCAACAAGCGCTTTTCATGGTGGCTAATTTACGTTTTCAACCCAGTTGTTAACACTAATTTACCTGTGTGCTACAAATGACATGCTGTTACTAGCCTCATCATTGAGAACAGTCTTTCTTGTTCAGTCCTCAGTTCCAACTTTTAGACATGTTCTGTACCCATCTGCAACCGGTCCTGGTGGTATTTGGAGTATTCCAGTGGAGATCAGTTACTCAAGACCTGTTGGTATTCTGTCCTGTTTAAAACATATCACCCAAACAGAAGGTTTGGCAGCCCTGTTTAAGGGCCTTGGGCCTACATTAGTGGGAGTAGCTCCTTCTAGGGCATTGTACTTCACAGTGTATGCTAAAGCTAAACAAGTGCTCAACAGAAGCGGCTTTGTGTTTCCAGAAAGCAAACTAGTACATATTGGATCTGCTTGTTCGGCAGGTATGTTCTAACAAAATTTCGTAAACTAGTATCTTGTTAGGCTTGGGTCTTTCCTCTCACGGCATGGAAAACTTTGTCAACTGAAGTATAAGGCTTCACAGTTGATAAATGCATTATCCATTGTGCAGCATTTGATTTTATCAAAAGTTTTATTCAATTTCTTTTTCGAAAATGCTGTTTGTATTTGCATTATACTAAGTGACTTCTTTCTATACAGGGATTGTGACTTCAACTTTAACAAGTCCACTTTGGGTCGTCAAGACAAGACTACAATTAGACAATAGGTAAAAAACTGAATTATATTCTCAAACAGGTCCCACTCATTGTAAGGGGAAATAAGGAGCATGTAAGCTGTAAGCAGTGATTTTGAAAATTATAATTCTTCCTTGGAATCTTACTAATAAAATAAAGAGCTGGAGCAGGTTGTTAAAAGCTGGTTTACGATAACCCAGGGTTGGTCTGAAATTTGATTTCAGATCTAAAAGAAAATTCATTAAAAGTCCGTTTGTGTACAATTTGATGATTGAATGCTCTAAAATGAATTAAGAAAAGTATCCCAAAACAGCTTTTAAACAGAGAAAAATAGAAACCTGGATTAAAATAAAACCCTGGGCCAGGTTGTTTGAAGCTGGGTTAAGATAACCCAGGGTTAGTGTAAAATCTGATTTCAGGTCTGAAAGCTTAAAAAAAATTCAGTTGAATTTCTTTTTGTTTAGAATATGACTATTTGATGCCCTAAAGAGAACACAGAAAATTAATCCAAAAGGACTTTTGAATAAAGAAACCCAGATTACAATTTAACCATGGGTCAGTGCTAATCAGCCTTTGATCAACTGAGTCCTGGGCTTCATTGTAATTTGTTTGTTTCTATTTCAGGGCTTCCAAGGGTCAAGTATTGAAACTTATCCAGAATATATGGAAGGCTGATGGAATAAAAGGTTTCTATAGAGGACTCACTGCAACTTATGTTGGTGTTACAGAAACTGTTATTCACTTTGTAATTTATGAACACATTAAAGCTGAAGTACAAAGACATCGTTTTAAATTGAGAGGCACTCACGACAAGAACATAGTGGACTTTTTGCAATTTATGATGGCTGCTGCAATGTCAAAGTGCATAGCATCTGTTGTAGCATATCCACATGAAGTTATCAGAACTCGACTTCGACAGAAAGAAATAGATGGAAAAAGAAGATATCATTCATTCTTCCAGGCTTTCAGGAAAATACTGCGAGAGGAAGGAAGAGCAGGACTTTATGGTGGACTAGGAACTCACCTTCTTCGTCAAGTTCCAAACACTGCATTAATGTTTCTGACTTATGAGGCTGTCGTAAATTTTTTCTCTAAAGAAGATTCTTTATAAATGGTTATTTATCGTTTGATATTCTGGTTAAGTTAGATTAATTTATTAATTCTAAGAGCACTCAGTAAAGAAGGGCATAAAAATCAAGGAAAGTGTGGTTTGAAATTTTCTTGTAAACTGGGTAGCCAACAGTTAATGCCTATTCTTACTGCTGTTCTAAAACCTATGTAGTTATTGTACAGAATACAGGTGGAATAATGAATCTGTACAATCTTGAGTGACTTGTTTACTATAATTTCGGCAAATGAATTTGATTGCACAAGTATTTTTTGAGTTTCAAAGCAATCCATTTAATAAGTAGACTGAAAGTTTACTTTAAAAAATTGTAAATACTGATTTTATACATTTGTAAAGAAGAGACTACCTGAATATGTTTGTTTTACTGAAAATAATTTTATCTTTTCAAAGTCATATTTAAAATTGTAACCGTTGACAAATAAGAGCAAACAAACCTATGAACTAACTTAAATAAAGGTCAACCAACTTCAATGGAATCTCTTTTATTGCTTGTGGTAAGATAGTGACATGAATCTCTAGGTTAATCTCAAGCCATCCAATTTGTTTGGTGTTCAAGTGCCTAGCAAATGTCTTAATATCTCCTTTTTCTCAGCAATGTTTACTCCAAATGGGGATTCTAAGCATAACTGTTTTTGAGATGTAAATGGCAAGGGCAAGTTTAAAGTTCTCCATTCTTGGTGGTTATTGCACTGGTTTTAAAACGTGAAATTAGATTTACAGGTGTCAAAGTGTACCAGGAGCAGTGTCCTAAGTCCTTTTATGACTGTAAAGGATACCAACTGTACCCCTGAATTCATTCGTGAAGTAATGGAGTTATTTTCCCATGGGAATTGAAAATAAAATCAGAATATTCCTAAACACAAGGTCCACCACACAAAGGCATGAAGACCAATTTGATACCAGAACTAGAAACTTATAGCTAAATGAAATGGTTATGTGGTCATTGTTAGTGTGATCAATGGGATATCACAGTTATCTGGGCAATGGGTCTATTTTACTCCTACACAGTCTACTTGTCTGATATCTTACTTGGACAAAGAGGCACAGTGTTAAGGTGAAAGAAGTTAACTAAGTGCACAAGCCAATTACATTGAGACACTGTGCATCTGAGAAAACATGGGGCTCCCTCAGGATTGTAAAAGGATGCTGGAATGATGTCACTTATCAGGCTTAATCCACACCATTTAAGATAGTTCCGACACTTCTTGAAAAGTTCAAGTCAAACCCCAACATTATACAGCAGAGTTAAACCATGAACTTGTATCAATAGGGTCTGAATGACAAACATTGAAAACATACAATATAAGTATCACTTTATTTAACAAACATGCCAAAAGCCTTCTGTTGCAGTTCTAGAAAAATTTGGAAGACAACATCTGCAACTATCTTGAATGACCCAAGTAAGACCTATCCCTAAATTTACAGTAGCCAACACCAAGAATATAGAATTGTGAACAAGCTTGTCATTTTTTTTGACAAAGTCATCTACTGTCTATCCACTTTGGGGCAAGCCCACACTAGGTTTCAACTCCCACGATAGGTTGAGTAAGAGAATGGACTGAGTAGAAGAGGAACATGATAATGCTGGGATGGGTCACTGACAAGAAACACGATCTGAAAAAGAATAGTAACAAATTGACAATATTACACCACCATAGGACAAACTTGAGCAGATCATTTATTTGCTGAGGTTATTGATACCTGTGATTTGAAATTAAACTTTTACTAAATACTTGCTTTATTTTTAAAACACCCATAACAGACCAAACTGCACTCCACTCAGTTCATCTACCATAATGATTATGAAGCTGAATGCAAGTCATTGTCTCACAAGACACTGACATTCCTTGATATTTCAGGTAATTTTTCTGCATCAACTTAGGGAAGCAATTTGCCATGTTTGGTGGAAGAGCTTACATACAACTAATAAGCAGAAATCTCTCTGCAGCACAACCAACTGAAACAGTATTTACTTCAGCAGACTCTCATTTTTTGGCAGTCATTTGCAGGTCATGTGGTGGGTTCTTGGCTAATGAATGGGGAGGAAAAATTACATCCAATAATAATAAGTATTTTTTAAATATGCAAACTTCCCCCCAAAAATCTTCCATTGGATTTTCCTCTACAATCAGCTCTCCCACATCTTGCAAAAACACCCTTGCAGTCTGACTTGGAATCAAGTTAAGACTTTAAACTTGAAGTACGCTAGACCTTGTAACCTATCTCAGGTTGCTTTATGGGTTGTAACTATAGTACCTCTAGATAAAGGGAATAAGTATAGGTTGTGCAATGCCTTGAATCAGCATTGATGTTAAATTTTTTAAATGACTATATTTTAAACTTTCATTACCTCTACATATGGATAGAAAAATGAAGAAACCCCAATGTCCTTGAAGTATGCCTCTGTCTCAAATCTGATCATGTATTTGCCAGGTATAAACTGTTCTTGATTTAGTAAGTTGGCTACTCTACCATCAGCATTAGTTACCCTAAAAGAAATGGACGAAATAAAATAAAACATCCCAAGTTAGTTTACTTGCAAAATGGAAGTTCAAAAGAAAACAAAAAATGGTTCATAACTATTTCACTCACTTTAGGTATGTACAGCTATATCTTGATGGGTCTAATCTTTGGTTGATGTCTAAGAGTGCATTTTAATTGATTGTTGTAAAACCCAATCTAATTTAATACTAATTACAAGGTTAACCAGAACAAAAGAAAATATTAAAAAGTGCAATTGAAAACTCAAAGCAAAAACAAGCAAGTGTGCAAAAAACAAGTAACCAAGTGCTGATTAGACTTTGAGTTGTGCATCTGATGGCTGTGAGGGCAATACAAGTTTCTAAAACAAAATCAATTTAATATTAGTTTCAGCTCTAAATTGAACAACTGAACTAAGTCTGTCTTACCCTGAGGCAATATGTTTCCACATTCTACTGTCAGGACGCATTTCTTCAAAGTACAACTGAATCGGCAAGTTCTTAGCTGGTGAGCCTCTGGCTGTGTCCAGCACGTGAGTGGTCAGAGGACTTCCAGTCATTGGACTACTATCACTGGTGGGATGCTGTCAGACACAGAAACAACCAGTCATCTACATATCACTTTCAAAATAGGTTGCAAGGAATTCAAGTAAAAAGTATGTGTAGCTAAGTCAAGGCCAGATTGAAAAAAAAAAAGCAACTTTGGGAAGCTAACTAATTTGGTCTTACCAACATGTTTAAAAAGTACCCACCTTTTAAATGTTAATATTCACTTTAAATTGCAATATGATTTTGGGGGAAAGATGTTTTTTGTCTTGTCATGAGTATGTGACAAAGAAAAAATTTTGAGTCCCTGATGAATTCAACCTCAGACCTTTGGATTTCATGCTTTGATGCTCTACCACTGAGCCACAAAGACTCTATGGTGAGCGAGGTCTTTTGTGAAGTTCATGACATGCATCCTACATACTGCTAGAATCATTAATGTCAATAGCATAATTTTATTTGCCTTTGTATGTTTGTGATTCTCACTTATGCTGTTAACATAAAAGTATATGTTTTAAAGTTCAGAAAACAACTCAGAGACCCCCCTTTGTAAGGCTGTGGCTTAAGATATTACCCATTTGTAACCTTCCATACTGGAGTAAGAGCCCAGTAATGGTTCGTATTACTGACAGAGGAAGAGTGTCTTTTGTAGCCACTTACCCCCGTGACTGACAATGTTGATGATGAGGCCATTGCTGGCACTGTTTGACAATAAACAACTCTTGAATTTGCAAGCCCTGAGTGGTTACTTCCAGCACGGGTTACTGATCCCTGAGATAAACTTAGAGAAGTCTTAAGTGATGGCTGGTGAGGATTGCGCAGGTTATTTTGGGAAGCTGCATGAAGCTGAGAAAATCTGTAAGCAACAAAAGGACTATGGAGACTTCTGTGACTGGATTGGTATGGAAGGCCAAGAACAGGTTCTGTTGGACTGGTTGGACTTCTATCTCTTTGCTTTTCACTATGATCAATTCCATTACTCTCCTGAGGAGAACTTCTGGTCTTGCCAGTGTGGTGTTGAGGATGAGAGTGATTGCCTGGAACCATAATCTTTGTGAGTTGAGCCTGTTCTCTGTTGGGCTCTGCATTAAATGGTGGGGTTCCTACAGTGGTTCTTGGGGATGTTGTCCCCTCTGAACTTGAGATATACTTTCCAGTAACAGGCACCATGGTTGGGCGTTCATCACAAGGATCTCTTGGGAGAATATGTTGAAATCTCTGGGAGTTGGGTATGGATACTAAAGTAGTGATGAGAGGGTAGTCTTCAACCAAGCTGTCAAGAATTGCCACATAAGTACCTCTGATACAATTATTTGTGTAAATCCTGGATAACCGTGCAAGCTTGGACATATTTGTCATCATCTCTCCCAAGGAATTATGCCCAACTGCAGCATTTTCATACCAGATGGGGTCATCTTCGCAAGCATGATGTTTGAAGGATGCTTTGGGCCTTTGCCACAGGTACAAGTTCATCGGGTTCAGCTTCGACAGGTACTTCAGAAATGACGCCACCGGACATCTCGGATTTCCTGAAGAAGGGTGTAGTAAAAGCAATATTTCTGTTTCCTTCATTTTAAACTCAATATATCAACATACAAGAAGTATTCTCCTAACAAGCACCTCCAAGAGTTTTGCATAATATCAGAGACAATACATATATTTTAGGTCTCATAAGCTTATGCTTCATTGTGTAAAATTATCGGTTGCATGAAAATCAGATGAAAAAGCACTCTACTCTGTGAAGGCCCAAAACCTTGATCACCAACTCGTGATTATGGATGACAGATTAAATAACTCCAATTACCAGACACAAATCATGCTCCCTCACATCACAGTGTACCACTATTGAACAGCTTTCAAGGGATCTTTTTTAGAGGGGGGGGAGGGTGGAGGGAAAAATCCACAGTACTTCAGTCACCATTTACAAAACAACAAGGCTTTCTCTCTAATTCACCTAAACCCTTTTGCAAATTTGGTTTCTTCAAGCTTGTTTTGTATTTTATATTGTTACTACGTGTGTAGTGAATTTGAGTTTGAAGTGTTTTGAACTAGACTCAAAATCCTTTGAAAATATCAGACCATTCTTTTTGTCAGAACAAAACTTTCCTTATGCCACCTGACATAAATAGCTACAATTCCTTCCCTTTTTGCCTTTCACCAAACGTTGAAAAGCGTTTGGAGTCACAAAACTTTGACTTGTCAGGTATACCATTTTGGAGGTTAACTTTGTGCCACTTTCTCAGACGCAACCCAGTAAAATATAAAAGCTTACACAAACTTCACTTGGAGAGGCAAACGTCAATTAACGTGGAAAATTTCAATATAGATGTGTTTGAGATAACTTGTTCTAACGGCAAGAAAAAACTGTTACAACGCCGAACTGCATTTAAACACTATTCGCATTAGAGATATTTGCTGGTGAAACTTCGCTTTTAAACAACAACCTTGTATGCTATTAGGAAATTGTTGGCCGTACACTTTCTCTTCAAAATTTTTTTTACTGATATCGTTTTCAAGGTCCCACTACAAGATTTGCTTCGACTGACGAAAAGCTTTTAGGAGGTTTTGAATACTCTCGCTTGTTTTCTGACAAAAAGCTTACCTGGTTTTTCATTCATTCGAGGACATTTTCCATCGGTAAAAACGTTTTCACAATGCGCCGGATTAGGATAAATATACTTCAAGCCAGTAGAAGAATCATAGCCCACGAGAAACGTGTCTCGGGTTTGTTCCCTGACGTTACTGCGATTCCGTTTTCCAGGCAAATACATCAGCAGGTCAAAGAACACTTTCCTTTGCAAGCCATCGGCGCTGAATGGCGACAAGACATCACTTAGATAAAGTTTCTTTAAGTCATCTGGGCCAATGTCGGAACGATTTACCTCGCCTTTGCCTTGCTTTTTAAGCTTCTCCACCTGCGCTTTAAAAATTTTGTTTGATTCGGTAAATTCGGGGTCGTTTTTGATGTCTATATTGCTCTGTTGTGACTGTAAGTACCGCAGGATACCAAACCGTATACTTCCCAGAGCAGAGGACTTGTAGTAATCGCCGTTCTTTTTGCGGGCTTCAACGTAAAATTTACGCAAAAGATCATTCAACGCTGCCTTATCCAAGTTCTCGAAGTTCACATCCATACTTTTTTCCTCCATGTAGTCGCGGAGAATTTTCACAGCATTTTTTGTAGACCTCCATGTATTTTCACTGCAAGAGCGATGCTCCAACAATCTCTGAATGTCTTCCTCTGAACTTTCACCAAAACGCGGGAGCGAGTTTTCGTCTGTTGGACTTCCAACCGAGCTTTCTTCACTGTCACCGTTGTTTTCGGCGTTTTCCATAGGTTCTACTTTCACTTCGGGAAGGAGAACAACTGAGCTTGTTTCTTCGTCCATTATCGCGCGGAGATTGAAGTTGTCGCGTATTCGCGCTGGTAAGACTTCAACACGATTTGATGCCGGGCAATATATAGTGATGTCACACACTCACCAGAAAGCGTAGACACTTATGATGGTTATTTATAACGCACAAACCCCTATCCACCGCTACAACATGATTATCCACCAGAGAAAAAGATGCGGATGACTAAGCCTAACCTGAAACTGTTTTCCACCTTCATAACGGCAAAAATATTTTCCGATTCTTTGGCATGGTTTACTGTAAAGGTTTGGTAACAACTGGTCCAATATAACTTAATCTTCATTCTTCATTTGAAGAGACTTATTTCTGTGGTGCCGAAAAGCTTGCATCATATACCTGCTCTTTTTTAAAGGTCGAGTGCAAAGTCATCGATATTAGGCCCTTTCCGGAGAATATCTCCAGTATGGTTGACTTGTGATATCATCACTTGATGACCTCGAATAAAATTCGGTGTCAGTTCAAACGCAGACACGGGTCTAAAAAAACCTTTTCCCTGGCAGCCATCTTAACAGCTCTCTCTCACATCCAGACCATTATAACCAACGTTTTTAAAGACAATTGCGAGGTAATTTTCCAAAAGATAACACTCAGTTAATATTGATTACTTTTCGTCATATCTATTATGACTCCAAGTTATATTACCACACAGAGAACTGTCGTATCATATCTTTATGTAATTAATCGAAAAATAGACAAGCGGCTATGAATACAGTATGTTGACATGTATAACAATTAACAATATGGTTGAACTTTTTGTAAGAAAAGATATTGGCCACACAAAAAGTCAACGTCAGTTTTCACAATTTGGACAATATATTAAACGAGACGCTCGAACAAAAACTAAAATTAAATAAAAATATAGTTTTCAATAGCCCCCTTAAATGCCAGGCATACGTAAACAGTTGATTTCACGTCAAAACACGAAAGCTGTCAATCCTTAATATCTTTAAAGTTCAGTTTCCGCTTGATACGACATGACACTTTTGCAGCCATTCGACAAATACGGCTTTTTAACGTTCGGACAAGGGGAGGTCAAATAATACTATTGTCCAAAAAGCAATTACGGGCTAATACAGCGACGATGCGTTTCAGAGAAATATTACTTTCCGAGTGCACAGGTCAAGATATTGCCTTTAGAAAATGCTGCTATTTATAATAAAAATACAACTGTAAGAAAAAAGCTTGAAGCGTAACCGCATCAATAACGATTCCTCTTTCGATTCAACCGTACCAGTAGAATCAGTTCTGTATGTTTTAAATTTGCAAAGCACCGTGACAGTGTAGATTAATATATGGGCAGTTGTTTCGAAACATTTACTGATCGTTCCGAGTGGTTTGTGCACGCCCTCGAAAAACGTTTTAAAATGATGCCATAATGTAGGCGCCTACTTATTACAAACTAAATCCGATAAAAGCCAATACTGGAACAACGTTTTTAAATATCATTGCTTCATGCATAGAGTAAATTATTCACGCATTTACCATATCACTCGTATATTTTTACTCCCGGCTAAAAACAGAGCTCCACAATATTTCCACAGAGACTGAAGATCTAGACATTGTGAACTCAATCGAGTGGAAATTATCAGTATTAGTTAAAAAAATGCTTTTTATGGTATCATGTAAGATTACGTGTAAACCTTTTGAAATACCGTCATCCTAAAGTTTGACGAGTATATCATGAGTTTAAATCGTACCCGATGACTCTCAACAAAGGGTGGAGAAAGTTTTTTTTTCTTTTACTACGGCAGGAGAAAAAAGTGTGGGTGTTTTAATTTCTCTCTTTATTTTCTGTCACCGATTATTTTGATGTTCGTGTTTTGCAAATACTATAAATAGAATTTTACCAAATTAGATTGATTGATGTGGGCGATTTCATTTTCGTGGTTTTTAAGTAAAGCTTTCTAATGGGATCACATTGCACTCATAGTTACCTGGAATTGCAACAACCGGGAACAACTCTTCAGTTTGAAAGATAACCCTTAAAAAAGTGAGGTTCTTAAAAAGTTTCTATCGTGTCACTTCTAATATCATGTTCTAGTGAAATGTTTTTACAAAAACTGCAGTGTAATGCAATTCCTCGAGTTAACTTAATTATCCTTGATTCCAGTTTACTTTCTAAAAACATAGATACTCTAGCAGTAATCTATGTTATCCCAACCGCAAGTATTTACGTCCCTCTAAATTGAACTAACCTATCGACATAAAAAAAAGATAACATCACCGCTTTTTACCAACAAGAGCCCAATATAGAAAAATGAAGAAATTATTCGGATGCTTACCAAATCGCCTTACGTTTTTGTTCCGCTATATATAGTTATTTCCTATTTCGCAGACTTGACTTTCGGAAACAAGCTTCTTCAACACTGAGTGACCTTAAACGCCCAATAAACAGGAAAATTTCTCACATATTTGTACTACACAAATTGGTGAGAGCGCTGGGAGAGAAAAGTGTGTCTTGACGATTCAAATAATTCATAAAATAAAAGCATACTTGAAAAAAAAAACAGTTCACGGCTGGTACGACAAAGCAATTGTCTCGGCTACAACTTTGAGCATTTTAAAGCGAACTTTTTGTGCATTCCGTTCGGAAAATCAAACTGTGGCAATCTACTTTCGCAGACAGATTTCCAACCACGCTTTCATAGGCTAAATTTATCAGAATTTTAGGTTCCACTTGAAAGCGCTACTCATATCTGCTTCTACAACACCAGTTGTGTTGCATAATCCGTCTAATGGAATATTCGAGATAGTTACGAAAGTCACGAACAACTTCTTCTTCTGACCTGATTGGAAGTTCTTCCCTCTACTTTTTGTACTTTCCTCAAAGATCGTGAAAAAGAATTTGGTGAAACCCTCTAACTGATAGTTTTTTCAATTCTAGTCATGTTTTTGCTGGATGTGTTGGTATTTAATGGAGAAGCTGCAAGTTTATCACCTTTTGCCTTTTCTGTCTAAAGGAGAAAATTAAAGCATCTTGAGCATTTCATTTAAGCTCTGTAAATCAGAATAATGTGCCGAGGAAAATCTGAGCAATTCGTGCTAAAAGAAAGCTGCAGTTTAGTTCAATATAAAATTAGTTTCATTTGTAGCGCTGCAGCACGAGGGGTCTGCAGGGGTCTAGCACTAGTGCCAGACCCCTTACAGACCTCTTACCGCACACCTTGCTTCCAAAAGTGAGTGCCTGCTCACAGTCTAATAGGCCATTTCCGAATAACCTTTGGCCTCTTTTTCAAAACGAGGCCTAGTGCTCAACCATTTGTATAAAAATGAGATTGATTTACATGTGAATGAAAACTTGTTATCACATGGGAGGATGAGCACCAGGCATCACTTTGAAAGAGGCCATAGGTAATTTAGAAAAGAGCTATTCTTGAATATTCTTTATTTACATAAATTTCAGCTTTCTTTAAGCTGAAAATGCCCAAAGTTTCCTCTGGACATTTCATCCTGAAACAATCACTTTAGATCATTTGACTCAACTCACATCAACCCTCTCTGGGTGAACTGAGCGATAAACATTTACTTTATTTATTTGTTATTCGTACACAAGGGCATAGGCACTTTCAGGTTTAAATCCAAACTGTGGATGAATAAAACTACTTTAAAATGCCTTTCACTGTATTCACTGGAAAAGCAGTTGCAAATCCTAGCTCCCTCAGCAGATAATTTGAATAGTTGGTCACATAATCTGAATGTGTGAGCGAGGAGAGTCAGGGGAAAATATAGACATAGTCAAGCAACTTCACTCAAGTGACTTGATTCTGATAATGACATCACATAATTCATTCCTGTTGTCAGAGTATCAGTAACTGTTTCCCATTACAGTCCCACTCAGAGCTACTCTCACTTGCTTGATCAGACAACACAGCTTACTGCTACTGCTGACCTCGAACCATTAACTGCATGAAAAGAAATTACTCATTTTGGAGTAATTATATTTCCCTTCTAATAAAAACTTTTTCTTGCTTAGTTGCAAGTCTACCAGAAAACTATAGTGACTCTTTTGCAACCACACTGTACTTTACAGAGAAACTGGATAATATCTAATTCAAATCCTACATTCATCTCAATGATGATCTAGTTGTGGTTAAGAAGGGAGCATATTTAGATTTGTTGCCCCTCAGAAAGGCATATCATACCTGGGATCTGGCTCACGGAAAAAAGAAACAGGTTTAACCCATTAACCCAATTGACATCACGGCATATCACTCAGTTATAGCATAAGATTAACTTACATTAACTTTAGCTCCACTCAATACTTAATCCTTTAACCCCTGAGACTGATAAGTATCTAATTTCTCCCAACAGTATCCCCCCTGAATCTTAAATAAAGGAAATGATTGTGAGGTCAAGATGCTCTAGATCATTAAGCAAATTCTCCTTGTGAGTATAGGAAATGTACAGAGAGAAGTGTGGAGAACTTGGAAACTGATGTTAGGAAGTAAAGTGTTAACAGACAGATTTACCTAAATATCTAAATGAAGTTTTGTGTGTCTCAAAAGGGTAGTGAAAATTGCCCATGATGTAAGCTGGTGTTCAAGACAGAGAGATTGACATGAAAATATAAAAGAAATGTATTTGTCCAGAATGGATAATGCAAACTGCCCATTAAACAGGCTTATATTCAAGACACTTGGGTTCTAATTTACAGCCATAAAATCATTTCCCTCTGTCTCTCAACCTTAAGTTTGAACGAGAGACAAGATTACACTTTGTAGATAAGGCACAATGCAGTGAAGTTATGGTGGATTTACCACTCTCTACAAGATATGGTACTACAGCACAACTGAAATTATCATATAATTTTAAGATTGGAGGGACACGAACATTCCCCTTGGCATACCTTGAGTGTTTTACTAATCCCTCATGAGATAGGAATAAGATGCAAATGACAGTTTTTGAAGTAGGAACGAAGGGGTAAGTGACTCGAGTACATCACCTTTCAGATTTCAAATGAAACAAAAGGCTACATTTGAAAAGATATAATGGACAGCTGAACACTTTGTGTGGATTATCATGATTAAGCCTTTTTTTCGCTATTTCCACGAAACATTTGCGTAACAATGAGGAAACTAAGAAGGAGACATTTTTAAATAGTATGGACGTATGATGCAGAGGAGGGGAGGGGGAACCGGGCTTCCCTAGCACGGGCGAGTACGATCGCATGCACGGGACGACCCTGTTACAAAAGACCTCACCCAGCCGCTGATATTTTCCCCACAAAATCGTTTCCTCTTGCATTTTATTTTCACAAACCCCGTGTTAGGAATAGGTCATTGAAGCGTTTTCTACAATTGTGAGATATGTTGCTCATCTGATGCGTAAACTAACTGGTCTCTAGCGCATTAGTAACTTATGGCATACAGCGTAGTTGCATTTTAAAAGCCAAGTAGGAACAGTATGTAGTGCGCAGATCAACTAACCTTTTCTGGGCTTATGTGGTTCCGTATGCTATATAATCTTGCGTTACACTGCATAAGTGTCAATTGTCCGCCACCAAACCACAAGATATCCGATCAATTATCCAGGAAACAAAAAGTTGTTTACGTGTCCCGCCTACAAGCCGAGACCGAACTCCAAGCTCAGAGAGCCAGCGACTGTTTGGGTCTGAGGTTTTCTCGCTAAATTTAAAATCCAAGATGGCGACATCGAATGCAATGAAATCGTGCGCTACAAAATTGACTAAAGCAGAAAAAAAGGCCCTAAGAAAGCAAACGAGACTAATTAATAGTCTTCGCAGAAATAATGCCGATCTTGCAACAGTTTCAGAATCGCCCACTCGTCATCTGATGGTTGGAAATGGAGGGTTCATGTGTGGCATAGACCGAAGGCAAATTTTCAATTTGTTCCAGAAGTTTGGAAACATAGAACGACTTCTAATGTTCCCTGGTAGATCCTTCTCGTTTATCACCTTTGAGCATGTCAGTGAATCAGTTAAGGCAATGGAAAAAGTGCACGGGCGAGTTTTAGACTGTCCTTCGGAGTTTCCGAGACCCGACGTTAGATTTTACTTGTCTTTTCTCACGAACGTACCCGATAATGTTTCCTTTGAAAAACAGGCCACACCATCAGGTCTTGTGTTAGTGGACGATTTTGTGACGGAGGTAGAAGAGGCGCAGTTAATTCAAGCGTTAGGATGGAGAAGTGGAGGGAGGGAGAATGAGATTCAAGGCACAGGTAGTTATGGTTTGATCAAGTTCACTAGAACCCTTTTATATTTCTGGGTGGAAGGGAGTGCAGTGAAAATTTTTTCGAAAGAAATTACTCTGACCCCGATTAAGGCTCAAGTCCTTACCTTGTAATGAATAGTCCAGTCCATCAGGCTACAGCTTACCAACCCTAACTGATGGGGAAGGATAAAAACATACATCATATAAAATATTCCTACATATGTGTAGCTTACCATCTCCACCTGTCCCTTTCTGTACACCAAATTGGATGATAGCATCATAAGTTATGAAGAACTATCCCAGATTAGAAGCAAACTGTTTGTAATAAGATGTGACTGTTTAGTGCTTTTTCCATAGACATCTTTTGATGTTGATATGATTTACTTGTTCCCTTTTTGCTATTAGTGCTGTTTGTGAAGAGACTGGCTTTATTTGTTTAAGTAAAATTCTATAATTCTGCCTTCTGAATGAGTTATACTACCTGCACATTTTTTTTTATTGTGGGGACCAAATCAATTGCAGGTAGGATTGCCCTTATAGTCATAACCTTTCTTCTTCCTTCACAGCAAACCAACAACTTCGTCACAGAAGAGTCAAACATTTTGGGTATGAGTTCCTGTATGGATCAAGTAATGTAGACAAATCAAATCCTTTACCTGGCGGAATTCCTAGTGTTTGTGATGAACTGTTGGATCGTGTTCAGGAGAAAGTTATGTGGAAACCAGATCAAATGACAGTTAATGAATACAAACCTGGCCATGGTATTCCACCTCACATTGACACTCACTCAGCTTTTGAGGATGGTATAGTTTCACTCAGCCTAGGATCACAGGTATTTGTTTGATAGCAGGTTTTCAATAAGATGGTTTGCAATTAGAGGCATGGCTCGTAATAGTTAATCTCCACATTAATCATCTTTTTTTTTCAACCTTGTTTCCTGGCTGTCTCTTCTTCTTTGCCCCCAACCCCTCTCCCCTTAGGAATGAGGTTGTTGGCAGAGAAAGGATAATGCAATAGTGTGAGTGCATGTCCTCTAACACTGTGGCCTGGGTTCTATTTCTAGGCCAAACATCACATGGGAGTAGTTTATTCTTTTTTTCCTATTCTTGCTGCAAGGATACTTGACATACTAATTCGACCTGGTCAGCACTTGATGAAGGGTTACCCTATTAGAGTTCCATGGCTAAATCCATTTGTTTTGTTACATTTCAAATTTGAATTTCTAAAATTTTGTGTACTCAAAATCCTGATTTGACTTGGAAACATTAAATACAAAGCCACACCATGAAAGTTTTTGGGTAAAAGTTTGGGGTATTTTATTTCAAATAATTTTTTTCAGGTCACAATGGAATTTCGTCATCCGGATGGTAGACACGTATCAGTTGTTTTGCCGAGGAGGAGTTTACTTATAATGACTGGTGAAAGCAGATATCTTTGGAGTCATGGGTAAGATTTGGATGGATTACTTTTTAATCAGGGAAAGGAAAGAACCAGAAGTAATACAAAGTCGATTGCAGCTGAGTTCGTGATTTCGTTATGTCTAAGTCGCGTCAATCTTCGGTATTCTTAGCCATCCGCTGTCTTTTTGGCTAACTCTTGCCATTTCTATATTCTCTCTCTTACCAGACCAATACTTAGTGGTTTCCTTCACGCTGGCGCTAATTTTCCTCGCGTCGGCACACGACTCAAAGATGAAACGTGCATATCGTTCATCTGAACTTGGAGTACACCTAGATGAAATTGTTTTCCATATTTTAAAAACTTTGTGAAATAAAATAAAATTCTAATCTTAACCCGTTTTTCTTTTACTTCTCATCATATGTTCGTATCTTTTGCGAACTATATTTTCTTATCTTCAAATTGCAGTATAACGCCACGAAAATACGATATCATACATGATGTTAAAAGCACGTCAAACGAGGGGAATGGTTACGAAGAAAACTCCAAGAAACCTGAAACAAATAGCGCACAGGGCACCTCCAATATAACAGCCGAAGAGGGAATGACTCTGTTTGAAAGAGAAACAAGGATTTCGCTGACACTCCGCAAAGTCCGTCAAACTCCATGTAACTGCGCCTTCCCAGCTCAGTGTGATTCGCAAACTGGAAACAAGACTTCAGCTGCAATCCCGCCTTCGTCCGATGTTCCAACAACGATTGGAGAAGCGCAAAAGCTGGAAAAGCTGCACGTGCATGAAGTGTACGAGAAGATTGCGCCACATTTCAGTGGAACACGGCACAGCCCTTGGCCAAAAGTGGCTGAGTTTCTGCGAAATCAACCAGTCGGGAGTCTGGTAGCTGATGTAGGATGTGGAAACGGCAAATATCTCGGGATCAATGATAATCTATTCAAAACAGGTTCTGATAGAAGTTTCAACCTGGCTTCCATCTGCCGGGAGCGGGGATATTCTGTGATTGTGTGTGATGTCTTGTCATTGCCATACAGGTAAAGAGAGTAGCCAAAGTATAATCATTAATATTATTATAGGAATTTTAATGTATTGCCACATGTAACCTGGGACTGCACTGGTTGTGAATCTGCGCGCCTTGTAATTGGCTTTCAAGAAACTTGCGTCACCAATCAAAAATGCAAAACTAAAACCGATCCTATAATAGTCACATGTGTTTTCGCGCGCTTTAGTTCTCATCACTTCTTGTGTTCTTCAGTGATCTGATTGGCCAGTGTGTTTACTTTGAATTTGGTAATACTAAGTATTCAAATGGTTGGAAAGGTGATCACGTAGTGTTTGTCTCGTTACTTTTTGTCGTTGACAGAGATAAACTTGTCGTTAGCGAGGGAACAGGCCAAGGGATTTAAAAGTCGTGAAACCGAATTTCGTCGTTTTTGCTTTCGTCTTTCAGGTCTAATGTGTTTGATGTAACTCTCTGCATCGCAGTTCTTCACCACCTCGCTACGGCCGAGCGACGTCTGGAAGGTCTGAAGGAACTGGTGCGAATAACACGTCCATGGGGACTGGTGCTCGTTTACGTATGGGCTTTAGAACAGGAAGTGAAAAAGGTTAAAAAGAAACAGCTAAAGGAAGTGGAATTCAGAGAACGTAATGATCACCACACCGGACAGGAAGACGTAAGCAACAAAAACGAGACTTCGGAAAAGAGCAAAGCGGTCGGAAACTTCTCCGCAAATAACGAACCATTCCCAAATAAATCCAAACCTTTAGATGATAATTGTTCCACAAGATTGATGGTTAATGCTAGTCGGGAATCTTTTGAGCAACAAGATTTGTTTGTGCCGTGGAAATACAGCGGCTCTGGAAAACAACACGAGAAACAGGAAAAAGACACTGAAGAGTCAGGGGAAGGCACAGATGGTCACGTGTACCACAGGTATTATCACGTGTTTCAAGATGGCGAGCTCCGAGAACTTTGTAGCCGCCTCAGTAACGTGACAGTGGAGGAGCATTATTACGACAGAGGGAATTGGTGCGTGGTACTCAGGAAAAAGAAATAATGCCGGCGTGGGAGTGGGTGGGGAGAATCTTAGCAACTGATTAACTTGATTGTGTTACCATTTACCATACGCGAATAAACGACGTAAGTGAAAGAATGGCTCTATTGCAGTTCTGATGCTCATTCCGTACACACTGCACTCTTTCGTTCCCTCAGTGCCTTTAAACCATCAAATGGGCCCGTGAGAAAATTCAATAAAGAAAGATGGAATTCTCGTCCTTGGAAGCTCAGAAGCAGCCATTGGGAAAGAAAAAGTTCTGATTTGAAGACTTTCCCTTTGTTTCCTCTTGTTTTGAATTGTTCTCACACTCACGATCGGCCCCCTGATGTACGAGTATGCGGAATCGTCATACATCTAGCCCACAGACACAACAGAGGAAATGTCTTATTTATTATATTTTATTATACTTGTTTTATTTTACATGTAATACGTCAAATGTAAATTTACATACCATGCGCTTTGGCTGGCCTTCTCGTACAGTTACCTTTCATTTACTATGTTGTTCTTTGTTGGTTATGAACAGCCAGCGAAATTGTTCTTCTGTGTGTCCGATTAAAATGACGCCCCTCTCAGGGAATCCAGTTGAAATAGAAACAGCCCATGTCAAATGACATCAACACTAGAGAGCACGATTATTGATAAATGGCAAACTATAAACAACACAGGAATCCCTCATTCAGAGATTTTTTTACCATGCAACTGCACGTGACGTTTGAAGCCAGGCTGACGTCATAGCGTCGATAGCAGGGAAAACAAACCCGATTCACAGGTCAACGAAAAACACGAACGAAGTTCTTTGAACTAACTGAATTGAACCTCAAAGATCTTCCGTTAATTCTTCCTTTATTGCTTCATTACTCTCATCTCCTCCGGGAGAAAAGCTTATCTGTTCTTCCTCTTCAATATCTTCCTCGTCCTCGTCATCTCCGTCACCGAACGGGAAATCATCCTCTTCGCTTTCGCTCTCACTGTGTTGAAGATCTAGTAGGATGCTTTCAAACTGCGACATTTCCTGTGAATCTTGCTCGCTACCGAGCAGTTGTTGCGATCCGAAGCTCTCCTTCTTTGTGTAGCTTTGTGAGGTGCTTTCATCGTCGTCGTATCCCTCAATATCGACGTCTTCTTCCTCATCGAAATCAGCGTCAATTCGAGTTGCTAATGATAAAAAGAAGACCACAGATGGGTGATCAGTGGTTCCTGACCTGAGCTTTCTGCTTAGTAATTTAGGGGAATCGTTACAGTTATCGCGTTATTTTTGTTGATTTTGAAAGTGTTAGCGTTTCATTTAGCTTAGATTTCTTAACCAAGTAGGAGCACATATTCGATAATTTTTAAGGATTTTCCATCGAATATAACCTTCCAAATTGTGATGGGAAGGAAAGTGTGTACTTTTGAACAAAGAAAACACTTACAACTGGAAGGTGACGGAGGAAACTTAAATTTTGAAGAAAATAATGATATCGCTATCTATCTCCCTTATTTTCTACTCCCTGCTTTATCAAACCCATGTCCCCTTTTTAATCAAGGCACCCTCTTTAGAGCTCTCCCTGGAATGAAAACGGAAATCAGTATCTCTCCATACCACTGAATAAAGGGGGCAAGTTTCTTAAGAAACTGTGGTGCTGCGTCGGTGGGAGAGTATAACAGGGTAATTCAATATTATCAACTAAGTTGATAACGTAAATTGGCCTCCGTAAAGAGTTTCAAAGGTGACGTTTCGAGCGTTAGCCCTTCGTCAGAGCGAATTGACGGTGGCTAATTTACGTTATCAACTCAGTAGATCATGCTAAGTTACCCTCTCCATACCAATGTTGTGTCCCGACAAATAAACAGAAATTTAACTAACATTGATCTAGTGATGAAACAGTAGTACTAAGTTGTGCTCTGAAGTCGTTAAACTCCTCGCCAGTAGTGTCCAGTTCCTCTGATTCCATCATGTCCATCATACTATCCTCTTCCTTTACTAAGCCTTCTGGGAAATCCTCCATGCTGTTCTCCGCTGACCACTCGGGTCCCGCTACCGAGGGCGGTTGGCTAGCGGCATATGATGAGGTGTCGTCGCCTGGAGTGAGTAAGATGTCATTCTCCCACTTGGACAATTGATCGTCATTCTGTGAGATAGCAAGGAACAGGAGTGAAAATGAAGAAAGGTGTTAAATTCATTTTTAAAAGATAAGGAAGAGAAAAAATAAAGATAGCACAGTGTAATCGACCAGGTGAGGGTAATCTCGGAGAGTAATGGAACTGATATTTGGACCATTGGGCAAAGTCCTCGACAACGTCACGTGAAGAGTTGTCTGCCAATGGAGGACTTCAAGACCTAACTCAAGACAGATTTTACGTAACACGTCGAGTCTATAGAAACTTAATACAAATTAAACGAAAATTAACCACACATTTGTTCGCAAATAATTTTTCTGGCTAAATCAAACAATTCACGTAAGAAGGGCTCAGATTTTTTTGCGTCAAGCCTTGGAATATCTCTGGGGTAAAATAAATGGAAAAAGAACTAATAATTTCTCGGCATAATATAACTGACTTGCTTACCTCTTTAAGGGCTTCATCACAAAACTGGACCAGTCTTTCGGCCATCTTTGAAAAGTCATGATGCTCTCCTGTCATAAAATTGCCAAATTTCAGTTGAAGTTACGCGTAGAGATGATCTCAATTACTTTTTATCACTTCCTATCTAGGACTATTCTCTCCCGAACTCTACACCGAAACAAGTTCTCGTGAGTGGCTATACGACCTACCGTTATAAACGACACTGTTCCTGTGCATCATTCGCATGTGTTCCATAAACTCTTCTCTATTTTGATAGGCATGTATCTGCACTTGCTGTGAATCAACAGAGCTGGTTAGTCGTGCGAAGTTTTGCGAATCCTCATCAGCACTATGCCGCTGACTCAGTGTTAGAGCTAATCGCACCCAAGGTGACAATGTAAGTGGTGAGAGATAAAGATTGTTGTTGTTGTTTGTGGCTTAACTGGTTAACCCTTTACATCCTCACATCAGTGTGCATATTCTCCTTACTGTTCACTATACATTTACTAAGGTGCTGACAAGGAGAATTTGTTTAACAATCAAGAGCTTCTTTTGTTATAAATTAGATCCTTTAGTTCTAAATTAGATCCTTTAGTTATAAATTAGATCCTTTAGTTATAAATTAGATCCTTTAGTTATAAATTAGTTCCTTTAGTTATAAATTAGATCCTTTAGTTATAAATTAGATCCTTTAGTTATAAATTAGATCCTTTAGTTATAAATTAGACTCTCATGACCTCAATGTTTGATTGAGGGGTCGATGGATTAACAAAGGCAACTAACTGATCTGCAGTATAGGCTAAGGAACAAACGGAAGGCGAGGAATATTATCAATAACGACGGAAAATTATGTGTTACCTGTTTAATTGTGAGAAGATCGATCGGTGTTTTTACCACCTCGTAGTAATCTGGCACCTGCTTAGCGCTGACAGGCTTTTGAAAAGGCAAACTCTGAGGAAAAAATATACGAAAGAAGTAAAGTCTTCAATTAGGCCTGGAGACCCAAAGCTAGTTTTAATTAATGGGAAATCTCATCGAGTCAGACCTCATGAAGATCTAGCTCTCTATATTTATAAAATATAACTTACATCTGGTAATGTTTTCAACTGCACAAGGAGATTTTCCAGAATGAACGAAAAGGCAATCTGAGAAGTTGGATAAATACAAAGTTACGATGGACATCAGAAAGAAGTAAAACCAGATATTTCCAAATGTACTTAATTACATCTGCTTCTTTTGAATTGTTACCTGCGGATCGTCACTAAGCATGGGATTTATTTCTTTCTCCAACTGAAGAATTTCCTCCTCTTTCTGAGAAAAAAAGTAATTAACACAAATATGCTGTTATCGATCTGCATGCAACACAGAAATGCAGGAGTTCATAAACTTAATTAATTAATCAAATTAATAATTCAATTTTCAGCAAAGCACCAAATCCCCGCAACCCTGCACAGATGTTGTCGGTGTTACACTTACATCCACCAAAGACTTTCTACAAACTTCCAACATCCTCTCAGCTGCAGCAGTAAAATCGTGAGTAGGTCCTGATGGGACAAGAAAAAAATTATCAAAATTCTGGAGCAAGCAAACGTGCGAGTAGAGAATTACAGTCGAACCTGTAAACGATTATAACTCTCGTTTAAAATAATGACATCATTTTTCGACTCACCATTATATAACACACTGTTTGCCTTGATTAAGGACACGTGCTCGAGAAAATCCTCCCTTGACAGATATTTACTCTTTCGGAGATTCTGACAATAAAAAATAAATAAGATATGACCAAAGGAAAAAGCTATAGAAGGAGGCTGGCAGTTTTCGGATGACAATCAAAGTTCTCGAAAAGATTTTTCAAAATCACGCACCTCTCGCATGGTTTGTAGATCCATGGGATTTTTAACAACTTTGTGATAATCAGGAACAGTTTTTGCTGAAACAGGCTGATGAAAAGGCCATGTCTATGAGGTAAAAGAAGACAAGTTATAAGACCTTATAGAAGCATTCAAATTGACTTTTAAATAACGAAAAGTGTTCCGGCATGAACTCAGTTTAGCGAAGACACATTGATTGACAAAAGTAGTTGGCACGCGTCCCCTTCCCTGACTGGGTGTGGACGACAAACCAACATAATAAAAAGAAATAATGTACTTCATCTCTAATAAGTTACTTGGAAGTTTCCCTTTTCCCCAAAGAATGCTGCCTGAGATTGGAGAACAATTTGTTAACACCTGGCAACGTCAAAATGGCGGAGAGGCAGAGGCAAATAAAGGTTAAAGAAAAAATTTAAAAAGGAGTATAGAGTGCCAAGACTTCAGCCACTCTTTGTGAGTTTCTTTTGCTTAGAAGTAGTTCTTGCCTGCCTGTACTTTGATCAGGTTTGTCTTTCTTTACAACAACGATTGTTGGTGTAAATGCTTTGGTTGAACTCACCGAAGGATAAATGAAACTGAGACTTTTGACAATAACAATAATTATAATTATTATTAAGAATAAGAATATATAAGAACTGCAATAATAATCCAAATCCTGCAGACACAGTCTTGCCAAAAAAGGTCTTTCTGACATAATATACATGAAAAAAATAATCATCGTTGTTTTCCTTGATAAATCTTGATTGTAAAAAAGGGGAAACGATAAAATGCTGAAAAACAAGTGACTTATTTACAAACAAATCAAAAGTATTAAAATAATAATAATAATAATAATAATAAAGTTAATAAATAACAAGAAAAAATATACTCACATCCTCCATTTCCTTCATTTTATTGATGATTAACTCAAAGAGAGCTTGCAGAGCCACCTATAATTGACGAGCACAAGAGTAAGGCAGAAGTTACAAAGGGAAGACAAGTAACAAATTGCCTCGTTAATCCAAATTTCAAGACCAATCATTGACCGAAGATTAGCATGACCAGCGCATCGCGGAATAAGTTCGATTGTCAATCGAACCTGAAATTGCTGAAGGAATAAATAAGTAATTACCTCAGGATTGGCCCTTCGACGGTTAATCGATTTGCGTGGTTTCTAAAACAAAAACAAAAAACAGACAAAATATTCAATTTTAGCAGGCGAAGATAAGAACAATTCTGCTGATGGTTAATTGAAATACTTCACTAAACAATCGTACCTTAAGATAATCACAATGCATGACTCCTGAACGTCTTTTCTTGCGCACTAAAAATAATTAAAACAAATTAAAACAAATATCTATATATATATATATATATATATATATATATATATATATATATATACACACATGTATATATAAAAATAAATAAACTGGATTTTGATAATACTCATTGCATAATTATCGCATACGATAGATCGATTAACATTCTCTCACCAGATTCTTTCGGGAAGCGTAAAACAAGTGCTTTCCTTTTCAGTTCGTTCGTTCTGGAGGAAAACAGCACATGACAATGAATAAATTTTGTCAAAAGTGAAGTTCGATCGGTCTTACTCCTTAATTACTTCGAGTGACTAGCCAACCACCCGTCGGCGAAAACTATCAGGCGCAGACCTCGAACCCAGTCTTATCTCAGTCGCCACGCTTTTCCCGCGCATAGCAAAGGGTGACATGCTTCAAGTACTGATTCGAGTTTCATCTGCTCAGTACTCTTTCATATGAAACTTAAAAGAAAAAGACTCAATTCTCAGAATGTCTCACTATACTTAAAGCCCTTTAAGATAACCTTACAACTATGGTAAAAATATCTTTTGCACAGCATGCAAGGCCGTGTATCTACCAGCAAACGATCGTGCTTACTGATCAAGAAAAGCTTTTCCCAAAGTAATTTTCGTTCCTTCAACTTTCACCAAATCATCCTGTGGCATGTTGAGTTCCTCTTCAGCCACCTGTTCATCAGTCATGGCCACTACTACAGAAGCTGGATTCGCCTCTTGGTAGTTCGGACAATTCTTGTTGGTGCGCATGTGTCCTATTGCTCCACAAGCGCCACATTTCAACTGATGAAAATAGAAAGGAAAATAACTTTTGAAACAACGAGTTGCAATTTAAGGTTCTTGTTAATCCCTTCTCGATTTTCATGTTCAATGAGAGTTTTGTTTTCTCCAAAATTTTCGTCTGTTATCAAAGTTAGAGTCATATTTGTGAGTGCTTTCTGATTACGAATGTAATCTCTGTTTTCAAACCTTCTGTCCTTTAGTTTTTTGTCACGGTGTTTTATTGAAAGCTATCTCAGATAGTATAAGTGTCAAGTGTTTCGATAACTTTTCCCATAAGCAGCTGTTGAAGATGTAATAGGCGGCAGCGCTCGAAAAGGGGCCGTAAGGCAAAACTCAAACAAGACAGACACAAGGTAAACAGATGGCGGTAAGAGGTTTCGTACTTCGGACAGTGGTAGATCACTGGTATCCGGATTTCAAAGAAACACCTTGAGCGTGGCGTTAACTTCCAAAGTTAGAAAACATCACTGTGACCAAAAAGCGGGAATGTAAGCACGTAGCTTTTTAGTTATTGATTAGGAAAATTATTCAGAAAATGAAGCAGCAAATAAAGCAGTGGCAAATTAAAGGAGAAGATTTTGGGATTCAAGAATCTTTGTCCTTCCGCCCAGCGAGGTTGCTCCACTGTTATCCCTCAAACTTTACAACAATATAAGTGTATAAGTGTGCTTACGTTATTTGGAGGTTTTTCTTTCTTCTTTTTGACCGGCTGTAGTTTTTCTTTTTCTTGGTTTCGCTTTATCCTTCGCAACTGTTCTTGAATTCTGGAATTTCATATAAAACTTGTGTTATCTTTATTCCTTTGATTACTAAAAAACCAAAGGCAATGAGAGATATTTCAATTGTTGGAAGAGTCATCCAACTTATCCCACGAAACGTAAAGTCACCTTCTCTTTTCCCGTCGGATTTCCTCCTTATGTACCTCATCAACACTCGCAAACTGAGCTCTGCAAGAGGTGAACAAAAACGAAGAAGGTCGGGTGAAGAAGTAAAATGTTTCTACAACATCATAACCTTGTTTGAACAAATTAAAACCACAGAAACAATCAACAACTGAAGTACTTGACACTCTTGTCCTTGTTCAGCTTCAAGTACGCATCAATAACGGCCTGGTTTTTGACGACTTCAATGCGAACAAATTCCTTTCCGTCCGGCGTTTTAAACGTTCGTCTGATACGAAGGCGACGGCCAACCTGGAAGAAATTATAAAAAGAAAAATTGATAAAACAACAAACGTCTCATTAAAAAAAAGGAGAAAGAAGGAAGAACTTTTATATCAGTTAGAATTTAACTAGATTTATACAAATGTTAATATAATACAAAAAACAATTTTCAGTCGAGCGTTGAAGATAATCCGGGATTGCTTTGGTATTTATTACGTTGCTCTGTGATTGGTCCAGAAAACTCGCTCCACTGTCTCAACCAATCAGATAACAGATAACACCAATCACGACTTGGTTGCCAGCGTTTTCCCGCGCTTTCGGCGGTTTTCTTGTTTTTCTTTGAGTTCTCACTGGCTCTTCAGGATATTCTCCTTTCTTATTTATACATTCCAGTACTGACAGTCCTTGCAATCTACTCACCATCGATGATTCGTAACTCGTAACTGAAGCTGTTTCATCCTCGTCTCCTTTGCTATCTTTCTTGGCGCCTTCCTTTCCGCCCTTTTCGCCTGCGAGTTTATTTTCAAACAACAAATTAGCCGAGCTCTCTTTTTGGAGTCGCGAGGGAACTTTATTTCGCGTAAATAAATTCAATTCAGTTTTCCTGCAAATAAGCGACATTCCCTTTAAGAAATATAATAAATCTCGCAGGAGGGAACTGTATATGGGAGATTGGCGAGGAAGCTAATCTCTTCACTCCGACACAGGTTGTTTTGAGTTTCAGGAAACTACTGTCGACTCATAAACCCCTGAGAGCGACTGGCACGTTATTTCTCCGTACAATATCACCCCTGAAGGTTAAAAGAATAAAGGAAATTATCACCAACTAAAGAAGCTCAAGATTGCTGGAAAAATTCTCCTTGTCAGTACATTTGGAAATGTATAGAGACCAGTATGGAGAATATGCATACCGCTATTTGGGTGTAGAGGGTAAAGAGATTAAGATACGATCGATGAAAACAAAAGTACATTCAAAAGTAGGCAAATAAAATGGAAGCCTTACCTGCAGACTTACCGTTCTGTTTACATGGAAAAAAGGGGAGAGAATGTTAGAAATTAATGTTAGGCTTCTATTAATCATCAAAGGTAACACAGGAAAGGGATAACTACAATGTATTGCTAATGCTTTGCTTTCGCGTTATAAGTTGTAACAGCATCTCGGTCTTTTCTTTTAAAAAAGAACCAGTAAGTTTCTAATAGGGTGAATCGTATTAACAATGCAATAAATAAAACGAAGAGAAAATATGGACATGATAATAGAGATGTTGACGAATGTTTCTTACAGATTCTTTGCTGGGTTTATCATCACTCAGTAGCTTCTGAAGTTCTCTTCTCTCGGCCTCTTCTTCTTCGTGAGTGAGCTGAGGTAAAAAATAATAATAATCACGTGAAAATTTTTCACAGACTCATGAAAATTTCACAAGTTCCTTCAATCATAGGAGAACGATTGACTTCAGATCACAGTACGTTCTGTTTAGGCAATGAAGGTCTTTGTTAGATGAAAATTATCTTCCAACATGACAATTAGTCTCCATTTTGAAGGTACATTTCTGCATATGGAACAAACTAAATTAAAGGACCAACTGTAGAAATAGTTTTAAACACACCTGCATACTGGTTTTCTTGTTGGCCAACATACTTTCCAGATTTTTCCCAAGCTCATCGATATCGCTTCCCTCATCACTGCTACTCTCCTCGTCTGTAGACAGGACCTCAGTTGATGATAAAACTCTACACGTAAAAAAGGGATTAAAAACATATTTATTTTATCCAGACCAGTTCTTACTAGGCTGGTCCTTCATTCTGCAAGAGTTTATCCTTGTTTCTGTAGCATGAGACCACTACAATTATCGTTACTCCCCTCGGATGTAATTTAAGTCCATCGCAGGCAAACCGCTGACAGTTCACCACGCTCAGAAATAACTTTCAGGGTTTACAGGAATTTAGTAGCCAAAGGTCTTGTTGCTAACCTGTTTTGTAGATCAAATATCCGCTGACATTCTTCTTTGTAGCGTTCCTGATGTTCAGCAATAGTGAATCTTGATCCTCTGGCGAACTTGCTCATACCTGTATACAAAAGATATAAAAATCATCCAAACGTACATGACCGTTATGTCACTTACCATTTAATGTAGCGTGACCTCACTGATTGACAGTAACGTGACACTAGCGCGACCTACCTCCTTCTCCAGACTTAGCCGCCTCTGTAGACATTGTGCGCACGACATGAATAACTTCCCATCTGGATAATTTTCGAATCTACACAAAGAAACAAAGAAACAATCTGCTAAATAAGACATTAGGAAAGAGTGCGTCTCGAGCAGCTTCCCACAGAGGTCCGTGAGGCAACGGTGTGGTTTAGTTACGTGTTACAACCCTTATGGTCGTCTGTTACCGGAGCATATCCGGCTTCGAGTAGCATAAAGTAACTGAAAATACTTCTACACCTCCTGGAAGGAATACCAGTCCATCACAGGAAACCCAGTCCCAATCTATCAAGAGAGTAGTGTCTTGCCCGGGAATACCATACAATGACCCAGCCAGGTCTCGCACCAGGACTTTTCGATCCAGAGTCTAACGAGCTAACCACTAAAATACCATAAAGGGAAGAAAGCATCACCGGGACACAAACTCGTATCATAATGGTACAAGATTAAGTGAGTTACCTCTTCATCTGATACTCCAAAGTTTCTGAGTACTTGTCGTGCTTGTTTCAAAGACAATCTCCTTAGATCGGCATCAGTCCCCGTAACTGTCTTTTGTTTTCGTATCTGAGGAGAGTTGGTGCTGGAATCATCCTGATCAAACCAGAAAGAAAGACAACAGTGTGTTTAGCACTTTTGCTAAATCTTCGAAAACCATCGTGACGTTGGCAAGTTTAACGAGTCGTTTACAAAACAGAGCTCGAATACCAAGTAAATTAGCAATTCAGGTTGGCACACAAGTGTCACGTTACATTTAAAAAACCTTGAGAAGTGTTTCTAGAGAGAAATAATCAAAAATAGAACCACGAATTTTTTTCCTCTACTACTCTCTTCCTTCCCGCCATGCAACAGATCAAAAAAACAGTTTAATGGTCATTACACTACCTTATTTGCCATAGGCTTGTTAGGTACTCTAACGTATGAAAATCCCTCCCCACACCCGGTGGGGTCCGCAGATCCTGTCACAGCCAGCTGACACTTTCCTCTCATGGCTGAGATAAATGCTCTTGTGGTATTCCATGGGGCTGTGCGAACCTAGGAAAAAAGGCGAGTCGCACGTTTAGACTGACTCACAAATAAGACATTCCACATTTGAAATGAATTTTCCATCTCATTAACACCTACCTCGTCATCAATATTTTTGCTCTCTGGATCATCGTTATCGTCGTCGCAGGAGAACAGAGATTTCTCGCCATAACCAGCATCCTTTGAAAAGTTAAAAAAAAACATGAATGGGAAACTAATTCAGTAATGCTCAAGAAATAAATTATCAGGATTTCTCCTAACATAGACAAACAAAAATAAATGACAAAAATAATCTGTAATGCACAATTTGTACGAGTAAGACCTATTTCAGCTGCACAGGGAGCAAGAAAATTGACTAGAGCCTTCTTTTTCTTCAGTCGCACATGGCTGTCTGATGAACATAGGATTGAGACTCACCTTGAGTCTCTGTTCTGCAGCCAACATGCTGTAATATGCACAACACTGCTCGGGTGACACTAGGGCACGCATCTCCTCCTCCGTTGGCAAACGGAAATCATTCTTCAGTACCCACCAATTACAGTCAGTACCTATGGTAACATCAGGGTAGATCAATCAGCTTCCACACCAAGCATGCGCTAGCTTTTCAATCAGTTAAATTTTTACCTTCGTTCAGTAAAGCTTTCATAACCATAACGCTATGCTATACTGTGTAATGTAATAATCTTCAATACTTAACGCTATGCTGCTTTATCTAACACTGTTTTTCTCCTATTCATTCATAAAAAAATAAAATAAATAGTTGTATAAACTGCAACCAAATGTATCACGTCATGTTATGCTTTATTACTATATGCTCAATATAACTAACATAGGCTAAACTACTCTACTCATGACTGCCCTATACTCACTGTCAAAGGTAAAATTTCTGAACTCCATTTCCTGTGAATCTAAAATAATTGATCTCGTTAAGGTAATTTGCTCACCTTGCTAATGGCTGTTGTTTAATTTGGTTTCACAGACCAATTCAACATCTACACTGCACTGAACTATAGTGCAGTTGTAACGCATCACTAACTCGCGCCAGTAACATTGATACCCACGTAAGACTGAGTCAAACACGTGCGACTTACTAATTTACGCATCGCTCACTCACGCAAATAATATTCACTCTCCCTTAAGACTAAGTCACATTCATTCACCCACGTACTCACTGGATGTATAAAGAAGTATCTTTGCTACAAACGCGAACGGAAAAAAGGTTCCTCTGGTTTTGCTCGTTTTTTTTTTTTTTTTTGTTTTTTTTTTTTTCCAAACCAAAACAGATTTAGCAAAAATACAAGAAAATTTCTTCTTATCAAAATGAATGTAATATCTCCCCGTGAATGCCCAAACGGCTCAATGGTAGTCAGCAAATGTTTGACCCTTGCATTTGTTAGTCTCCAACAAGATTCTTAATCGCCAAAGCTTGCGAAATTGCACGTGCTCAATTATGCACCCTCTCACGAACGCGTCTACACACTGGTGGATAATTTCAACTACATAAATCGACCAACCTGTTCTCTTAAAGTCGGCACAAAGTTTGAGTCGTTTTCTAATGCTGCTCTCGGAGTGCATTGGAAATGCTCGCTTGATGTCGTCCATCTTGATTCTCCTTGGCGTGTCTGGACTTTTCCAAAACAATCGATAGATGAAAATCTGTGAAAATATAAAAGAACCCACCATGCTATTTCCTACACTTCACAAATGACCTTCACAACAAGTCAGTCGGCCATCATGAGTTCGCCTCCTGAGAGGTCAGGCCTGCGGGTTAGTTTCTTCTAATCCTACAGCATTACGCAACGAGAGGTAATGCAACTCCAGTCCATCGCAGGGGGCCTTAAGGATCATATGATAAGGCACTTTAATGTATCTTGCTTAATTTCATATGACAATGCATGTCAATTCAACTTACTTGGAGGAAATCTCTGGCGTGAATGTTTGCTTTTTTAGAGTTTGGTCCTGGTACCTCAAACTTTGGGCATTCCTGGCCCACAGTGAAAATTGTCTTCACATCACGAATATGATACCTACGTAACACAAACAAAATAACTTATTTAATTGGAAGAAAACACCACATCAGAGGAATCTTTATATGATGTTGTAAAATAATTTGTGACCATATCAAAAAGGGGCCCTTGTCCACATCACCCATAAGCTTGGAGCTGCAGCTATCATAATGAAGTATTTGATATGAAGAGATATTCTTTCGTCTTGCCATTAGCGTTGGACAAAGATAAAAAATTCCCATAAGGGATCGAGATCCTCACAACTTCGAAATTAGCATTCCGATGCTCTACCACTGAGCCGCAGAGAACTAAGTGATGAGGCAGGTCATTACTAGGAACAAACAAGTGAAGTGAAGATACATGTACAGTACTCACCCAGACGAATTTCTGATGATCAGGAAATCTGTCTCAGGTAATTCGTGTTGAAAAATCGGAGCTCTGAACAAGTTGCTCTCAATAGCCTACAAAGAGAGACAACAGTTCGACCTTTGCAGCATAGAAATTACTAAAATCGAGTTCTATTTCTGTCTAAGAGAAGACAGTTCTAAAAAAGAACTGTTATCAGTCCTCAGGCTGTCGTAAATAACAGACACTGACACAGAAAATAGTGTTTTTCAGGACCACCCTCATTCGGATGGACAAGCAACATAAGCATTTACTGTAGAAATCATGTGTCGTGAATAATATATCATGTCGTGACCGACCTGTAAAGACTCTCCTGGTGCCAACTGGCCAAGAAATGGTGATGTCTGATGTACTGGAACTGGTTCTCCATATTCATAAGCTGGCATACTCTCATCCTTGCCTGGTTTCTAAAGGTAATACATTGTAAAAAGTACTGGTACGTGAGAATGAGCTAGAGGTAATAATCATTAAACCTTCACGATAAAATAAACCCTCTAGCACGCACGATACATGAAATTAAATGAGCTAAGTATAGTCTTCTTTCCTTGAGTGAGAAGAGCATGGCTTTTTAGGAGCATGCGCGAGAGAGTCTCCCTACCGGTTTGACTTCCTTTCCACGTACACCCCACCCCCACCCCCCCCCCCCCCATGCGCTGTCATACTACGCAGGATATAAATGATCATGCTATGCCACTTGCAGCCATTAATTCTAGTTGATAAAGTTGTTTCCCTTACCCGTTTGTAATAATTTCTGATCTTTGCATTCATGCCAACAGCCATGATGAGTGGTGGATATTCCTCACAGTACTCAAAAAACACCAAACTACCGTCCATTCCCGTCAAATCAGCTGGTGTTCTCATGAAGAACATCTCTCCTCCTCCAGATGCCAGGCGCTCCTTTTCACGTTCCTGAAACAGGAATTCATTAAAAACAAAATTATGTTAGACCGCCTGTGGAGTAAGAGCTAACAAGGCTAAGGATTATCTTGGTTTCCAATGAATGATGCAACTTTGAGAATAGCTTCTCTCCCTTGATAGGAAGCTTGTCCATCACTAGCAAACACCTGCACGTCACCGTATCGTCCCTTCTTGTCTCGCAGCTCGTTCACTTTCCTGAATGGAGAGATGCCTTGTGACAGCAAAGAGTTTGAAATTGTTTTTTAGATTGTCCCAAGATTTGCTTCACAGCTCTCCTTGATTGGTTTAGAAATCTCATTCCCACTGGTAATCCTAGAGGATTCCAAAGAGTCTGGCTATTTTAAAACCAAATTCGCTTGTAGTTTAATAGATTGCGCTAGTGGTTTGAGGAAAAAAAAAAAGGAAAGTACTTTGAATAATAGCTCCTTGCCGGTTACCTCACCCACCCAACACCACCCCACCCCACCCCACCTCACTCCCACTTTTTGACAGGTTTCCCTGATGTTTCCCCAGTTCTCATTTATATTCCTGAGACGGGAGAGACAAGTAAGAGTAAAGTGTTTTGCTCAAGAACAAAACACAATGACGCTTCCAAGGTTAAACCAGAACCTTTAAATCTCTACACATAAGTATCCTGCATCTCCTATGGGTGAAAATCAAATAGTTCACTGACCCTGGCTTTCTTCTTGATATGCTTCAGTAGCCCATATACATTATGTCTTCCAGGTTTGGACAAGGGTCCATGACCAAAACCCTTTAGAGGAACACGATGGAAATGACGCAAATCTAGCGCAACCATGTAAGTGGGAAAGTATGGTCGCTGAAGTTCTATGGCAGGCAGTGAATGCTGATGAAAATGAAGGAAGAAAATATTCAGACATCTGACTCACACTGACAAGTATCTTTAAATAGAACTAAAGCCCTAGTTTATTTTCTTGGAATTCCTGTGGAAAATTCTATAAATTGAATGCAATTTTACTTCAAATGTATTTATGCTTTACACCTTCTGTTAGCGGTTTATATCAAATCCAGGGTCAAAATGATTTCAAACTATTGTACTATAAGACATGGTTTTTTGCTACTCTGGTTTCGACACTCCTGTCTAGTGCCTTCACCAAGGTGATCTGATCACTGCAACAAGAGGTCCTTTTAGATCACTCCTAATGAAGGCACTAGACAGGATTGTCAAAACGTTGGGTCTATGAATTGTAAGTTATCTGTCACATTTATTAAACCTTTAAACCAGAGTAGCATCAAACCATGTCTGATTGTCCACCTGGTTCCCTTGTGAACTTTAATAAATCTTACTGTACTATAATTTGATGTCTTCTTCATGCAAAATAAAAAGTCCTTGGACAAGGGGGAACACTTCTCAAATTAATTTAGAATCATTTTGACTCAATCAATTAAAATTACAACATGGATTCTAAAAATGTACGTACACTTTTTTTCTGGATGTGGACTATTTCAGAATGGTTTTTAGTAGGAAATTAAAACAATTTACAAATGTTGACTACGTCCTTGAGTAAACAATACAGAGCATTGATCAAAATATTTTAGAGGGATCTACACCTGTACAAACTTACAAGGAAATAAAATTCTGACCTGGACAAGATTTGAACCTCCACTTGTATCCAAAGATGTTTCAGCAGCTGTAAACAAACAAGAAACTTATTACACACAGTGGTAACTTACTTTCTCCAAACAGTTTTCATATCTAATGAAGCCACTAAAGTATGAGAATTGACAAACTCACCAATCTCTTAACAAATTTAAAAACAGAAAACCGAGGGAAGAATTACTTGTCACATCTAAGGAGTTGTTTAGCTAACACATGAATGAAAGGTAGCACCTGGAGCCCAAAAAGTGAATCAAAAACAAATTATCCTTCCAAAATCAAAGCAAATATAGATTGAAAAGAAAGAAATTACCATCAACTTTATTTGGTTTGATACTACACCAAATTCTCAGCACTAAAAAAAGGCAAGACATGTTTAATTGAGAGAGGAGAATTGGTACTCAGATCTTGGAAATAAAAGATTTGAAAATGAGGGTTGCATAAACACTCACTGTTCTTTGCACTGTAATATTCATCATTTGATAAATTAAACTTGTTCTTCAGCTGTTCCTCTGATTTTCCCTCCACATTTTCACCCTCTTTAGAGTTGTTCTTTCCCAAAAGTAGTTTAGATTTCTTAGCCTCCTGGTAAAAGGAATTTTTATAGATAAAAGTGTTTGGTTGGATAAGGGAAGTCAACCAGGATGTTATATTAAGCATAAAAGAAGTAATCTTGTCACTGTTTTCACCTGCTTTCAGCCAAGTGTAGTCTGCTGGATCTTTCTAAAACATGAATTTATTATTGATGACATCCAATAATCTAGTGTTTAAGAAGTGATTTACTTTCCTATAATTTGGCATATCAGCTAATCGAAATCATTTTTACTTGTAGCTAACTCATGGTCTTTTAAGCCTATGAGGACTAACTGACATGCTGATTAGAGCAAGCTTACCAAATGTGGAAAGAAAACCACAACAACAAATTAGCAAAAAGCAAATGCCAGGTTTAACAGGTGATCTTAAGTCTACCTTTTTAGGTGTAAGTGTTGCTGTATTCTCCTTCACTAGTGGACCAGAGTCCTCTGGGATACTCAGAATTATGTTTTCGTCATTTGGATCCAGTCGCATGATAGTAGGAGAGGGAATTGATGGCATGTTCTAGAACACAATTAAAAGCATATGATTACATTGCATATATGTATGTATCCTTCTGTTACATGTGGTAAGAAGTTATTACATCATTTCAATGGATTTCTAGGAACGGAATAGAGATATGAAGCTTATGGATGTCAATTGAGAAATTGGAATAAAAAACAAATACCTGTGAATCCCAAATGATCTTATCTTCCCAATCGCCATAAACAAGTTCTGTATTTTCCACTGGGAAGATAGAGTACCATTTTGAAGATTTCTGATTATTATTTTCCTCTCCAGCACCTCCTGGTTTGTTGGGTGGATTCAGGAAAGTTGTATTAGCTTTGATTGCTGAGGTTGTGTTCTTCAAAAATGTTTCAAGTCCAGGATGCCGTACCCCTGTAAAAAAAAAAAAAAGGAAGTTACACATCTCAACTGCACATTAGAAGTGCATTTGACACATTGTGCTTAAGAAATAATTTGAGCTTCAAATCAAAATAATTTTGTTATCCATTAAGAAATTAAAATCTTCCTTCCCTAAAATTTCTTTCAAATATAAGTAGTAAAATCTTATAGCACCAACATACCAATTACACTTCACTTTTTAATCGAGAAGATCATATTTAGTACATAGTTAACATGATCTTCTATTTTAATTTGGAATGTTTGAAAAAAGATTTTTCACCATCAGTCATTATCACAGTTAGCATTTTAAGGCAGAAACAAGCAAACTTGGAAAACCAACCCATGTAACGAGTCAATTTTTTAATTTAAAAAAGTTATTTATACATAACTGACATAATATTCTGTTGAAATTTGGACTCTTTGAAAAAAACACTTTGTACCAACAGTTTTTATCAAAACTAGCATCCAAAGTAGACACTGGCAAAGAAGATTAAAATCCACCCATATTAACCCATTCACTCTCAAGATCTCATTAGTAATTCTCCTCACTGTCTGCCATACAATTCTTGTCATGTTAGTTCAGAGAATTTGGTATTGGATTGACAAATAATTCCCTAATTGATATTTTTCTTTATTCTCATCACTTGTCTGCAAAATATTGTATTGTTATTATAAGGGGAAACTCTGTCCTGATCACTGATGGGAGTTAATTGCAGCATGAAACTCTTTTATATAATACAAATGAAAATTTATGGTTTCCACGTTATTAAAAAGTGCTATAAGAAAATAAGAAAAACAAAAACTAAATCTAGCTTTACTAAAATATTTCATTTGTACCAAGTTGTTGTAGTAACTGCTCCTGCTGAGCTGCATAAGCTTGAGCTGTGCGTGTTGTAGCTGTTGGTATCCAGCCTGCCCTGGCTTGAGCTTGGAGGTTAGGTTTTACATCATCAAGAGTCCAGATGATTTCATCCTCCCAGTTGACTTGGGCCACCATTTCAAAACATTCATCAGGTGGGAGGTAGTGTGGTGATTTGGGGGATACTGATGAATCTACCTCATCCTCTGCTTGCTGTGAGAAGGAGCAAAACAAAACATATGAAGTCCATTGCAATTTCCATTCAGTTGTCCTCAACAATCTGAATAGACTTCTTCTATGGTTTAACCCTTAAAGTCCCAGAAGTGATTAACATGTAAGTTCTTCCTACAGCATCCATACATTAACTTTAAGTCTAGCAAACAGGTGTGAGAATACTCAAACTTATTAGGCAGAAGTTGTCATCTTGATCAAATACTAAATTCTTTTAACCAATTTACTAAAAAACTGTGTAGCGGCTAGAGGATAGAACTAACAATCTAATCTTGAGAGTTAAAGGGTTTAAAGAGAAACTCAGACAATCAGGTCTTCTCTTAGCTATTAGATTGCCCCAGTCAACACAGCCAGCAAACAACCTCAGAGTGCAATGTGCCTCAACTTTCCCCAGTCAGTAACCCCTATGCCCTCTATCACTCTCCCCTTCCAAAAAAAGGAGATATACCACTTTGACAGTGTTAAAGTCTCATAAGGAACTATCCTAAAACATCAACATTTCAAAAGCTAACCATAAACTTTGTCTTCACCTCTGTTAGCTTGAAACCATAATCTAAATTTGTTCCATCCTCATTCACTCCAAGCATTTCATACCAAAGAGCTGCCGGGCCATTGCGCCATTCACATGCACTTTTCGTTGTAGCATCCTGGGATCCAGCAGAATTCCAATCACCAATAGAATCCCTTAGTTCATCAAGGGTTGGTTCCCATGGTGCCATTAATTTGTCCTACAAGAAGATTTCAAAAGTGTTTTGTCACAATATTTGTAAAATCCCTTTAGAATGGATAGAAAACTTAATAACCATTTCACTCCCAAGATCTAAACTATAATTCTCGACACTGTTTTCCATACAATTCTTGCAATTTAAGCTCTGAGAATTTGGTGTTACAGATAAATCAATCAATAGTCTAGCTTGATATTTTTTATCTTAACATCATCTTTATGCTTGAAAATAAGTAGTTACTATAAGGAAAATTTCCTGTCTGGTCAATTATAGGATTGAAAGGGTTAAAATAATTGTTTACTTCAATAGATAAACACCAGAGGCAAGAACACACCAAAAAGAAACAAGGATGGTTTAGGATTGAGAGGATTGAATGTTTTCATATTTTTCTTTTAAATATGGACCAACCCTGATGAAGCTCTTTTCAATGTCCACAAAAGTATCATTTGGATTTATCATACTCAAGGGTTTGTTCCAGTACCAGTTGTATGCATAAAAACTACAAGCAAGGCTTCCCCTTAATTTTATTTCTACCTGCTCCACCCTGTTTCCAATTTTCCTCTCAGGAGTGAATAGACAGGGGAAGGAAACCCATGCTTAGTTTGCATCAGTTTTTGTCAAAATTTGGCTTAACAGGATAACATGCACTTCACATTTGTGCCTATAAGAAGGGTGATCTTTCAGAGGGAGGGGATCTTACTAAATGAAGCCATTAATTCAAGGATTTAATGTCTATGTTCAGTGATCCAAAGGACCTCTAACTGTAAACAAAACCTATGTTTTTTATTTTGTTTACCTCATCATCAGACATACAATCTTCAGGTCGTGGACTGGGTGGAGTTTTCGGAGGCTCAATCACAGTCTTTTCATCATCTTGTTTTTTCTTCTTCTTTTTCCTTTTCTTAGCATTACGCCATTGCTGAGGCATTGATGAAGCTTTTGCTGGGCCAAAGAGACGGGAAAACCTTAAAACCTGTCCAGGACGGAACTCTGGAAACAGATCTGTAACTGTTTTTCCATCATGGGTGGTGAGTTTGCCATCTTTGTTTAATAGGTCTTTAAGGTAAAAATACAATAACATTTTAAAAAATAGCAATTTGTTTGAGAACACATTTGAGTCTTATATTACATGTTTTGGTACATGTTTTGTTTAAGACCAAGACAGCAATACATATTGTACAAAAGTTTCAGCACAAGCAGAGGAAAAGGTGGCATACCAATTGTGAAGAGAAAAAACCTTTTTAGCTTTATAGGGAAAATAAATGGAACATTTGACTGAGTATACAGTCCACTTATTCATGTGTGGATGGCCCTGAAAGGATTACCATCAGGGGAAGTCAGTGAGCATAGGTCATCATCACAGTCACAATTCACCTAACATGTTTGCATCCTTGTTTCTACCCAACTTGGATGACATGTCATTTCATTTTGGAGCAAGCTTCTAAAGATTATATTCACTCGCACTCTCATGCACTCAGCTACATCACCAATTACACATCTGTAACACCCCAAAGGAATTTTCAACACATTGTTGGCAACAAGGATGCACACACGATGGCCACAGTATTCTTTCAATAAGAAATTCCAAATAACATCTGTTTGTCTGGCTTCAACCACTTCTTACAAGGATTTTCAGTTGAGTGAGGAAAGTTTGGTGACTAAATTTAACATGGTATTGTTGTCCTGGACCACTAGTTTTGTTTCAAGAGGCAAAGTGTTGTTTGACCACTTTTAGTGGGCTCTCACATTATGCAGTTGAGAAGGTACAATTCTTGAGGTTTTGGTAACCACTGGACACAAGGAAAGTTGCCTTAGACAACTCCTTAATTTTAAGGTCAAAACCCTGTCACTCAACTTATCCTCACTAAATTAACCAACTACTATACACATGGAAAAAGAAATTTCCAAAGAAATTTCCTGTGAAAGGTTGACAAACAGTTCAAAGAACTGATACTTCATCTACCTGATCCAATTGTTCCAGCAAGAGGGGTGGCAAATGAGTCTTTATTGGTGCTGTCAATCATTCTGGCACCCTCCCCTGATTGGGCCACAGACACCTGTGGGGTGGGTGGTGGAGGCATGGCCAATCTGTCCTGTTCATGTTTAGAAAGTGTGGAAGCCGCAGGGACAATAGTAGGTAATAGCAAGTGACCTAGTTGGTAAGAATAGTTGTCATAGAAATATCAAGCAGGCTGTATAGTAAACAAATTTAAATATATCAATAAACTAAAATGATCTTTCCATTATATTCAAAATAATAACATTGTTATATCAGTCAAGTGTTCACATCAAAAGTGTCACAGTCACTCCCTACTGTATTTCATTGATGATACAATGCAATAGAGCAAACAAACCTTTATCATTCTGTGTATTATCCACATTGTCAATACCAGTATCATCATAGTCATCATCATCTAAAATTTAATCAAAACATATTATATTGACTCATCTCCTTAACAGTTCATTACCACATTAAATTATTGTAACTTTGATAATGTAATCCCCTTCGATAAGCTAAGGTACTTTTAAGGAATGCAACAAAAAATATGTTTAAACAAAAATGCAATGAAAAGACAAACAAAAACCCAATGAAGGAGAATGATGTTTTGATGAGAACTCTACAATTGATCAGTGTAACTTACCAGCAGTGCTGGTGTTCTGCTTTTGAGAGAATATGGACACAGCATGTTTGTAATACTTTTCCTCCTCTTCCTCTGCTAGTTCGGAGATATCACTGTAGTCTGTAGCACTTGAATCCTTCTGAATCCAGCCTTCTGAAAGGGATTTACCTGTTGAATTTTCAAAAAATTCCAAGTAATTTTAGGCATAATAAAAGTTAATACAGCTACTTAATTTTTTAGATGCTGCCAGAAAAGGAAAACACTGAGCTTACCATGTTTTTATGAAGCATTTAGCTTAGGATCATTGAATGGGATACTAGTTCATCACAGATTACTTTCAAACCTGCCTAGCATCTCAGCAAGTTTACAATAACACAATAATCATTCCAACTGGTTTAGCATGAACCAGCTAAGAAATATAGCTACTCCATTTTAAAAGGATGCTACACCAGGTCTGGAAGTGTGAAAGCCCAGCTGAGCAGTTCTCTAGCAACATGACTCAGATTATCCAGATTCTAAAGAGCAAATCATTACACCTTCTGCCTAAAATGCCATGCAATTGGAGCAAGACCCTTCTATCACCTACTCACTATACCGATCAGATATTAAACGAAAAGACACCAAAATGTATCTTACTGCTGCTTCCCTCGCCCAGTGGCCCGGAATCATGATTTGGTGATTTGCCTTCCTCTGCAATGTCTTGAACAAGACTCCCAAGGCCACTCAGAGAGCTCAACTGAGAAAGATGGCGCCGTGATTCCTTGAAAGAAATTTAAACAAAAATTTTAATTCAATTTAAAACAAAACAATCCAAACCCAATGTTAAAAATGAAACTGACTATCCATGCCAAACCAAGGTCACACTGGCATTTGTCAGCTACATGTATTTATTTTATTGCATTTACATTTATATAGCACCATATACATTACTCTATAACACTTCACAATCTTGAAAAAGAAAATCAAAGAAATGCACAAATAAAAAATAGGTATTTACAGAGATAAAAATGTAAAATGTACAGGAAAGAGGAATAAACAAGTAAATGAATAAAAACAAAACAAAAATGCACATTATGTATATAACTACTGCAAGTAGGCCTCTTTAAATAAAAATGTCTTAAACAATTTCTTAAAATTGTTGATGTTCGTGCATGTCTTCAGTTCTTTCGGTAAGGTATTCCACAGTTTAAGTCCCCCATAGCCCACTGATCTTCCTCCAAAGGACTTATGTACCTCATTTTCTACTTAAAGAAATGAAATACAATTCATTTTTCTTCTTCCGATTTCTATCAAAACCTTCTACAGCTACATGCAACATTAAACCTTTCATTCCCTTCGACATACAACAGAACATTAGCAGTTAAATCGCACTTCCATCGGCTTATCAGTTGTTGATAATAACCTTGGATACATGTAAATCTTTCAGTCCTTATAGAAAAAGCTTAAATGCTGGGAAAGGGAGAAAAAAAATCAACTTGCTAAGGCAACAGAAGAGTTTTCCCATATAATGGACAAAATATACCTTTTGTCAAAGAAGAAAAAAAAGAGAAATAGCGATCAAAACAAATCGTGTTGAAATGTATCATTGTGGGTTTCAATTTGTTGAGTGAAAGTCTTGAGGCCATCAAGTAGGTTGAAAAGAAATATATCTACAATCGACTTATCAGAAGTGTAAATTACCTCATCTAATATCTCTGTGTCTTCAAGCTCGCCTTTCTCGTTTATATTTCCAAATAAAAACCCTGTTAGATTGAGAGAGCCATCTTCGTCCTCCGAGTCCGCCATGTTGGCGACGGAGCGCTAAGATATGTGGGAAAAACATTTAGTTTCCAGCCTCTCTGTGGCTCCCCTAGTTGTTTACTAATATTAATTCCGGCACGCTTGACCAATGCAAATGAAAACTGTCGCCAGGGCGTCAAATTGACGTAGAGCACATATTTCTTTTCAATATATTAAATTATTTTTTAAAATAAAATCTTTGTAAAACTCCACGCTCGCAGACACTAATATTCACTCGCACGTCAACTTTAACTGGTCTGACGGTAAATAAATATATTAGGGGTGCTGTTCGAAGAAAAAAAATGACAGTTTATTCCGGTTGTATAAGTAAAAATCCGAAGAGGCTCGTCTTTTTTCGCCTAGTGCAATTCACATATAGTACAGAGACGGACAAGTCAACATCTAAAGGCGCGACTGTAACCACAAACTTATTTAGTTTCTGGGTGGAGAGAAAGGATGTGTGGGCGGGCGGGGATGTCATTAATAAGAAAATTTAGCTTTCAGAGCGGAGAGGGGCTTTTAGTTTATTTTCTAAAATTGGCAAATTAATCAGTCCTTTTGGTTCAGTGTCAGGGTTGGGTTCATATTGGTGCAATTCTATCAAGGGAACCTTTCAAAAAAGTAACATCCGTATAAGAGGTACCTTCATTACAAAAGTTTGGTTATTTTGGGCACGGTAGTTGTCTGTTTTTATGTTTCATCTGAGATTTATAAAGTCGCAATCACTCTAAAAATAAAATTGCCTTAATTAGTCCTTTGTTTCAGAATATTTGTCGGCTCAGAGCGTTTGTGAGCTGCGTGGCGTTAAAGGAATTTGTTACCTTCTAAGATCTCTTGGGTGATCTGAATCGTGATTTCTGATTTCCTTTTTAGGTATAAGTACTCTTTTATCCGTTTAAACCATGTTTAACAGCTTAGATTATCATTTCCTGGCGCCACTGGACTTTATGAGTCTCATGATTGTTGTCAGTGATAATTACATCCCTCTCTAATAAGACTATGTATTTAACCCCTTAGATTGCTATTTTAACAAAAATATTATTTTTGGAGGTCTCAATATTTTGGACAACAGCTATTCATTGACCTATTTTCTTCGTAGATCAAGTTTGGACCCGATCCCTTCTACTACGGTCTCTACCTCTCTCTTCAATTTGCATACCACACTTTAATTGCAAGTCCTGCGATGAAAGGGCCGAAATAACATGAAGGGCGAATTTCTGGAGGCGCGCGTGCAAGCAGGAATTGTTTTTCCTGAAGTGGTCTAAAAAAAGTTGCGCTTTATTTACATGAGAGCGAACATGTAAGTTGACCTGTTCAAAAATTGCGAGGCCTGTTCAATTGTCTAACGAAAATGGTAAACCAGATAAATATCTCTTTACTGAAATCTCGGTCAGTGGAGACGAGTGTAAGCTGGTGCATGAATGACTCATTTACGAAAGAGTATAATGTACCAAGCCGTTAACACTGAGGCTCATTAGATCGAAAGTTTAAAGCGCATTAGAACTTGAATGAGGGACATGCGTTGCTCGATCTAGTGCTTTGACGGTACGCAGCGTAATAGTTTATCAGCTGTACTCTTTTGGGGCTAGCGAGGCCCGCAGATGATTTGGAGCCACTCTCAAATTTTTATCGGTGCTGCAGTTAAAGAGGTGACGCGACCCTCAGCTCCAGCGGAACACAAAAAAAAAGGATCGCAGTTACTGTGTGCCTTGTATTAGCTGATACTCGACCAGAGTGGCTTCATTTCTCCAATGCATTAGATCGAAGTGCCGCTGTTGTTATACCAGCTCACAGTAAAATAAAGAAAGAGAACAACAGCGAAGAAAAAAAGGGAATGAAACCAGGAAGAGTGCGCCTCTAACATTACGATCTATTCGAACAGAACTTCTGTAAACCTGTACGTGTATAAACCTGCATTCATATCTGAAGGTAAACATTAGGTCGATTCCCGCATCAGCATGTTTTTCTTTATGTGACAAACACCTGGCTTAAAGATTTGAATTCACCGATTAGCAGATTAAGAAAAACATGTTTGCTGAAAGTCTTAGCCAGTGCACTGATTGGTTAATCCGTAAACAACAGCTAAACAGATTTCCATTTTTAGAGGCTGTTGACTGTGTCAGTTTGAAGAGCATAAGGAAATTCCACGCTAAAAATATTTTCGGAGAAATCAGGACCAAAGGATGCGGATCTTAGGAAAGTACCGCCCCCTTTCCAGTTCCAACACTCCTTTTTTTTTTCTTTTTCTTTCTTTCCTTGTTTGATCAAGTATTGTTTAGTTATTAAAAAGGCGCCTTAAAATCGACGAAAACCTCAAAATCTGTTTCAGCGATCAGAATATGAATGTTGACCCCTATGGCGCTCACTGAGTTTTCTCAACTTCTTTTTTTTCGTTCGTGTTCCTCTCAAAAAAATATATTCATATGATGACTCAACAAATAGTTGATGGGAAGAGGGTGGTATTCGCTATGATTTCATTCATAAACTTACTCCGTCAGGACCAGGTAGTCCACGCAAACACTTGTATATTATCCCACAATTTTTCAAAAAAACAAAACAAAACAAACAAACAAACAAACAAACAAATAACTTTACCCAATGAAATGAGAATAAAAACGGAACATGTAAGTTAGGCAATGCTTTGATAACTTCGGTTGTTTCAAGATTTTACACTGCGTTAAATCCATGGTCTTAAATTAACAAGTACGGGAATATATAAACATTTGTGAGAATTACAGTTATCAAAATATAGGAGGCATTCCGTGCTCGGTATTTTTATATTTGTTCATTCTATACAGGATGTTTACCCAAGACATAATGTTCTGTTGGCGGCAACTGTTAGCCGCAAACAACTTGTCACATCCGGAAAATACAAGTTATGGCTCGCTTGCGGCGTGAATCCTGGAGAGCTTTTTTAATTGTATATTAACATGTTTTATTAGTTCCGGAAATGAAGTTTCAACTACTGACGATCTTTTCACGATAAAGGAGGAACCCTCAACGCGTTTTTTTTTATTTGCGAGGCAAGCATTATCTGAATTCATAGCTTGGAAATATTTCATCACGTAGAGCAGGTTAGTATTCGATTATCAGTGGAGTTGTCGCTTTACCAAAGGCAAGCGGCGTGTGTATTTACACCTCCTCACGACAGATTGAATTTGAAATTTTGTGACACGTTTTGAATCTTGAAAGATTTCAGCTAAACATCTTGGGTCTGTTTTATAACAATCCGTGTATGTCGTCTGTATCCTTATTCACCTTAGGTTGGTTAGTTACCACTCTCAACTGTTTTTCTATTCTGCCTAACTGATCATGATTTTGTTTTTCTTGTTTATTTAAACTTCCTATAAGTTGAGAGCAGTACTATAAATCGCTCAACTCTGTAAATCGTAATTTAGAAGCTCAGGTATTTGGGTAATTTGCCAACCCAGAGTCTGACCCAGTGACTCATTTTTTTTATTATCATTATTTTTTCCTTGTCGTTATTAGGTTTAAGGATCCACTTACAGAGACTGCAATATTCAAAACGTTTGTCTTTTGCACTGCTCAGTTAGAAAACAGTTGCTTAGTTTCGGTATGAGCTATGTAGAGACTTAGAAGCCCGAATTTCTCGCCGAATCTCTTTGTGAACTACTGAGTGAGGAGCAAGAGGATTTATTTTAGACTTTACGATATAACATGATACGAACGATTTTGAAATACTAAGGAAGGAAGGACGCCCTCGATCCTGCTTGAAAGATTGAAATAACTGACCTTTTCTCAAAGTTATTATTTTTTTATCAAAACAAATCAAATTTAGTGACTAATATTGAAAGCTCACAGTTGCTGAGTTGCTACAAGAACTTTTGATGACAAATTTTTTATCGCAACAAACTCAGCAAGGATTTTCTAAATGACCTAGCTTTCGAAATGAAGCGTATGATAGCAGTCTAATAAGCTATTTGAATTGATTACGAAGGATTCAGAAAACATGTAAAACAATCTATAGTAATCGTTAACTGATTTTTTACCTGTATCAAAACAATTTAATTCAAATCGAGTCATTTTCAGTTCATCTTACCGCCAGATTCCTTCAATAACGAGGCTTTGATCTAAATCTTAATAGACAATTTTCATTTTGCTCTAAATGTGCGTTCATCAATCATGTCAAATTTAGGTATTAAGAGATTAAAAATTCGTTTTTTAAGCGCAACCCCGCAAAGCTAATCCCAAAAGTAAGCAACAATTACTGCTCACAACCTCAATTGGAATGACATCCTTTTGTCAAATTTGATTTTAAAATGTGGTACTTGCACTTAAACAAAGCATCGCCATTAAAAACTCAAAAAAAAAAGAATCTGTACGCGGCGCCAAACTTCTTAACAACTTGATGTCGATTTGAACGCCTTCACTCGTGTACCCTTTATTCACTTTGAATTTGTAAAACAATAGCTAATGAGCTCTCTAACCCGCTACTAATAAAGTGATGAAAAGCATAGAGGCTTTGATAAGCTTTCGTTCGTTCAAACCGCGGTTGTCAGATCCTTTGGAATGTGCGCTTGATAGCGACAAGAGCCAACCGATTGGCTTCAACTTATCACATTCGTATCGCTACCAGATTGATGACTATCTCAACCTTGTAAGTTTTTCCCGCTGTATTTTTAAGCTTAATCCTTAACTCGATATCTATGTTCTCTGAGGTCTGGTTTGGATTATTTGCTCGTTTGTAGAGCGTACGACCCCAAACAGTCTTTCCCAAAGACAAACATGTGGAGAACACATTTGTCTTACTGGCTTCACATATCAACCGACTCGACTGCTATTTTAATCTCAATAGCGAGTTAAACTTCGATCTATTTGTCATTATCTCGCAAGTTTCGATCGTTTCCAAACCCATAGGAGATGTTATTTTAATTTTTGTTATTTCTGACGATTATTTAGTAATCACTTCCTCTACAAATAAACACAAAACATTCCAGTGCAATTTTCACAGTTTCCATTTCCACCGTTTACCTCGACGTTTGTCATTCAAAA